CAGCAAAAAAATAGAAATAACAATTAATAGAATACTGGCTTTTATAATCTTTATTTCCTTATAAAATCCATTCAAAATCAGCACGAAGTGAAACGCAAGTGCACATGAGTGTAGCCCACCAGAATGACATTAAGGACACTTCAATTGCTCACAAAATGACATTTCAATAACTTCTTGCAAAAGGGACTCCCACTTTTGTAGTTATATTTTTCCATCCAACAAATGAATAGTTTACATATACACTCACCCACCACATGAGGTTCATGAAGTATCAAAACAAAACCACTGATTATGGTATTGGTATAAGAGACCTTTTAGGGTCCAACTAAATAAACACTCCAGCAATGTGTCGCTTTCGGTATCATCAGATTGTTTATTTTGTGCTCTTGTACATAACGTCGACGACATTCTGCAATGTACGAAATTTAGTCTATGTCAAATTCAAGTTCCATCCAGGATCGCCAAAATACAGCAGAAATGAGGATGCTGAGTGAAATACTAAAATCTTATAATGCGATGAGAAAGATTAGACTTGTTGAATGCTACACAAAAGAATGGTCTCAAATCCTTTGTAGAATACAGTAGCACTCCTGTTTTGCCTGGGAAATCTGAATGCCATTCCATATACACACTTGAAAAGAAAAAAAAAAATTTGAAACTACCTACAGAGGATTTTTTCCAATGAGTGGCATGCATGGGAAAGGAAGCATTTTTCAAATGGTATGGGTTCGAGGTGGACAGCTTTAACAAACTCAAAACCCTTTAACTGCCAAGAGAAATAAATTTAGTTAGTAAAACAAGATTTCTCACAGCTGTTGAGCTTCAGCAAACCATTCAATCTCCATATATCATCATCATGTAGCACCGTATTGAGAGAGAGAAACAAAACCTTTTGTTCTTTAGCAATCTTTGTTAGTTCTCCAAGAATGTATACTTTTGCCTTGGGACTTTCACATATGCTATTAAAATCCCCAGCCACTCCATTCTCTTCAGCCCAACATTCAAGAGCTTGCTTATTGGAGTTGACAACAGCAACAAGAGAAGACGCAAAGCTGTTGCCATATTTCCATATCTGAAATAAGAATGCATGTGAATTTTTTAAAGAACTGAAATGCAAAGCACATTCTAAGGGAAGAAAATATAAGATGTTGCTTCACCCTACTAACCATCATTAAAGGCTGTGTTGGGTTTATATGTATTTCTGAATGCACGTTATATGTAGACTTTACACCATATAAATGTTCGCTTACACAATGGGTTAGTAGAAACTTAGTATATATGAATTTTTTTTAAAGTGAATTCACAATCGATTTATTAATAAACGGATATCCGATCTGGTAATCAATTCGATCCGATAAAGGTGTAGTTCTTCTATAAATAAGAAAAGAAATTAATGTCAAAAAACAATAAAAAAACAATGATTAAAAAAAAAAAAAAAATCATTTAGCCTTTGTTAATTAATAAATATTATGACATTATTATTATTATTATTATTATTATGTATATTAGGAGATTTATTACTATGTGGGGGTAGAACACCACACTATTGTACATATAATATTATGATTATATATATAAATAATTTTATTCGGATCGGATTAACATAATTCATATTCGATTTGTTAGGTTAACGGTTTATCGGATTCGGATCATAATCGGATTATCAACGTTTTTGTTCAATCTATATCTAACTAATCGGATCAGACTCGGATCAAAACTGATCCATTGACAAGTCTAATCAGAAGTATGATTTTGGTATCAGAGAACTTTTAGGATCCAACTAAATAAACACTCCAGCAATGTATGTATCATCATATTGTTTATTTTGTGCTGGTATTGTACATAACACCAACAACATTCTATTTTATTTTTAGAAATTGAAAATTAAAAAATTGTACAAAAACTCTGGCTTGAGAATTGTCTTTTTATAAGTATATGAAATAATTTATTATTTTTTTGAAGTATTTAAAACTATTTTCTGAGTGACAAACTACAAATATTTATCGAATTTAAAAGTTAAAGATGGGTAACTTTGTCAAAATGCATGTTTTTTTTTCTCCTTAATTTATAGGGTAAAATATATTTAACCCCCTTGACTTTCATTATTTTATAATAAATCCCCCTTTATTATTATTATTTTTTTTGCCAAAAACCCCCCATCAACTGACTGAGGGGGTTGCTTTTTGAATTTTTTTGTCAAAAATGCACCCCTAACCAAGTCAAGGTGGGGTATTATGCAATTTTGCCTAATTGGATGAATTTAGCTATTTTTTTTTTTCTCAAATAATAATATTTCAACTTATATTTTTTGTTATATGCATCATCATACTTTAATTAAAGATGATTATAAAAAAAATTAATAGTAAAATTTATAATTATGAGTGCAACTATATATAAGTTCAAATCTTAAATGTTTACACCCATTATATATTATACATAACATTATTATATTATATTATATTTTATATATATATATATATATATATATATATATATATGTATGTATGTATATGTATATGTATAAGTATATGAGATGGACATTTGATAAAAAAAATAAAAAAAAAAATTAGATCGACAAAAATTAATTTTAATTACAAAAAATAATTGAATGGCATAAAATATTAGGCTTATCTCTAATTTTTTTTTTTTAGTGGAAAAAAAAGAAAAAAATATTATTTAACTATGCTAGACATATGGTAAAGAATTAGCATGTAGTTGTGCGTTATGAATTTTACTTTTTAAATTTTTTATAGTGTTTTTCTTTATTAAAAGTATGGTGATTGCATGTAAAATTCAAACATTATTATTTAAGAAAGAAAAAGAAAAAAAATTTCAACTAAATTCACACAATTGGACAAATTGCATAAAACTCTCGTCAACTTGGTTGGTGGGGGCATTTTTAACAAAAATTAAACAAACAGCCTGTGATGTTTCCAATTTTCTCCATTTTTTATTTTTTTTCGGAATTTTGTTGATGCAAGGGCATTTTTGTCTTTTCACGTTGTGCGTACCGGACATCTTGGGGTGTGCCGGGTGTGTCTGAGAGTTGTTTGGGGCATTCTATTGAGTTTAAAACTCTTTGAAATGCAAGGGTGACCATTTTAGTATTTTTTTAATTTTTCAGACCGAACAATCCCGTGTGAGACCCGCTACCGGAATTATTGGATTTTAATTGAACCATTGGCATCTCATGTATTTTATTTAATGTGTTTAAAGGGGTTGTGAATTGTTATGTATATACTTATGTGCAAATGTGGTTACAATTAAAGATAAAAAGAAAAAGGAAATTATATTCTTGGTGGTGGGACCCACCACCACCTTAAAGGACTTATAGACCACCAATTGGTCTCTCATCCTCTCTCCCGTTGGTCTCTCAAACTTTCATTTTTTATTTTTATTTTTATTTTCACTTCAAGGCTTAAATTCTTGATTTCTCTCTCAATTATTGATATTTTTAAGTGTCGTTTACGACAAATTAAAGCTCACGGCAAGACTTACAAGTTGATTGGACCAATTCCTAGTTTAGTGCACTTGGAAATTTCGAGATTTAGTGTATTTGATTTGGGAGTTTTTGATTTAATTTGAGGTAGGGGTCTCTAATGCCCAATTTCTTGTTCATTTGTGAGTTTTCTTCCAATAATTGTTATCTAGAATGTTTAATTTGAGTTGTTTGCCTTTTTAATGATGTATATGTTGCACATGGATAACATGATTATGTGTATTACTTGACTTGTGTGTAGAACATGGTTAAATGTTAAATTTTTATGCCTATGATGATTATTAATTTGTTAGAAATTGTTACGAGGAAGCATGTTGATTGTGTAAAATTAATTTCTCCATTCTCATAATATTAAAAAGAGATGTGATATGCATACAAACCATTGGCATGAAAAAGAGTAAAATGATTTGAAAAGAATAAAAAGGGAATTTTGAGGGAGAATTTTTTATTAAAGAATTTTGAGAAAACCCAGTCGTCGCGGAGTCATCAAAGGGCTGGTGTGTTAATATAACCTAGACAGAACTAGGGGAAAATACCTTAGCGTGGTTGAGTTAGCTGGGCCCAAATGACGCCGCGGGGGTACCAAGGGTCAGGAACAGTAGTTAACCTTTTTATCGTGTCACTGCGGAGTCACCAAAGGACGGGTTATATTACCAATTGAAAAGTGATGGATTTAAATTTTGAAAATGGGGAGCGACATACATGACATTGCATATCATGACATGGCATTGTTTATTTGAAATTGGAATTTATGTTGTATTCTTTTTCGGCATAGCATGACCCATATCCTCTATTCCTATTCATTATTTTGATTCATGGGGTCACAAGAGGTGTGTCTTATGCACCACCTACTGAACAATTTGCTCACCCCATTACATTTAACATTTTTTTCAGGACTCGGGAAAGAAGTAAGAGACGCAGACCCTTCACAAACTTAAGGGGAACTAGGAATATATTTTTTGCTATCTTTTGTATATTTGCTACACTTTTGTAAAGTCTCAAAACCATAGTGAAGTGTATGCATTTTACAAGCCATGGTCATGTATTGTAAATTATAACTCTTGTCGGTATTTTGAGGGAAAGCGAGACTATGTAAATATTTTGTGTTGAATGGGATGACGATGAAGGGCCAAGAAAGGCCATTGCATTTTTTTTTTTTTTTCATTTAAGCATGTTGTTGTAAATCTCTTTTTAGCAGAGGTCAGGTTAAATTTTTTTATAATTGGTATTCAGTTTTTGCTCGTTACGCAGCCCCCTTGATTTTTTTATTTTTATTTTTTATTTTTTATTTTTCAAGCTAGAGGGTATTTCAGTCGTATCAAAATTCTCTTATAATCAAAGGTAAATTGCATTAACTTCTTGACCTTCACTATTTTGTAGTAGACCTCTTTTTATTATAAGAGAATTTTGCCACGACTGAAATATATCTGCAAAAAAAAAAGAAAAAAAAACAAGGAAATTCTGATCTGTCCTAATTCCTAGCCGTAACCTTCGGTACGGTCACAAACATACAATTCATGGGGAGATAAAGAAATAAACTATGCTCTCTCCTTCAAGAACCATCTTAACTACTACCAGTATATTGGCAATATTGCTGATATAATATGACTTCATGTCAAAGCATACCCCACCCACTACAATGATACAATTTCTTCAAATTCACTCATCTACTCTATATAAATACATACATACGTTGACTCTGTCGTGCGATGTTGTAGTTTTTGGTGATGATGCCGACGATGAGTTCGCGATGTTTTGTTGATGAGAATTTGAGGGTTTGGGTCTGGGCTTTTTTAGTGGATTAAAGCAGGGAAGAGGAGGGGCCTTTGCTTTCTTTTCAGATCTGAACTTCAGATTTTATAGCCATTGGGTGTGTATGTGGTTGATGAGAATTGAGAGTTTGGCTCTGGTGATGAAGGGTGTAGAGGTAGAGGATTTGATTGGAAATTGTGGGATTGATGGGAATATTTTTGGTGATTTGAAGAAGGGTCGCAGCGTTCGATTCAGGTTGGAGATGTTGACAACCCTAGTAATGACGATTATGAAAACCCTCAACACAGAGGATGAGAAAAAGAAGGGGGCTCGCGCTGAGAAAGTAAAAGAATCTCAAAATAACTCAAACGGTTGCTATAATTTTCTTTTAAAACCCAGTGCAAAACGGGTCGTGGCGCAGGGTGTTTTCTTATTTTTCGGTTCCATCCAGTGGGAAGTTTTGTCAATCCTGAATTTCAGTATTACAATAGTGGGTAATTTTGATTTTGTAATCGTGAAATTCACAATTAATAGTGATAAACTTCACCTGTTGGTGGTTCTGTTTCCCAGAAGCAGCGGATCCCGCGTTGAGTAAACTACTCGAAGGTTCACTTGGCGAGTCAGTAGGCGGTGGGCACTCACTCAAGCCTCCAAAAGAGACTTTTGCATCATCTGCATTTCCACATACCTTCTCAATGTTGCTCCATTAAGAGCTTTATAACTCCATCTGATCCTTCACGTTTGCAGAGACATCATTATTGTCAAAAGATTTTCGAGTACGTTTTTTTTTATTATTTTGCAGCTTTCTTAATTATTAATTCAAGTTCGTAGATTGAAGTTCAGGGAAAATTCGGAATTGAACAACAAAATGAAGAAAATATTAAGCTTACATCAAAGGAAAATTCTTGATCCTGAGGGGTCATTTCTTCAGAAGTGGAATCAAATATTTGTACTTTATTGTGTGGTTGCAGTGTCCTTCGATCCGTTGTTCTTTTATATCCCTGTGATTAATGGCAAAGACAAGTGCCTCGATTTGGACAAGAAATTGGAGATCACCCTTTGTGTTCTTCGTTCTTTCACTGATGTATTCTACGTACTGCATATTGTCCTTCAATTTCGTACTGGGTTTATTGCTACTTCCCCTCGAGTATTTGGAACAGGTGAGCTAATTGAAAATCCTGATGCTATAGCCAAAAGATACTTGTCTTCCTACTTCATCATCGATATTTTATCAATTCTTCCCCTTCCACAGGTATGCAGCTTTGTTGTATCTAAGGTGTCACTATCGTATGGTCCTTATGCACCTTTCATACCACACAAATTTTGATGCATATATAATTTTTTTTTGGGTAACAATAAATAAATAGCTGTTGCCTGTTTTGAATTCATTGTGTTATATTATATCTGTTTATTTATTTTAAATTTTTTCCCTGGAAAATTGATAATTCATTAGCTTGTGTTATATCTCTGTTCAGGTGGGTCTTTTAGCTGTGACCCCCAAAAGAAAGATCCCAATTCCATTGATCTCAATGAATTGGATGGAAATTGTCATTCTCTTACAAATCATACCAAGACTTTACCGGATCTATCCACTATATAAAGAGGTGAAAGGAATTTCTGGCATATTTACTGAAGTAGCATGGGCTGGAGCTGCTTTCAATCTATTTCTCTTTATTCTGGTTGGTCATGTAAGTTCCATTGACCCATCTCTTTTTCCTGACACTTTCAAGAAATCACATGATCATTAAACAAAGTATCCGTAATTAATGTTTGATACGTCTTTATAGGTTGGTTTGGTTTTCTCTTCTTATATGCAATATTGAATATCCTACATTTTATCTTTGATTTTAGCCATTTTAGGTGTACTTATGCACAAACATAATCTGTCAGGTTTGAGCGCAAATAAGGTTGTTGGACTCTTTTTTTTTTTTTTTTTCAGAAATTTAAACAATTGTTTATATTAGGTAAATATGTACATATGGTGGGCTAAGGGTAACATGAATACCAGCCCAAAGCAAAAGAGACCAAGTATATTTAAATACAAACCAGCCCAAACCTATGGTTGAAGCAACTAAGCCGAAGAGCCCAAAGCAAAATCCCAAGGCCACCGATTAATGGCTAAATGATATATATATATATATATTTCCCAAACAGCTAAATGTTCCAGCCGTTTGTAACTAATTTTAAGCAACATAGAGGTTTTTTACTCAATGTGGTCCTGGTCAATTGAGGAGGTGGAAAGGAGGACTGAACTCACACTCAACAGGTCCTGGTCAATTGAGGAAGTGGAAAGGGTGCACTGAACTTATACTCAACTTTTGCTATTATTTGCACAAAATGACTACTATCAGAATTCAATTCACATTTTCACACTTGTTTGATTCTTTTTTTGTAATTTTCTATTCTCCCGTCTTCTTTATTGTTGATTTGTTACTTAGCACTTGAAGTCGACTCTATAACAATTAGCCACCCAAATTGTATTTAATGAATGAGTGCTGCTATATCATGCGGCAGTTGGTTACCCTGGCTACTATGAAAAGCATTATTTAGTACACTTAGTTAGGATTTCAACTCATATAATTTAAAATTCCAAAATCACTTATATTTATTTATATTATCCTGACAAGAAACTCACACTCCCACTTTGTCTTGAATCCTTGACCTTCTACTTTGGAAGGTGAGTAAGTATCAAATGACTATAATCAAAATCATTTTTTTTACCAAAGGGCCTTTGGCCCAATGGTATAGCCTACCCATCTTCGAAGAGGAGGGGAGGGGTTTGAGCCCGGGCGTGAGCAAAAAAGTGTGTGTGTGTTTGTTTTACCATCCCAAAAAAAAAAAAAAAAAATATCATTTATTTGACCCTCCAATGTTTTCAAAAATTATTTTTAAATTTTTGTAGGTACAGATTACAAACCTTTGCGTTGAACAAGTTGTATATATTTTTGGAACCATATGCAAAAGATCAAATAGTTTCTTTGATTGCATGCGGAAGGAATTCATACACCATGTGTATTGTTCTGATAATAAAATGACTCTTATGTACCAGGGACTTGGAGCTTTTTGGTACTTGATCAGTATACAACGAGAATATAGTTGCTGGCGCATTGCATGTGAGAGACATGAATTTAGCTACGACTACTTGTACTGCGGAGAACAGCGTATAGAAGACTATGCATTTCTAAATGTTTCTTGCCCCCTTCTCGAATCAAATGAAATAAAGGATGAAACGGACTTTGACTTTGGGATATTCCTTGAGGCTCTTCAGTCTCGTGTGGTGGAATGGAGAAATTTTCCACGGAAATTCTTTTACTGCTTTTGGTGGGGTCTGCGAAATCTAAGGTCTGGAATTAATTTTACAAGGTCCATAACTATTCCAAGACTTTGTAAGCAAGTGTTTGCTAACAAGATATCACTTCTATCTTCTTCAGTTCTCTTGGACAAGACCTCAAAACAAGTTCTTTCATTGGGGAGATTCTCTTTGCTGTTTTTATTTCCATTCTTGGATTGGTTTTATTTGCGTTGCTCATTGGCAATATGCAGGTAAGTGCTACGTACACCATTCTTATTCAACACTCTTAGCGATTTGATGTTGCATTAAGCATATGAGATCTTACACTAGTATGCATATGCCACAGTACAGAATTATGGGTTGATACCTCAATTTAGATTGTCAGTGCTCCTTCGCGATGGAACGCTTATTGGGTCTCCTTGATTCGAGTGAGGCAGAAAAGTTTGGATACTATAAGAAACTTAGTACATCAATTTTTAATAATCTTACAAATTTTAACATATATAAAAATAATAATGATATGATAATATGTTTGGAAATTTACTTTTTTAGCATGAATACGTAGAAGATACCATCATCAAATTACAAATAAAATGAGAGTACAAGAATTAAGCATACCAATACAATAGTTGATACAATAATGTAGACAATAATAATAAAATAAATTGAAAAGAACTAGTCTGGATAAATGAGATGAGTACTAAGCAGTAAGTATGAGTGGTCCATATATCTCCAAGATACACACTAGTGATCATATTTGGGCACGCCCAAATAGATACAGAGTGCACTAGTCTTGTGTAAAGTTGTCCAAAAAATTAAATAAGATAGTGAAATATGAAATAGATCGAAAGAGAACTTAGAGAGAAAAAGTATTTATACAAGTATAGGAAGAGTCCTCTTCTTATAGTAGTTCAAGAATGTTAACAGTAATAACTAATAAGAGTTATAATTACTAAATTAAAAATAATTTTATGTTGTAATTAAAATCAGAATAAATAAAGTTTAATATTTTATTAAAATATCACTTAACACAACACACCCACCTCCTAGATCCTGCAGCTGAACATGCATGATTGTGTCCTTTCACAAAGCACAACATCTTACTCCCACGACGCTCTTTGCTGCTATTATGGCCTAAATTTCAAATATTCTTGTTTTTGTGCCACTGTAGAAATATCTGCAGCCTATAACTGCTAGAATAGAAGAGATGAGAGTACAAAGGAGGCATTCAGAGCAGTGGATGGCCTACCGCATGCTCCCTGAGGATATGAAGAAGCGGATTAGGCGGTATGGAAAGTACAAATGGGATAGAAGCAAAGGTGTTGAGGAAGAATTCTTGATTCGTAACCTTCCTAAGGACATCAGGAGGGACGTAAAGCGCCATCTTTGCTGGTCTTCAGTCAAAAGAGTAAGTGCATTCCTAAATATATGTGCATGCATGAATGCATCTTCATCTGCATTCCTTGTGCAAGCATTGATATGTCTCTCTCTGCATTTTGCAACTAGAAGTTTTTGTATGGGACTCTAGATTCTGTCATATGTTTGCTAGGTTCCAATATTCGAGAAAATGGATGAACAATTGTTGGACGCAATATGTGATCGTCTCAAGCCAGTTCTTCATACAGAGCAAAGCTTCATAGTACGTGAAGGGGATCCCGTTGATGAGATGGTCTTTGTCGTGAGAGGCAAACTACTGAGTACGACCACTAATGGTGGGAGAACTGGATTTTTCAACTCCGCTTATCTTAGTGCTGGTGACTTCTGTGGAGAAGAGCTTCTTACATGGGCTTTGGATCCCCACTATTCGGCCAGTCTTCCCCCCTCAACCAGAACAGTACAAGCCGTGACTGATGTTGAAGCTTTTGCTCTAATGGTTGATGACCTAAAATTTGTGGCCTCCCAGTACCGGTTTCTTCACAGCAGACAACTCCAGCACACTTTCAGGCAAGTAGTACAACTTGGCTTTTTGCGTTTTGGTGTGTATGTGGTCGGTAATAAAATACATTTTGCTAAAATTTTAACTCCGTGGCAGTCTTTTATGGTAGAAGTAATGATTCAATTGATTTACTGAAAAAAAGAAGTAATGATTCAATTCCTAACCCCAACCCCGCCCCCCACCCCCCCCCCCCCCCCATCCTTTTTTTTTGTTGTTGTTGTTGGTAATAATTGTGTTATGCACTGCAAAGGCTTTAACTCAAGTTGTATATCCTCATCTTCTCATATGATAGGTTGAGAGTTCAAGTACCTATTGATGCAATAGTGGGTGCGTGCATGCCCTTACCTATTTAAAAAAGAAAAATAAAAGAAGTAGCGTTAGAACTATGAATGCGTTTGGAATGGCATAGAATGCATTCCTACCAATTATCATTACTATTATATTTTTTCTGGTAATTAGTTATCACTGTGTTATTATCTTCATTTCAAACTTAATTTTAAAATGTACCCTAGGTCAATTTATTTATTTTTTTGTTGAAGAAGTCATGTCCTGCTTACTTTATCTTTTAAGTTGGAGATTGGAATTTGCCGGCAAAGGCAAGAGTTGCTGGACACAAACCCCGTCTCCTCAACGCCTTCGATGGTGTTATATTTTACTATGTTATTTCTGTTTATGCAACTCCTAGAAATAAGATCATTTGTAATGTTATTGTGCTTTGCAGTTTACAGTATATATGTTATAATGAGGTTATAACATTTTTATTGCTCCCATCATAAGTTCAGGCATTTGATTAAAATATCTTATATTTTGATAAGATGGCTGGTGACTCATGAAGGGTGCTAGATTCCCATTTTGGTAGTACTCTTTTATGGTTAAATTAGAATACCTAACTGATTTATTTATTTTCATCTGATGGCAATAATTAATTCAAAAGAAATCATTTTAAACAAAAACAGTGCAAAAAAGCTTAGAACTCTAATTGCTGTCATCTCTCTGATATTTGATCCTGCATAATATAACTATTGTATGGTGTTTACGGCTAGTAATTGTTATAATAGGCTCATAACATCGCTATTGTGTTTGTCATAATTTCAGGTTCTACTCACAACAGTGGAGGACATGGGCAGCCTGTTTTATTCAAGGAGCATGGCACCGATATCGCCAGAGAAAGCTTGAGACGTCATTGCGTGACGAAGAAAATATACTACAGGATGCGTTGGCAAACAAAGTTGGAATCTCACCAAGCCTTGGTGCCACCCTTTATGCATCAAAGTTTGTCACCAATGTACTACGAGCCCTGCAGCGCAATCAGACGAAATTGCCCCACAGATTGCCGGTTTAACTGCTTCAAAAGCCAGCTGAGCCCAATTTTACTACGGAAGATCATTTAATAAGGTGTGTTGTTCCTTCTGATCCTTAGAAAAGTTCTGTGTAATTTATTCAGTTTTAAGAGGTCTTTGTTTATGACACGTACTTTCGATAATTTAATTTTTTCACTTCAATTGAAGGAAGTAAAAACCAGCAAAAAAATAGAAATAACAATTAATATAATACTGGCTTTTATAATCTTTATTTCCTTATAAAATCCATTCAAAATCAGCACGAAGTGAAACGCAACTACACACGAGTGTAGCCCACCAGAATGACATTAAGGACACCTAAATTACTCACAAAATGACATTTCAATAACTTCTTGCAAAAGGGACTCCCACTTTTGTAGTTATATTTTTCCATCCAACAAATCAATAGTTTACATATACTCACCCACCACATGAGGTTCATGAAATATCAAAACAAAACCACTGATTATGGTATTGGTATAAGAGACCTTTTAGGGTCCAACAAAATAAACACTCCAGCAATGTGTGGCCTTCAGTATCATCAAGTTTATTTTGTGCTCTTGTACATAACGTCGACAACATTCTGCAACGTACAAAATTTAGTCCATGTCAAATTCAAGCATATATAAGAAAACCTTTGTTTTTTTTTTTTTTTTTTTTTTTTTGAGGTGTAAGATGGAAACTAAAACCAGGATCGCCAAAAGTGAAATACTAAAATCTTATAATGTGGTGATGAGAAAGAAGATTTAGACTTGTTGAACGCTACACAAAAAATTTGTCTCAAATAAATCTGAAACTACCTACAGAGGATTTTCCAATAAGTGGCATGCATGGGAATGGAAGCATTTTTCAAATAAATTTGAGATGAGAGTAGGAGCAAACCTGATAGTAGTTGAGAAATTGGGCCCTCTTTTTCTTGAATGTTGGGGTGAGAAGGCCACGCTCCATGTCAAACGGTATGGGTTCGAGGTGGACAGCTTTAACAAATTCAAAACCCTTTAACTGCCAAGAGAAATAAATTTAGTTAGTAAACCACGATTTCTCACAGCTGTTGAGCTTCAGCAAACCATTTAATCTCCATATATCATCATCATGTAGAACCGTATTAAGAGAAAGAAACAAAACCTTTTGTTCTTTAGCAATCTTTGTAAGTTCTCCAAGAATGTATGCTTTTGCCTTGGGACTTTCACATATGCTGTTAAATTCCCCAGCCACTCCATTCTCTTCAGCCCAACATTCAAGAGCTTGCTTATTGGGGTTGACAACAGCAACAAGATAAGACGCAAAGCTGTTGCCATATATCCATATCTGAAATAAGAATGCATATGCATTTTTTAAAGCATTGAAATGCAAAGCACATTTCCAGTTATTTACAAGGATTGATTCTTACCGAGTCAATACCAGAAACAAGGGAATAAATGTTCTCCAGATTCTCAACTGAGACATATTCTCCCTGAGAAAGCTTGAAAATGTTTTTCTTGCGGTCAATAATTTTCATGCTTCCGTCTGGTTGCCACTCACCAATGTCCCCTGGGGTAAGTTTGTTATGAGTATACATTCTAAATGAGACGAGCTAAATAATGGATCAGCGCATAACAGAAGTATAAAAACTGATATGGACATACCTGTGTGGAACCATCCGTCAACAATCACCTCTTTTGTGAGGTCTTCGCGTTTATAATATCCTGAGAACAGGCTGTTACCCCGTATACATATTTCTCCACGAGGGGTGCTTGCAAGGGCATCATAACCCATTTCAGGAACAGATTCCAGGCATACATCCGCGTTTGGCAGTGGAGGCCCAACAGTACCAATCATTGCTAGTTCATTTGGTTGTGCAACAAATGATCCAGCACAGGTTTCTGTGAGACCTACATAATGTCTAATGAAATTAGTCATCTGTACAGAGGTTATAGACTTTACACCATATACATGTTCGCTTACACAATGGGCTAGAAACTTAGTATATATGAATTAAATACCAGAAGGCCATAGGTGGAATGATATATATATAAAATTGATGGACAAAACATTGCCGAAAGTTGATCTCTAGTTTTCCTCTTCCAATATAAAACTAATTAGGGGTGCAGCTCCGGCGGGTTGAAGGGTCAACACTAGCCCAACTTGGGCTATGAGCAATGCTGCCCAAGCTCAGGTTGAACCCAACCTCAGGGGTTAGGAAGAGGTTGCCCGAGCCCTCGGTTGGCAGGTCGGTGGTATCTAATTTAGTCAAACTGGAACAGTTTATTACAACAATTCAATTTTGACAAATAAAGAACCTTTATCTAATTTAGTCAAACTGGAACAGTTTATTACAACAATTCAATTTTGACAAATAAAGAACCTTGCATTATTACACACGTGCGTGTGTGTATAGAGAAATCCGCGCTCAAATTTTTATTTTTGAGTTGAGCTCAGTTACAGAAATCAGGCTAAAAATTGAGTTGATTACGAGTTGGTTTTGAATTAGATTACTACTAAACATATTTTAAAAAAAAATTTTGATGTAAATTTTTAGAAAATTACAAAAAAATTCTTAGGTAATTAATTCTCCAAAGTGTTAGTATACAATAAATAAAATTTAAACAAAAGAAGTTGAAAAGAAAAAGGTGATCATAATTTGAAAAATATATAATGTATTTAAATTTAGGAAAAATTACATATAAATGGAGTCAAAGTTTCATATTTACTTAGAGGCTGAATCAAAGTTCCATATTTCTCTAAAATGGATTGCTGAGGTGGCACATGGTTTTTTACTATTTAGAAATTGTGGTGCCTAAAATACCCTTCCGCGAAGGTACTACTTTTTCTTCAAAGGTACTACTTTTTTGAACTGAAGGTACTACTTTTTGGCGTCCAGGTACCATATTTTTTAAACACCCGCGAAGGTACTACTTTTTCTCCGAAGGTACTACTTTTTTGAACTGAAGGTACTACTTTTTTGTTAGGGAAGGGCATTTTAGGCACCATAATTTTCTAAACAGTAAAAAACCATGTGCCACCTCAGCAATCCATTTTAGAGAAATATGAAATTTTGACTCAGTCTCTAAGTAAATATGAAACTTTGACTCCATTTATATGTAATTATCCCTTAAATTTAATATATATCTAAAAATAAAATTAAAATTCGGGTTCAGGTTCAAGTTGCTAACACTTCAATCCAATCCAAGCCCAACCATAATTGTAAAAATGGTTATCCAAGCCTGTGAAAATTCGGGCTGGGCTCGGGTTGGTCTGTCCAAGTTGCACCTCCAACAGGAATAGCTTTTAAGGGCATATTAGGGAGAATCACTTGTGTCTATTGGTCTGTCAACTAATGCCTCTTGGTCAAACAGGTTTCAGTCCTAACTATTACCCCTGGTAAGAATGGAGAAAAATTACAAGGATCAAATTATTCATACCAATAATTCATACAGAAACCCAGAAAAATGGTAGTTTTCTATGTACAGAGAATTTCCACTATGACATACTACAACAAATTTAACTGTAATAACATTACAAAAAATCATTTTCTTCAGAAAAAGAATGTATCAAACTTCTGATAGATACTACCCTAATAAGGGTGATAAAAAAACCAGAAAATATAAATGAAGAGAGAAGGGCATTCTAGAACCAGGGAATGAGTTAGCAAGCGGCTTTAATGATCGTCAATGAAAAGCTATTTCTAACAACTATGGTAGCAGATATCAGCCATTAAATCATGAAAATTAAAGTGGCACATAACCGGCAGATATTAAGGTCAAAGGTCTACATACCATATCCTTGTAGAACATGAGCACATGCCACCACCCGTAGAAAGGTTTCCACACAGGTAGAAAGAGGCGCTGCTCCAGATAAAATGAGACGCACATTTCCTCCTAGACCTTCCTTCACCTGAATTCATAATCACCATAACTTAAGGGAGATTAGATTTCGGTTGAGGCCACTGGCCGACAGAATTGTAGAGAAGTTGCACCATGTATTACTTGCACTACCTTACTGAAAACAATTTTGTCAAAAACAGGAGCTGCATCTGCATGTTTATAACCTTTACTCATGTTGTATAGTTTGCTGCAAATAAGTGTTAGATTGACACATAAGATATTAACGCAATAACAAAGCTTTATTCTATATAAGTGCTGTGTGCTGCAAATTTTGAAGCATTAAATACACATAATTATCCCAAATAACTCGGCAATGACATTAATGACTGTATATTTATATGACTGGATTCGTAAGGCAAATAGAGTTAGTGATGAAGGCCTAATGTAGCATACATTTTGAAATGCGGGTAAAACATTTAAAGGTAAGAAAAAACATCCGTGGTCTACGCAGATACTGAGGAAGATAACAACCTTAAAAGAAAAAAAAAAAAACAACATAGAAAATAACAAGTTTCAAATGTTAAAACCTAAGAAATCTTGGTGGAAAAGCTGAACTTGGGTAAATAAAGCTGAGGTGTCAAAGAGAGCTGTCTTTTTAAAAAATAATAATAATAGAAGACTAGTTCCTTACATTAATAGAATTAAATAGCACTTACTAGGAGTATGCAATCTTAACTAATGTATGCTTGAGGAAACCTCCAGAAGAAATCTTCTCTTTCAAACCTGAAAGTATAAGTAGTTAGACAATTATACATCTATTTGTTGGAATAAAAAAATATTTTACCTACATTCACTCAGGTTAGTTGTACTTGGATAAGAAACAGAAACTTCTCAGACATTCACTTGGGAAATTGCTATGGAATGAGAGGAAAGAAAAACTGTTATTCTCACCCATGTTCAGTAAATTGCTTTGGATCCATTAATATAAGTTCCCTAAAGAAATTCTCGGCCAGAAATTAACAAACTAAATGATTTCCTTTGAAGTGAAAGAAGAAATTAGGATATCAAGGATAAGTTCGCAAATAGGAATGTAAATCAAATGCTTGGGGCTACAGTCTGGATCTTTTTTAGGTCAGAGCAATTGCAAGGTGAGTCTCAACACCTATAAAAGACCACACTTGAGCTGCATGTAGAACGCAATGTCATCCTTTTAAACTATAGCATTGTGAAGGTGTATCATATTTGTAACATTTTACCTGAATAAATCCTGTCTAACACACGTGGAACAGCACAAAACACAGTTGGCTTTAGCTCTTTGATGTCCTCAATCAATAGTTTAATGTCCTGAAGAGCAGTTGGTGATAGATATTACATTGTACCGTTCACAAGGACAATAAGAATTTTCTGTTGTCACTTATAACTTACCCCACGCCAAAATCCTATTGAGGCACCAGAGTAAATGAACAATTCCTCAATCACCCGATCAAATATATGTGCTAAAGGAAGATACGACAAGTATACATCCTGCTCACTGAACTGTACAATGAGAGTAGGAATGAACAAACAAAGCATTGGAAAGAGAGATATATCACATAAACTAGAACACGTGAAAAATATGATATCAATAACTCAGCTTTGCTCCGACTTTCAAAACGATACCAATCACACACAAAAAGTAAATTTTTTCTTAATGATAAAACAAATTATAAGTAACTTGGAATGACTTTAAGTTTACCTCTTCATTCATACTCTCTAGATGATGATCTACTCCAAATATGATAGAAAGGATGTTCTCGTTAGAGATCATTACTCCCTTTGGGTCACCAGTTGTTCCACTTGTATACATTATTGTACATATATCACTTTTCTTCTTTATTGGGAGGTCAAATAGTTCATTCATTCCCTGCAAGCGAATATCACCCACAAAATGGAATTATAAACTATCTAAAAGTATTAAAGCCAGCAAAGGAACACCATCTGTCTTACCAACGCCAATAAGAATGATTGTATGATTCGGGAAAGAAATGCAGAGACAGGTGTGTTAAGAACTTCGGATTTATGAAAACAACTATAAATACAATTGAGTAGAAATTATTCAATATCTCCCATCACTAAATACATTAATTCTTCTACAGTTTAGGGTTAGATATGGGTCATGAGATGTTTTCAAGCTTTCAAAGTTTCAGGGAATAAAGGGCTCCAAGCTCACCACCCTGTTTTCCATCAATCTGGTTTTAGTGGCTTTAACCATTTAAGTACAAATTTTATAATCACTCAATAGTAATATACTACTTCCTCATCACATGTCAAGTGATCACAGCAAAGCAAACTGAACAAGTATCATTAGACATTAGTAATAAAAAGCAAAAGGAATTTACATGAGGAAAGGTTTTTCATTTTATAAAAACAAATGACGTGAAGATATTAACAGTTCAAAGGAAGTAGCATACCAGCTGCAAAAATTCAACCCAAGAATATATTGCCAACCCAAAATTTTGGGCCATCTCCTTTTGTTCTGCTGTAGCCATGCCAAAGCTCACAAGAGCTATATAACAGAGTGAAACATTAATAATTTATGGTGCTTCTTGTATTAAGCACATCAAAAGCTGAGAAAAGGCAACTTACTTTTCAAGTATTTTCCAGTAGTAGGAAATGTTTTCAACACCTGAAAATAAAATAATTATAATAACAAAGTCAGTTCTTGAAAAGAACTTGAAAGCAAGAAAAAGTAACAATAAAAAGAACCAAGAAGCAAAAGAAGATGAAATGCCAAAACGTTTTGGACCAACAAATAGAATCTAGTGCCAACATTAGTGCTACATACCTCAGGAATCTTAGTTTCTTCGACAAAGGCAATTGAAATCTCTGCATGACAAATGATATATTCCACTGCACCAGCACCTAGGACCATCAAAATAAATTGGTTAAACTTTCACAATTTTCATGTTTTGTGCCTGAGCCTAGGCTCATGGTAAAGAAATTACAGTAGGGTGGGTTAAAAAGAATGTTTGAACTTTGAACCCAAACTTTTACTCTACAAGACTAAGCAAATCTTACATGATAACTCGCATGGTAACGTTTTCTTGAAAGGTGATCAGTCGTAAATGGCTCTTATAGTAATTATACCAATTTATATAGTTAACAGTCATATGATCTAATGTAGTATATCATAGGCTGTATCAAGGAGTTTATTTATAAATTTTCATAGCTTTATGTTCATTTATTAAAATTATTCACAGTGTGCGACTTTTAATCAAAGCATATGACGTCATACACTAAATGGCATGGTTACTACATATATCAGTGATTAACTGTGCATAACATGTTACATAAGATATCCATATTAGACCCTCGTGTGCTACCTGTCCTGCTCAGCCCTGATCCGTCATGGTTATGCTGGTGAATTTTGAGTATCCATGACAGATTGAGGTGGAATGGAAAGGGTTTCCTCCATGTTACCCCAATTTTACCAAACCCAATTTAATGCTTCAATAATCTTTATGTACCGGAAACACCACGATTTATGTAGAAATCACATAATTCCAGATTTGATACATCTTATCTATGCCATTGAACATCTCTATTTAGGCCCTTATATATCTATTTATTTGTTTATTTTTTTTCATAGAAGCAGCAACATGACAATCATTATTCAGATCACTAACACCTTGTCCATGTCCTTGATATTTATGTCCTCATTAAAAGTTTTAAGCCTACACTGTAAAAAAAACATTCCTTGATGATTAATTAGCCCCTTATGCGCTAATTGAGAGAGAGAGAGTACCTAGAGTGTCATATAAAGGAACACAGTGAAGTCCATGAGCATTGCAGGCCTGCAGAAATGTCAAAGCATTTGGCATTTAATTATTTGGAAGAAGAAAATGTACGGTATTGATAATTTAACTGAACAAATTGCATTCAGACCTAATTGACAAAATAGTTCCCCTAATTACGAGGAATATCACAAAAATGTTTTTATATAATGCGTCATCTATGGACTACTAAGATCTACAATTCCAAACTCAATGGAGATTACAATATTTCCATTTTGTTGTTCTGCCATTCTGCACTTATAGAAGATATATTGCCACATTCCATACTAGTTCCCGATAAACAAAAGGGAAAACTGAAGAAGGAAATATACTAGGCCACAACACTGTACTTTGGAACAGAAATTAAGTCATGGAAAATATCTTGGTAATTACCTGCATACTTACTATCCATTTCGAGCAATTGGCACCATAGATTCCACATCGTTCCCCCTGGATATGAGCAGTTAATAGCAAAGTTAGTGTTTAGTTATAGATAATATCACACTCGAACATAATTTCGCTTAAAACTGCATGTCGAAATTACGTTTAGACCAATTAAAATAGATATTTGCCACAAGAATTAATACAACGGACCAATTTATGTCATCCTACTAAACAGCTGGAAACTTATACAGAGCTAAACCCAAATTTACTAAATTGATATTTATGAACCAACTATTGGAAGCAGGAAATTCAGTCCGGAAAAGAAAGCATAGTCTGAATAGGTAGCATACAAAGATTGGAACCAAAGCAGTAAAGGCCTAAAGGTATGTAGAGTGAACTCTATATAAGTTAAGCTACCGTAGAGTGTTATAGGCTTAATGTATGCATAATATATGCCCAAGCTTAAATTTGGCCAGAACCTATGGTCATCACATTCACCTAACTAACAGCTGCATTTCTTGAAGTTGTGAACGTAACAGCTGAATGTGACTATTCCAAAAATTTACCTGCTTAACGCCACAACTGCGGATGGAAGCTCCAACCTTTAAAACTACATCATATACTTCCTTGTATGTTAACCACACATATTTACTTGCCTGCAAAGAAATAAAAACAAGAATCATTTTCGGTAAGTCAATGTATGCTATAGGAAAAGAGGAGGACATGAATATTCGAACAATCAAGAGAAAGCAGAAGGACTGGCACCCGACCTTTCCATTCACAATCTCGCGCTCACCAAGCATTGGGTTACTATGATATTTCTCCGCAGACGTGCTGTAACAAGGATGTAAAGGTACCACTTTAAATAGCTGTCATGAACATGAAAACTTCACCTAGGTACATCCAAAATTCATGTAGCAAATTGCAGCTAAGGTTTTGTTGTTTCAAGGGAAATTTAAAGTACTTGGACTGGTTAGAAACTCTTGATTTCTCTAAAAGCATTTACAACTTCTCCACAACAACATTTGAAGAAGTTCAACACAATCACTGCTCTAGAGGTAATTTTACTTTTACATTCATTGGTGCTCTTGGACCTTTTTAACCTAAAAAATTCCTCAAATCTAGTGAAGTGAATGTAATATAACAAACATAATGGTATAATGATAGCTTTTTCTAAAAACATTTTTATCAATTTTCTCGAATTTGATCCGAACACCAATTCGATGAAGTAACTGTTGGAAGTCCTTAATTCTATTATTAAATTAACCCTAGAACTGAAAGTTGGAGTCTGGATCTATAAACAGAGTGCTGAACAAATTGATATAATGCCAACGTACTTCCATAAACTCATTCACTGATTGATTCTTTAAGATTAGCCTAAACTTTCTTTTCTTTTTCTTTTTCTTCATTTTTTTTCCCCTCGTCCTACTTATCCTAAGGAAGCCTAAGAATACATCGCAAATGAGCAACAAGAGTAATCAGATTTTAATTTATATATTTGATACAAGTGCAATATAGCATGTAATAAACAAAAATAAGTAAAACACATAGAGACACACATTGTACACACACACAGAAATATAATGTATATAAGCAGATATGTATCTTGTGTGTGGAATCTTGAACTGCATCATGATTTACATATACCTCTGATGAGATGTATCTGAAACAACCAGAAATAAGTAAAGCAGTCTAATGCATCAGTGCGATTTCCATTAAAACCGCGATTAATGGAAGAATTTACCGGCCGCTCCGCCATTGCAAAGAATGAAAGCAAAGTAAAGAAAATTTTCGAATATGAGTAAATAATTGAATCCATTTCTAGTATAATTTTGTTTTCTCCGTTCTCGTTCTTTCCATAGAACCAAACAGTGGCCTTTTCACTTTCCTGGAAAAAACACGAAATTTTCTAGCACAGGAAAACCGTTGTTGCCAATAGGCGGTGTCGATGGGTAATCGCGGCAAAGAGAGTGGGCCTGATCTCAGTGGGACAGAGTATAATCAGCGAAATTTGCAAACTTCAGTCCAAGGTTTGGGAGGACGAAAAGAAAAAGTCCAAGGTTTCGGCTACGGTTATAAAACCGACTTCAAAAATATAGAAAACAATTAAACTAATGAGCATTAAATTGTGAGTTTAGAATTTTAATTATTTCAGCACTCGAAAACAATTCATTAAAATATTACTATTTGTATTTTATTTGTAAAAGTATTTGAATAAGTTTCTTATACATCTAAAAAAAATATTACGTAGATTTTTTTTTTTAATAATGGAAAATTTTTTTTTTTTTTTTTTTTTTCATTTGCAAGAAGCTCTAAATCCTAAATTTGAACTCTCACCTTTCACTTTTAAAAATAGATTAACTATTTATTCAATTAACAAAAAAATTGAACTCATAATAAGAAAATTTTAAATGTATTTGGATAATTAAATAAAAGAATAATTTTATATTACAAATTTTTTTTTTTTTTTTGGGAAAGAAATCATACTAAATAAGAGACGACAATCATTTATAAAAATATGAAAAACATTTGTCTCCTTTTATGCAAGAGAAAATCTATCCCTTATCGTTGATGTGTTATGAAACTTATGATATAATTGGACCGAGTTAAAATATGTTAACTGATTTAACATTAAATGGGTTAACTAATTGTTGTCATATTCCTCTAGTTTTTTTCTCATTTATTATTAATATTATAAAAAGTTATATTAATATATAATTACATATAAATTGTATAAAGTCTTCTTTGCATGTAAACACTATATACTTGTCTTGGCCCTTTGGTCAGAACCTCCCCTTTGTAACTTATGTATCATCATCACACATTGATCATGTGTCTTTTTATAAAATTAAAAAATAAATAAATATGAAATAACATCATCTAAGGGTTCAACTGATACCAAAACTATTAATATAGTCTAATTAAAGCAAGTTTATGAATAGAGAAGTATTGTTCAAATTCAAAATATAAATCGAAGAATTAAAAATAATAATAATAATAATAATAATAATCTCACCGGAAAATATCCCAGCAGCTCTGAATTCCTTTAGCGGGTGGACGGAATCCATCTTTTGCTAATACATTTCTATAAACTGGTCCAACTGATGGCCTTCCATCAGTTGCTTCTTTTGCCTTCTCTATCTCAACCACAAACTTCTTTTGTGCCATTAATTTGCTCTGTAATTAACAACAATTTTGGATGTCTAGAGTAGACTACTGGTGGTGTACGTCTTCAATATTTGAAGAAATTTGAATTAAAAGCCAGTAACTTGGGAATATATATATATATGATCATTTTCAAAAGTTTGGAGGCATTTGGTAGCCAAATTTGGGTAAGACCATATTGACTAGTACTAGAGTGCTGTGTTATATGCATGGAAAGGTAATTAATTACGTGGAGGCTATAACGTGCTGTTGTTCATATAAATATTAGGTTAAGTGGTTGACGTTTTAGTGTAATACATAGATTTGATTTTGAAGTTAGGTTGTGATTTGATCAACGCTATTAACCAATCACCAACCACATAAAACTGATGAAAACACATTTACGAACGCAGCTACATATGGTTGATATCATGATATATAAATAGAAAATGATAAATTATGTTTTTTTTTTTTTTTTAATTAACTCGGGAAATTCGGAAGGCACGGAACTCTCCACCTAGGCCAGGTAAGTCAACAATCGAGTACTTGAAACCCAAACCTTAGACTTGCAAAGCAAATGATAAATTATGTTGTCGTTCAAGGGCGGATCTATGATTTCTAAATGAGGTATACTAATTCTAGATTGGGCTAATTTAGGGATGGGCTGATATTACTAATTTTTTTATTTTTTTTTTTTTTCAAGCTGGACTAAAAGTAGAATAGTAAAAAAAATATTTTTTTTTGTTTGGACTGAAGCCCACCTTCACCCACTCCTCCCTCCGCCCTTATTGCAGTTGAAGAAGGTGCAACTTGGGCTGAATGAATCACTCCACCTCAACTCAATAGTTTTTCAATTGACAATGTTCGAGTTAAAATCAAACTGAAATTTAAAATTTTATCCCAGTGATATCTAAGTGCAAATATATAGATTAATTTTAATTTTTACACACAAACACAAAGAGAAAGCACGATAAACTTTGTTGATCTTAAAATGGTTAGGCGATCATCTTTGACCACAGACCATAGCACAAGTGTACTCATCCTCGTTCTAATTAGTAGGACTTCAAAAAATCAGATGAGGGAGAGAGTATATATAGGCATTGTATATATAGAAATTAAGTTGTTCCTCGTGGATGAGGGAGAGAGTATATATAGGCATTGTAATAGTTCAGTTTCTTTAGCTAGTTGTTACTACTACCACATAATTTTCGTTCAGTTCGTCCGTAATTGATGTGGTTGTTGCTTCTTGGACTCTGAAACATTCATATCTTAAATTGTGTACACAAATTGTGGACCCATAATTTTATATGCATACATTATGAATTTTTATTCACATGTGATCTTCTCTTATTTATTTACTTTAAAAAAAAAAAAAATTTATATTGAAAGATATAGAACCTATATCAAGAATTACACATTACTATAAGTTATTAAATATTTTTCTAATCCTTTAAAAAAAATACTCCGTAAAAGATAATCTGGAGCAAAACGACGTCTTATTGCTCTAATTTTTGTTTTTGGTTTTTTAAAAGTATCTGATCCTTTTTCTTTTTTTTTTTTAACCAAAATAAACTGACGTTTGGCAATGTTAACAGTATCTTCTCGTTCTCTGTCCGATGAAGAGTAGACAAAGTGGGTGATTTGATAAGAGAATTAGAAGAAGATGAAGATGAAGATGGGTATGGGTTTTGTTACAGTCTCTCTTTTGAAATGTAGTTTTTGGTGTTGACTTCGACGATGAGTTCGTAGTGATTTTGGGTCTCTGTTTTGTTGATGAGAATTCGAGGGCTTGGCTACTGATCAAAGGGTGTAGTAAAGAGAGAGGATTTGATTCGAAATTGTGGGATTGATGGAGATGTTTTCAGTGGATTGAAGAAGGGCGATATTGGGTTGAAATCGGAAGAGACAACGTTGCTTTCTTTTCAGATATTAACTTCAGATTTCATAGCCATTGGGTCATTTTAGGTCTCTTTGGTTGATGAAAATTTGAGAGTTTTGCTCTGGTGATGAAGGGTGTATAGAGAAAGAGGATTTGATTGGACATTTGGGGATAGATGAGGAAGTTTTTGGTGGATTGAAGAAGGGTCACGCTACAACAAAAGTTGGGTATAGGGTTCAATTCAACTAATGCTCTGAAAACCCTAATTTTGTTGACCTGGGGAAGAGGAAAAGCAGAAGGGTCGCAAAATAACTTAAACGCCTGCTATAATCTTCTTTTAAAACTCAGTGCAAAACCGTGTCGTTTTGCGCGGGGTGTTTTCTTATTTTTCGAGATCAAAATATCTCTAGTCACGCTTTACTATTATAATGGCGGGTGAAGTTCATCCCATGAATAGTGAATTTTGGTATTATAATGGTGTTCAATGGTGAATTTAGTTGTTGTAAAGTTACTATTTGCTTACATGTGAATTTCATAACATTACACTAGTGAAATTCAGCTACTTTACATAGAAATTCACCATTGATAGTGAAGTAGCTGGTTCCCATGTCCTGTTCATACATATTCAGGAATATGGATGATTTGGTGGAAGCAAAGGATCCCACAAAAGTATAAAGAATAGATGACCGGCTTTCTGTTCTTTTTTAAAGCGTCAACCCCGCGTTGAAAAAGAATGTAGCAACACTACTTTGGGAATAAAATTGTATGGTGGCTTATGGTTTCCTATCTTCCTGTGATCTGCCATTTATAGAATATTCCAATGCAGTAGGTGATGATGAACATTCATATTTAACCAGCAGACACTTTTCCACTGAGCTTTGTTTTTTTGCTAATTCCTTATTAACTGTTTAATTCAGGTATTTAGATTGAAGTTCATGTGATTTTGTAAGTTTAGTGGGAACTTTACCACAAGGGTGGACTTTATCCGAGGAAAATAGACCTATTGGAGAGTTTAGTAGCTGGGAGTATTTAAAGGAAGTTTGATAAAGATACAGAATTGAGCAAGAAAATGAAGAAAATATTAAGCTTACATCAGAGGAAAATTCTTGACCCCGAGGGGTCATTTCTTCAGAAGTGGAATAAAATATTTGTACTCTATTGTGTGGTTGCAGTGCTCTTGGATCCGTTGTTCTTTTATATACCTGTGATTAATGGCAAAGAGAAGTGCCTTGATTTGGACAAGAAATTGAATATCACTGCTTGTGTTCTTCGTTCATTCATCGACATATTGTACTTGCTCCATATTCTCTTCCAATTTCGTACTGGGTTCATAGCCCCTTATTCTCGAGTATTTGGAAGGGGTGATCTAATTCATGATTCTTATGCTATAGCAAAAAGATACTTGTCTTCCTACTTCATCATTGACGTTTTATCAATTCTTCCCTTTCCACAGGTATACAACTTTCTTGTATATAGTTTTGTCGTTCTATCATACAGTATGGTCTTTATGCACCTTTCATACAACACACAAATTTTGATGAATATATATATATGTAATTTTTTAGGTAACAGTAAATATATTTGTTTCATCAAAACACTTCTTAAAAATTGATAACTCATTAGGTTGTGTTATATCTTTTTTCCCCCCTGGAAAATTGATAATTCATTAGGTTGTGTTATATCTCTGTTCAGGTGGGTGTTTTAGCCATGACCCCCATAAGAAAGATCCCTATTCCACTGATCTCAATGAATTGGATGGAAATTGTCTTTCTCTTACAAATCATAACAAGACTTTACCGGATCTATCCACTATATAAAGAAGTGACAAGAACTTCTGGCATATTTACTGAAGTAGCATGGGCTGGAACTGCTTTCAGTCTCTTTCTCTTTATCCTAGCTGGTCACGTAAGTTCCATTGATCCATCTCTTATTCTTGACACTTTCAATAAATCACATGCTCATTAAACGAAGTATCCACAATGTCTTTATAGGTTTGTTTGTTCTCAGTTATATGCGATATTGACTATCCTCCATTTTATTTTTATTTTTAGCCATTTTAGGTGTACTTGTGTATAAGTCCTATATCTATGTATATGCGCACACATGATTTTTCAGGTTTTGGCACAAATAAGGTTGTTGGACAAAGGATGTGGAAAACCTAAATTCTATAAGACAATTGAATAATAGAAAATTGAATATACATTATATTTGAGATTGAATGAGTTGCGATAGTTGACCTTTTAGAAAAGTAAGATATGGATACAATGGTACAGTAGAAAACTTTCTCTAGCAACATAAAGGATCATTACTCAATGTGGTCCTGGTCAATTGAGGAGGTGGGAAAGGTGGACTCAGCTCATTCTTACTTTTTGTACAAAATGACTACTCTCAAAATTCAGCCCATGTTTTCATGCTTGTTTGATTCTAATTTGTAGTTTTCCATTTTTCTCTCTTCTTTATTGTTGATATGTTATTTTGCACTTGAAGTCGACTGTATAACAACTAGCCAACCAATTTATATTTAATGAATTAGCTAGCATACAATTATTGCTTTTGAGTTTGGTTTTGATCTAAACTTTTGTTAGAACCAAAAGGCAGGACCCGACTTGAAATCTGTAAATAAATATAGGATTGAACACAAACGTAAGAAGATTCTTGCTTGGTCAAGTATAGCTCCTGAATCCAGGAACTTGAGAATTAATGAAACTTTTGGACAGATCAAAGGGAAAAAAATTCTTCATGAAATAAATATGATGGTGAAATGATGTAAAAGTACTACAAAGTAAGAGAGTTTTAAAGAATGTAAAAGAGTAAGAAATAAGAGGATTTAGAAATGTATAAGAAATTAAATAAAAATTCACTGTATGATCTTTACATGCTTATCTACTTACTTTAAACAGATTACTGCGATCAAGATGGAGTTAAAAACTTTTATATATAAAGTGAGATAATAATTCAATTATCAATCTAGTAGATTAAGTTACAATTATATACAAAAATGTAATGGAAGATCAACTTGTCTGGCTTTTCGTGGTCTTTTCTTAAGCGGTCTAAAGATGCTCCTATCATCTCAATTCTCTGCAAGCAATTATATCCAATGAAACCTAAAATTATTTATTGAGAGTATTTTTTTTATCCTGACAATACAAAGCAAAAACTAAGACAAAACAGAAAGATCAACATGAATAAGATGCTGCAGCCAGAGGTCACACCTACCACTTAAAGTCAGCCCTTTTACAATTGATAGCCCATTTACCTATCTCATGAGCCACACCATTACATGCTCTAGGAGCCCACTGGAGGATGAACATCTCTCTCCCACTGCTCACCAGAGCTTTGATATCATTTATAACCACAGCAGAAAGATCATCAACTAGGGACAGGGCCACAAGACCTTTACAATCACCTTCAACAATAACTTCAGAATATCCCCACCTTCTGAGGAGCTTAATTCCTTCCCTCACGACGAATGTCTCAGCCAAGAATACAGACTTAATATTCTGAAAGATCAGGGAGCAATCCTCACTGGACTACCCCTGTCATCCCTAAGAATGAGACCACCACTGCATTCTTTGTTGGACATGTTAAAAGCTGCATCAATATTCATTGTAAACATCCACTCTGGAGGAGACCATTTCGCAGTGCAAGGATTTGCTGTACATGTTATGCTAGTAGACTTTTGACTATGTTTGGTTTTTAGTACACTATATTCCTAGTTAGGATTTCAACTCATATAATTTAAAATTCCAAAATCACTTATATTTATTTATTTTATTCTGACAAGAAACTCACACACTCACTTTGTCTTGAATCCTCGACCTTCTACTTTGGAAGGTGAGTAAGTATCAAATGACTATAATCAAAATCATTTATTTGTACCAAAGGGCCTTTGGCCCAATGGTATAACCTCCCCATCTTCAAAGAGGAGGGGAGGGGTTCGAGCCTGGGCGTGGGCAAAAAAGTGTGTGTGTTTGCTTTACCATCCAAAAAAAAAAAAAAAATCATTTATTTGACCCTCCAATGTTTTAAAAAATTATTTTAAAATTTTTGTAGGTACGGATTACAAGCCTTTGCGTTGAACAAGTTGTATATATTTTTGGAACCACAACTTGGTAGCTCCATTATAGCAATGCAAAAGATCAAAAAGTTTTTTGATCGCATGCAGAAGGAATTCATACACCATATGTATTGTTCTGACAATAAAATGACTCTCATGTACCAGGGACTTGGAGCTTTATGGTACTTGATCAGTATACAACGAGAATATAGTTGCTGGCGCATTGCATGTGATAGACATGAATTTAGCTACGACTATTTGTACTGCGGAGAACACCGTATAGAAGACCATGCATTTCTAAATGTTTCTTGCCCCCCTCTTGAATCAAATGAAATAAAAGATGAAACGGACTTTGACTTTGGGATATTCCTTGAGGCTCTTCAGTCTCGTGTGGTGGAATGGAGAAATTTTCCACGGAAATTCTTTTACTGCTTTTGGTGGGGTCTCCGAAATCTAAGGTCTGTTGTGCATTTGTGATCCTCTGAGTTTTGATCTATGCTAGTATTACAGTTTTTCTCTTTCTATTAGATTTTATCAGATGCTCTCTTCAGTATTCTTAATCGTAGGCAAGTATTGTTCTTATCTATACATCTGTATTTAGTATTAAATGTACTTAAAATTTCTCTATAATTTTGTTTTTGTTTCTTATATGATATTATTTAATTAATACAAAAGATATATATATATATATATATATATTTATTATTACTATTAAATATTTTATTTTATTCAAAAGGTAAAGATGGGACAAATTCCATCTTACACAAAATTCTCATTACTCTCTTTATATATCTAATATATCTTCAAAAGGTAAAGAAGTGAAACAATTTCTTTGTCCTTCAGGAACACTCACATTTCAGAGTGATCTCAAAGGTACCATTGCACTTATTTTTGAGGGCTAATTTTGTCATTTCATTTATTAAAAAAAATCATATGGAGTATAATAGTACAAAAATAAGGTGAAAATATCACATTACATTTTTCTTATTAGAGCTTTTTAACTGCAAATTTTCTATTTAATATTTATTATTTGATGGTGGTTCCCAACTTCCCCTACATCCCATGAGCTAATATGTTGTGCTTGCTTTACTAGATTTCAATTCCATAACAACCTCTTAGAAAATTGAAAGGAAATTTGTAGGGGTGTAACTTGGGAATGTTAACACGAACCCAACTCGAGTACAATTTGATTTTAAGGGATCTGGACAGCTATTTGCAATTAGGATTGAGTTTTGGCTGAAAATTTTTAATCTGACGTTAATTAGGATTGACCTAGGTTGATGCATAAGCAACCTATACCCAAATATTAACCTGACTTCCATACATTTATAATTTTTACTGCATTATATGTATTTATATTGTGGTCAACCATTTTTCTTTCAAATTCTTTTTTTTTTTTTTTTTTAATCTTTTTTAATCTTTAAATAAATATTAATCTTTTGGAAAATAAATTTCTCGAGAATATGTTTACATACTTTTATATATTGAAATTCTTTTTTTTTTTTTTTTTTTTTTTTTTTGGATTTTTAATGAATAGAGTAACCAAACCTTAGACTAACCAAAGATCAACCCGATTTTCAGATTTTTCTAACCCAAGCTCAACTAGAGTTCAAAAATTGAAGTGTGGGTTGGGTTCGGGCTATGAATCTTGAATTGAAGGCCGGGTTGAGTTGGACTTTGTTTGAAGGTTTGATACTTTAAGTTGAGACTGGGTTGACCCCTCAACCTGCCAGAATTGCACCCCTAGTTATGTGTCTAAATGGCATGTAAGCAGGTCATTCTTCTTCATTCTGCTCCTGAAAATGTCAAGTTTCTGGTAGCGAGATGCATCTCATACTAGTTTTTTTTTTCAGAGATAATGATCTGGAATTAATTTTACAAGGTTCATACCTATTCCAAGACTTTGTAAGCAAGTGTTTGCTAAAAAGATATCACTTTTATCTTCTTCAGTTCTCTTGGACAAAACCTCAAAACAAGCTCATTCATTGGAGAGATTCTCTTTGCTGTCTTCATTTCCATCCTTGGATTGGTTTTATTTGCGATGCTCATTAGCAATATGCAGGAAAGTACGTACACCATTCTTATTCCATACTCTTGGCGATTAGATGTTGCATTAAGCATATGATATCTTACACTAGTATGCATATACCACAGTACAGAATTTTGGTTTTATACATCAATTTAGATTGTCAGTGCTAAGACATTTAGTACATAATTGTTAATTTTTTTTTTTAATAATTTCACATTTTAACATATACAGAAAATAATTTCTAATAATATGTTGGGAAATTTACATTTTAGCATGAATAATGTGGACGACACTATCATCAAATTACAAATAAAATGGGAGTACAGGATATATCTTTAAGATACAAATCATATCCACTACTGATCATATTTGTGCTCGCCCAAAGAGATACAGGGTGTACTCGTCTTGTGTCAAGTTGTCCAAAAACGTATATAAGGTAGTGAAATATGTGAAATAGAAATATATGAAAAGAACGAAATGGAACTTAGAGAGCAAAAGTATATATACAAGTATAGAAGAGTCCTCTTCTTATAGTAGTTGCTCAAGAATGTAACAGTAATAACTAATAAGAGGTATAATTTCTAAATTAAAAACAACATGAAACAGTAATTAAAATCAGAATAATAAAGTTTAGCATTTTATTTTATTAAAATATCACTAACACAACACACGCACCTCCTAATTCCTGCAGCTGAACATGCATGCTTGTGTCCTTTAACAAAGCACACCGTCTTACTCACATGACGCTAGCTCTTTGCTGCTATTATGACCTAAATTTCAAATATTCTTGTTTTTGTGCCACTGTAGAAGTATATGCATCCGCAGCCTATAACTGCTAGGATGGAAGAGATGAGAGTAAAAAGGAGAGATTCAGAGCGGTGGATGGCCTACCGCATGCTCCCTGAGAAGATGAGGAAGCGGATTAGGCGGTATGAAGAGTACAAATGGGATAGAAGCAGAGTTGTTGATGAAGAGTCTTTGGTTTGCAGCTTTCCTAAGGACATCAGAAGGGACATAAAGCGCCATCTTTGCAGGGATTTAATCGGGAGAGTACGTGCATTCCTAAATTTCCCCACATTCTATAGTGTTCTCAATGCGCATGCATGAATGCATCTTCATCTGCATTCCTTGTGCAAGCATTAATATGTCTCTCTCCGCATTTCTCAACTAGAAGTTTTTGTATGGGACTCATCTAGAAGGTTCTATCATAAGTTTGCTAGGTTCCAATGTTCGACAAAATGGATGAACAATTGTTGGATGAAATATATGATCGTCTCAAGCCAGTTCTTTATACAGAGAACAGCCTCATAGTACGTGAAGGGGATCCCGTTGATGAGATGCTCTTTGTGATGAGTGGCAAACTATCGAGTGCAAGCACTGATGGTGGGCGAACTGGATTTTTCAACAAAGTTTATCTTATGGCTGGTGATTTCTGTGGAGAAGAGCTTCTTACATGGGCTTTGGCTCCCCACTATTCAGCCAGTCTTGCCACCTCAACCAGAACAGTACAAGCTGTGACTGATGTTGAAGCTTTTGCTCTAATGCCTGACGACCTAAAATTTGTGGCCACCCAGTACCGGTGTCTTCACAGCAAACAACTCCAGCACACTTTCAGGCAAGTAGTACCACCAGGCTTTTTGGAATGTGGTAGGTAATAGTACAATACATTTTGCCTAGTTTTTCACTTTGTGGCAGTCTTTTATGGTGGAAGTAATGATTCAATTCCCTTTTCTTCTCTTATTCTTCTTCTTCGTATTTTTTTTTTTTTAATAATTGTGTAATGCACCACAAATACTTTAACTAACACTGTATATCCTCATCTCCTCATATGAGAGGTTGAGAGTTCAAGTACCTATTAAGGCAATAGTGGCTGCATGTGTGTGCACGCCCTTGCCTATTAAAAAAAAAAAAAGAAAAAAACTAGGGCAAAAAAAAAAAAAAAAAAAAACTATCCCAAGATGTTTAGTGACTATTGTTTGGGGTCATAACATTTCTATTGCGCTAATCATGATTCTAGGTTCTACTCACAACAGTGGAGAACATGGGCAGCCTGTTTTATCCAGTCATCTTGGCGCCGATATAGGCGGATGAAGCTTGACAAATGTGTGCGTGACGGAGAAAATAAACTTCAGATCGCATTGGCAAAAGATGCTGGCACCTCTACAAGCTTTGATGTTGGCCTTCATATGTCAAAATTTACCACCAGAGCACTTGGAGCCCTGCGGAGGGATCATGCACGCTTAGCCAAATCACCACCAAGATTACCAGTTTAACTGTTTCACGAGGCCAGCTGAGCTAACCACCAGAGATTGTGAATGAGGTGTGGATTTTCTTCTGATTTTTAGAAAATATTCTGCTTCGTATAACTCAGTTCAAGAGGTTTTTGTGTATGGCTTATACTTTTAACTTTAACATTTGATTAGAAGTATGGTTGATATAGCTGTAACAGAAACATTATTTGGCTTTTATAATATATTTTTCTTTTAAAATAGCATTATTAATACTCGTATTGAAATTCATATGATGAAAATGGCAGCTATCCAAATCTTTCATGACTGGTAACAAACTCTAATTATCAACACATAAGGTCAATTGCTGACATACCATTATTAAGGATTCTTTATATCAATGTCATTATCAATCAAACTGGAGGTGTGTGTCTGGATAGAACTGAATGGCAATAAGTTATATTTTATTTTTAATTTTTTGATGATTAAGTTCATTCAAAAGCAGCAAAAGGTGCTACCCAAGTACACACGGAGATAAAGAGCATAATCAACGTAGAACGGGGTGTCGATGAATATGGAGGCTGTTTGGACTGCCGAATGGCTAAATAAAGGGACTGACATTTTTCAGAGTGGTTTTACAAGTCCAGTTCGATTCACAGAGGTTTGACTGTCAATAACAAGAAGCTTCACTTGTGAAATACACTCCTTTCTCAGCCAAGTTCATCTTTTAGGGCTCCGTTTCTGCATTTTTCAGTATTAGGTTGAATTGTACCTAGCTTTAGCTAATTTTTAGTAATTATCTTATTTTAGTGATTAGCTTCTTTTTTATTATTATTATTTTTTTTTTTTTTTTTTTGTGATTTTTAGAAATATTGCCAAATTGGCATGCTTTTTTATAGGATTCCTTTTGTTTTCCGGATATTTTTCCCTAAAAATATACTGTAAATTTGGTTTACACATTTATAATAATATTTAAATTTTCTCTGCAGCTTGTGTTTGAGATATAATTTCCATTCAACACATAGTCAAACTATATATATTGCTTGTCTGTAAAAGTGTAGGCATGTTATATGGACTTGCGATGTATGGATTAATTTGCATGATTGGGTGCTTAAAGTTTTATTTGATGAGAAAAAAGTCAAAACTCAAAAAATTAATGAATAATGCACTCTAAGTGGGAGAATATAAGAATTTGTATAAAATATGTGAGTCAACATAGTCATTATGATTCAGGAAAAACCAAACAATAAAAATAATAATCATTCATTATGCTTTGGTTTCAATGGTTTGTGAAAAATGAATTACAGTCTCTGATGGCGCATGGATATGATATGGAGGTTTTCTAGTAAGTATGGGGTAGTGGGGCCTTTTAATGACAATTATTTATGGATTGCATAGTATATGTGTATATATATATACTATGCAATCCATAAATAATTGTCTTAGTCCTTGTACAGTTATACTCATTCACTGTGGTCCTTCCCATTAGACTTGAAAACGTAAGGCAGAGAAGAAGACCTCTTTCACAAGACTAAGGATCTCCTGCAATTTCTCCTACAATTTTCATATTATGGTCTCATATACATGATTGTGATCGTCGGCCAAGATCACTGCACAAGAATATTTTTTATTAAAATTTCTTATATTGCACCATAGATGTAGAGAGAGGGAGATTCATAGAAAAATGTAGCTAGTAATTCAATTTACCTTGGTGGCTACATCGCATTATTAATTTATTGTCCAATAACATCTTTCCTTACAGATACATAATGATGCTTTATTAATCGACCAATTATTGTGTCGCTATATATAACTCATTCATATCATATAAGTAATTCTTCTGGACAATCTGTGACGGCTGGGATTCTAGCTGTTAATTAATTAGGACCATATCTGCCATTGCAATCCTGCATGCATGAGCAAACATGGTTATCTGTATTTCATGAGACAGAGAGAGATCAGTGTGTGTGTGTGTGTGTGTGTGTGTGTGTGTGTATATATATAGAGAGAGAGAGAGAGGGGGGTGAGAAGTTACTTGGAACAGTCAGTGTGACTGTCAATTGGAGGCAGAGAAAGATTGACTCCGCATTTTTTGGGAAGAGGAGGGATGCGACTAGGATCATATTTGAGCTTAGACAGAGCTACCTTTCCACAGTTGCAAATGGCTACACGATCATCTTTGGTTTTTGCAGTGGCACTCAAACTCTTAATGCCTGCACAGCAAGCATCGGATGGGTCACTACCCTGCAGGTAAGTAAGGCACGGGGCCAATGTTGTGCTAACCACTGCACATGAAGGTGCACTCATGGCTGACCTTGAAACTAGTAAGAGAATAGTGACCACGGACCATAGTGGACGAGGACTCATCTTTGCTGTAATTAGTAGGATTTCCAAATATCAGATGTGGATTTGAGTTGTTCTTTGTGGAGGAGGGGGAGTGTACTTATATAGGCGTTGTAATATTAGTTCAGTATCTCTAGCTAGTTGTTACTACCACACAAGTATCATGACTTCGAAATTTATGCAGGTTGTTGCTTCTACGACTGCCAAACATTCATGTTTCAAATTGTGGGCAATTTTGATCTCATCAGTTGATAAATGAACTCATACGTTTCGTGTGTGGTTGATCTCCCTATAGTTGGCCTTGTTTGCGGGTATGTGTTCACAACAAACCCGGGCAGGTTTTTGAGACAACCCATGGCCGAGCACCTAATGAAAATGACTTTCTTCCTATTTGCAGTCGCTCACTATGGAGCAAAAACCCACTTGAAATGTGTCCTCGGAGTTTAAAAATACCTCCAAGCACAGTGAGTTCAGCAGACAGAATGCCATTCTGGCAAGAACGAACCAGAGTTTGATGGCAATCATCCCTCGTCATCACCCATGTAACCATTACACATCCATGGTAACTATGAAGCATCAGTAACATAATATGCCACAAGTAGCGCAAGGATCATTAAATGGACAATATACATCTTTTTCTAAGATTTAAAATGTTTATTAAAATTGACATCTATGTACAAAAAGGTTCTGCCAAGTGGCAAGGAAAATAAGGCGACAACATTTAGCAACCATATGGAAAGTTGAGTTTTAAATATAAAAACTCTTCTGATACATCCCAAAATATTTATAACCCAGAATAATTGAAGGTTCCAGCTAGGGATAATTTCCTATGAACTGAACAAGATTGTATCTGTATATCTATTTACACTTTGGTGTTCCTTACAATGTACTTGTATATGTTCTGTTTAATGACTTTCTGAGTTCGGACTTGGAGTTTGCAGTGCGCTTTGTGTACAAGAACTCTCAGTTTGGGGAAGTGATTGCAGGACTATGTCAACTCATGGAGCAGAAGGTCGCCTTGAGCTTGCAGCTGGAACTTCAGTATGTGAAGATACCGTTGCAGAAAGAGGCTGGAAATTTGTATTCCCAATAAACCAGTATAGAGCCCATTTCAAATTGCAGAGGGTGTATTTGAGAGCTTTTGTCCAGTTCTCCTGTTTGTTGAAGCTCTGAGTGATGGAGTAATTTTCCACTCTGTCATTCTCAATCCTGCAAAAGCGAATTCTAGATTATTTGACTAAAAAACGTCCACAGTTCTCATACAAGTCTCTAGTTGTATGTGATTATTCCATCAAGTGTATGAAAGCCCAAATCTGTCGCTTTCAAAGACGAGAGAGAGAGCTCTCTGTTTTCATTCAGTGTTCATCGACCAAATTAATAGGATATGAAGTATTTTTTTGCCATTTCATTTCCAATTTCCTCACCGGGGAGGAGGGATGACAGATGAATCAGATCAATGGTCATAATCCAAGTGTGCCATGCGTAGTTCAAGACAGATAATATATCAAAGGTCCATCATCATTGTTCAATATTTAGAACAAATTCCCACATACAACAACAATAATAATAACAAGGGTAAAGTACACTAACGCCCCCTAAGGTTTGCCAAAAGGACACACATATGAAACTTAGCCTATTTTGGGACAATGATGCCCCCTTTCTGAAATTCCAACCAAACAAGGCATTAAATCTCCTGAAAAGACAAAATTACCCCTTAAAATTTAAAATCAGATTTAAAAATAAAATATCAGATATAGTAAAAAGACTCAATTGCCCTCACAGCCACAAAGCATGGTAGTACACTCAATACATGAATGATCTTATGGTTAAACTCAAAATTACTTAAATCTGACTCTCCAGAGCTTAGATTCTATCGAAAAACTACAGCTGAAATGGTTGCTCTGACAGATACACAACTGAAAGTGAAAATATTACCGGAAATATATATATATATCTGAAAGTGAAAATACTAACAAGAAACACACTACCACATGAATAGTCTTCACAATTAAACTGTCCAAAAACCCAATCTGACTCATTATGGCCAAACAATTCAGTACCTACCCTGAAAACTAAAACCTTACAATTTTAAGCCGATCATGCATAAACAATTGCATATCAACATTTTGATTAGAAAACACACACGCACACACACACGCACACACACATATATATATAAATCCTTCAAGAACATGAAAAAAAGATATGATTAACACAAAATTTAGCTACCCATTAAGCTTAAAAGGCAAAAACAGGAAAAACAAAATTAAATTAAATTACAAAATAAATTTTAGGTGAGTTCAATTAAGGTGTTAAAAGAGTTCTAACCTTGGTTTTTTTTTTTAGCAATGTAGCTGATACTGTTGATGGGTCACCACCATTATCACTATTAACGAAGCTGATCGAGAAATGAAGATTGACGATGACCAGAATTGAATGAACCCAAAAGAAAACTTTAATTGTAACGTTAAGATTAATGTGGAAGAAACGAAGCAATTTTGCTACTGGTACCTCAAGTCCACCGACAAACACCCGTGCAGTAAATAATTTGCATATATATTTATATATGAATGTATAAAGAGAGAGATTACGAAGTCACAAAGTAGACAGAGTGCAGAGTGATGATAAAGTAGAGAGAGAGAGAGAGAGAGGTGACAGTTGCTTTGATGGAAGAGCGGGTGTCAACTTCATGCAGTGTATGGTAACGCCATAGACTTTGGTTAGGCGCGAAGGGGAGTGGTGAAGTGCACGCGCCGAGAGGGTGTGGTGGGAGTGAGAACGGAGAGAGGAGAAGTAAAGAAATGGGTTATTTAAGGTTAGAAAGGTAATTTCAACATTTAAATGGATCAATATAAAAGTCAAAGGGAAATGTCAATTCATTACCATTGGGGTGTCTTTGGTAACAATATGAAACTTGAGGGGGTGTTATTGTCCCAAAATAGGCTAAGTTTCATCTATGTGTCTTTTTGGTAAACCTCAGGGGTGTTAGTGTACTTTTACCCTAACAATAACAATAACAAGAAGCCTTTTTCCCAACTACTTGAATCCTATGTTTCCATTCCACTCTGTCCAAGGCCATAGCATAGTTGAACAAAACTCCAACAGCTCAGTCAAAGAAGAAAAAATTCTCACATAGTTGAACAAAACTCCAACAGCTCAAACATTAGGGTAAGTCAAAATGCATTGGAGCCACTAGCATAAAAAATAAATAAATAACGGCCTGAAATAAATATGTTCCTCAACTTCCTCCAAGACAAAAAGGCAGCAATTTAATTTGACATTCTTAATTATGAGCACCATTGTTCCATAGCATCTTCACAAATCAAATTATCACTCTCCCAGGATTTTTATCACTATTGACTACCATATAACCTAGAATTTACGGTATGAATCATGTTTTATAAGAATATTACATTAACATAATGTATCACAAAGAGATATGAAAAACAAAGATAGCTGCAGATAGTAAACACAGGCGAAGGTATAAATAAAATTTTAAAAAATACAAAAGGAGACTTACTTGTAAGGAAGCTTAAAACATTTCTCAGGTGGTATGTTGTTTTCCTTATCTTTAGAATTTGCAAACTCTGATAACTCCTTAAGGCAAGTCAAGAACAATGTCATTGCTTTGTCATAGCGAGTGCTCCAAAACAAGTTCACTGGCCCAAATCTAACAAATACTCACGCAAGTTAAAATTCCTTTAAGCAAAAGAGGATTAATGTCAGAAGTGAACCAGATGCATGACCTAGATGTCCAATTTAGACACCAACATACTAAAAAATACACTGCAATGGTTCATCATGATCATCAACGAGCAAGAAAAAGGCAATTGAATGTAGATTAACGTGGATTAAGACAATGAGAAAAGATATGATTGCCTTTTGAAAAATAGGGCCTTAGATGCATATGAATGACGAAGAGAATGTGGCTGACCCATACAGTTGTGGTTAAGGCTTCTTGAGTTACAATCATCTATGCAGACCACTCCAATAAATTCTTAGAACCCATTAAATGAAAATTCTTCATGCATCATATACTGGAAGGTTACTTGTGTTCCATTCAAGTCTAAGCTGCATTACTTTCTTAATTTTAATAAATTCTAGTCCAACTGAGAATCAAGGGACTCGTTGCTTAAATAAATAAATAAATAGGAATCAACAGAGAATTCTCACTTACAGCTCATAAGTATTGTTGCTGCTGTCCATAATTCGAGGATAACTCCCCATTGGAAGAATTTTTATCCGACATCTGAATATCAATAACTTAAGGATACAGCAGATAACATTTCATAAACATCACTTCTAGTAGAATGACGTGGTCAGTTTTGCGTTCACAACAATTAGTGTTCCCAGGATTCTATTTGCTTCAGACATAAAAGTCCAAAGAAAGGAGTAATCAACACATCGACAAGGACGTGTACAACACTTCTATATTGAAGTGTTTCCCTATTGTAGGGCCCAGAACAAAGGTTTATCTGGCAAGGATGTGTTTAACACATTGATGTAAAATGCCTGAATCTTGAAGAACATAAACTCAGTTTTATAATTTACCATGAAGTGCATACACCCATGGTTTTTCCAGTCCTAAAGTAAATTTCATTAAATTTATAAGCATAGCTGATTTGCTAGTCCAATAATTATGAATCCCATCAACCTTCAGGTACATGGTGTCATGCAGTAGTTTAGCAATATTTGTCTGGCACTTACAATAATTAAAGCATATTTGGATAATTTCTGGCATGAGAATTCTTATAACATAAACAAAGAATTTGATGAACATAAAAAAAACTCTTGTAGAATTTGACTTCCAAACTAATTATCTATATTTTTATAAGACATAGCCTCATATAATATTTTTATTTTCTAGAAACCTCCTTGTGAGGAGTTTAAACGACTTAATTAACCTTTTGGTGGAAGTTTCAGCACCGAATCAGTTAAGGTATATATACACACATATACGTACGTATATATGTATATGAAAAAACCAAAAAAAAAAAAAGGTAGCAATGTTGGTAACTATTATTATTATTTTTTTCCCTGGGTAAATAGTGAGGTTGATAATGTACAGCCCATTAAGGCTCCCTCAAAATAAGGTCGCACTCTTTTCAAACACCGGTCAACATAAAATAACTACAGCAATATCACAAAATTAAGTGAATAAAAAATAAAAAATAAAAAAATAAAAAATAAAAAATTGAAGTCACAATTGGTACATCATGCACATAATACTTGCACTGCCACTAATATTTGGTTATAAACTTTGAAAGTGCACAATCATCTAGTCAATGGAGGAATGCACAAGTGTCTAAGGCTTCTGCAACCAAAATGATTTGTCCAAGCATATGTGGCCAACTACAAGTAGGGCAAACACATTCTATATATTTCAGTTGTACGAGAAAAATATCTATAATAGAAGATTAATTTCAATAGAAAATGCAAATTAATTATGAAAAAAAAATGCAAATTTACAGATGTGTAGCAGCGTAGCTACAACAAAAAGATACTGGAATTTTGGCCGGAAATATTGAGCCATTGTATGAAGGAGAAGACAAGCTTGGCCCCAAGCAGCATTTATCTCGTCCCACTCAACCTAACCATTTCCGAAACATTGTAAACAATGACAAATTACTTCTAAAATATGAAAACGGATATTTAAAGTTTATCTCAAAATAAGGAATGGATTGGTAAGAAGGTAAGGAGCCATCCTCTATACCATGTCAATAGTGGCTTTAACCATTTGACAAAATAAGCATGTGACACAGAACAATGGACTGGCATAATATATCATCTGGACAATACCAAACATTAATATATTACAGATTAGGTCACAGATTTTGCCTATAACACAGCCTTGTGTTTGTGGTCATTTGATGCAAGTAAAAATTAATAGCCTTGGAAAGTGTCTGGTCAAAGTTTTAATTATGGGTAATCTGAAAATGTAATGGGAATGGTAAAAGCTTCATTAATGCTCCTTGGGTAGTCTAAAAGTCAGTAGAGGAAAAGCAATTGTCATTAGAGCAGTAATAGGAGAACCGAAAGGTATCCTCCGAATTAATCACCGAACTTTACGTGAGTTGGTCACGTCAGATTCTCACCAGCAAAAGAGCCCATCACGTGTAGGTAAAAAAAATAAATAAATAAAAGGAAGGTGAGAAGATGATTGTATATCGTGAAAAGGAATACCGGAAAACTTAGAAGTCTCCAAATTTAAAAAGAACTTATCTTTATCTTTTTTTAAAAAAATCGACTTATCTTTATCTTGTTATGTAGTATATTTTATAATTTTTTTTTTTCTTTCATAATTGGTATATTTTAGAATTTACACTGACTAGATACATCAAATTAAATCACTGTACCGATTGAATTGTTGCTGGAGAAGAACACTGATTCAAAACCCTAGATAGAGAGAGAGTCAATCCCGTCCCGAATTTTTGTGCGTGATTCGAATACAGGATGATTATGTAATTCTTAAAATTAAATAATTGAGTAATACCTAAATCTATTGAGAAATTTGTAGAAAAAAAATCTTTCAATATTTATGATCTGTTACCAACATATATGTAATTGTGTGTGTGTGTATATATTTCTATTTGTATATACCCACCTTCTTCCGGTCATCTTCACAGTGTTCATGGCTCCATTACCTTCCTCGTATTCTTCTCAAACAATTTTTTTATTCAATTTATTTTTGGGGGTGAGCTAAGCACGTGATGGCTCTTTTACTCTTCACACGCAAGAGATTTTAGAGAATCTGACGTGGCTTGGCCACGTTAGATTCGGTCGTTTTTTCGGGGGTTATCCTTCGGCCCCCTTTTCATTTTCCTTGTCATTAATAGTGGTCTTATAAAAGGGACAGGCCTATGTATCCGCTGAATCAAGTCATAATCAAATATATTTTGAGTAATTATCAAATTTTAAAGAAGTTCTTCAGGCTTTACGTAGATTTCTTAGAAATCTAGGCTCCAACAGTGATTGGAGAATTCCCAGTCTTCCTTACTACTGTAAGGAGACTTGTTCATTTCTGTTTGCTTCATCATTGAATCAGTTCAAGTTTAATGCACCTAGACTATTTTGCTAGTGCAACACAATCTGTGTTTGTTCTAACCCACTTGAATTTGCATAAGACACGGACTCAAATAAAAGACAGATTTTAAATTTACTTTTAATCCTGGATATCCTATTGGTAAGACACAAAATGCATTTGTTACAATTCACTGATTCAAGGACAATTTTCATATAAATGGCATTCTCCTTCATACCTGAATTTTAGGAAGCCTTCCAAGTCGAAAGTTGTTAATAGTTCCAAATTCTCCATCATACCAGATAGGAAAGGCATCACTGAGCACATTAGTTTTCTTCAACAGCTCCAAATGCGCTTGTGAAACTTCAATCTTGGCCAAAATTGCATCCCTCTCTTCCTGTTGACCGGAAACTCTAATTAAAATAGAGTACACAAATATGGTTCTCAAAAAAGTAAACAAAATTTCTAACTAAAAATATTTGCAATTACAAAAGTCTAAGTAGTTGAAGGATCCGAAGGGAAACCAAGCAGAGCTAGCATGCCTATACGTGATCATAATAAATGTTTCATGCATCCTCAGTTATAGTTAATTTATACTTGTTGTGATCCATGAACTTATCATGTGCATGCATGTAATAATTGGAAGAAAATTATCTCAACCAACCTGATGTGAGATTAACTGAAACTGGAAATTATTGAACTCGTGCCAATACCTAATAAGACAAGTCCAGAAAATCGTAAAATTAGCAAACAACGGTTCCAACATATATTGTATATATAGAATGTTCTAAACAAAGAAACTTACAATTATATTAAATAGACATCTTAACACTCTACCAGAATCCATTCAAAAGGGCAAGTTACTTTCACTGAATTATTGCAAGTAAAGACACTTACCGCTCCTCCAACTCTTTAAAGCGGCTAGATTTAATGTCTAGTTCCTTCAATTCAGCAGTTACTTCTGCACACTGTTTCTCTGTTTCCTCAATTGCTGCTTCAAGTTTCCGTTCTTCTTCTTCAATCTTAAACATTCAGAGATGTTAAAAGAATCCTTTGACCCTCAAAGGGAAAATTTCAGTATGTCATGTTAACTAATACTAACTGATAGATACATTCAGAAGAAAATGCATTGATAGCAAGTACATTCTGTCCAAAATATACCATAAATGATTCATCACTCAGATATATATTTGAACTGTTCTGCAACTTGTAAGATAGCACAAATATACTACAAAAATCCAAAAAATAGTACACAGGTTTGCATCTTGGCCTCATAAAATTCAAATTCATTTAATAACACAGTTTATCAATAGACACTACTAGCGTCATAGCAAAAATATAAATTTCCTGTAGAGGTTTAGCAGCCAGCATGTAAATAATTAGCAAGCCATAAATGTCCATTAATTCATACCGGATTGCTTCCCAGAATTTTTACCATTTTCTTTTTTGTGCTGTCGAATTTGATTGTATTTCTAAAATGGGAAGTAGTCCTAACTTCTGAGCACCCCGGCTTTTACTCATAATTTTTAGGAGCAAAGCATAAGTAAAGAGACAAAGTTGAATCAATGTTTGAAAAGAAAACAAAAAATGAGCACCTAACAACTGATCTTTATCACCCAAGAACTAATAATCACAATAAAAAAAATTGTTAATAAAAAAAGTAAATGAATGCACAGATTAAGAAATGATTTATTTCCCCCACATTCCTCATACTAGTATGTTAAAAAGAATTGCACTTGTCTATGCTCCTAACTCTATTTTACACTAAACACAAACAGAACCAACAAAAATTTTCACCATTTATTTATTTACTTAGTGTATAAAACCTACAAAGTGGTTAATGCACAAGAGCTGGCTGTTCAATAAGCACCTTCAGTTTCTCCTTGAAAAAATCAGCCTCACTAAGAACATTTCGTGTCTCCCCCTCCAAGGGCTGGAGACAGTCTTCATATGCTTTGATGTCCCTGTTCACATCTTCAACCTCCTTATCAAGTTTATCAGATAACACCCTCATGCACTCAAGGCATAAAGGCTGTTCAACCTGAAAAGTGAAAAGAGACAAGTATACTATGATAAAGAGACCAATTTATCATCCTACTGATGCATAAGAAATCGAAAACACTAATGTTCAAGATCAATGTCTGAATGAACCAAGCATCTAAAACTTAAAACTTATGTTAAAGTTCCTTTCCTATCAAGAAAACAGTACTAGTGATGTCTACCTGCGTCTGGGTTGTGGCAATATCAAATGCACGCTTCAGGACAGTTATGGTTGAGTGAAACCCAGAATTGTTTGGCTGCATAGGAGCACCGGTTCCACCCTCAGGTGACGGCAAATGGGTCCCACCTCCATCAATTGGAGACTCACACTTGTACACAGAAGCAGCCGGTGGAGGCAACACCACAAAGGATTCTTCCATTGCCTTCCCAGACTGGCTTGTATCAGGTTGCATAGCTCCACCACGAGGCCGAGGAGGGACTCCCGCTGCCTGATTTCTTTGTTTTGGCAACACAACAAAAGAATGGTCCATGCGAGTAGAACCTAACACACTGCCAGCCCCATGGACTGAAAAATCCTGCATGCCTGCAATTTTATCCCGAATAGCAATTGAAATGGAAATAACATCTAATTTATTACCAAAAAGAAAAAGGGAAGTGAATTGTAACTTTTCCCCTCAACAAAATAAAGGAAAATTATTCTGTATTGGACTTGAATTGAGCACACCATACCAACCAAAACAAGAAAGAAAGATAAAGAGGTAAATGGTAACTAATTGCACATATATGTATATTTATTGCAATTAGAAACTATTAATTGCCTCAACCTACCCAAAATAGGCAGCAAAGGAATCTCAAAGCCAGCTCAAGTTATTATGCAAATCTTTTTTCTTTTTCTTTTTTTGATAAGTAAGTTATTATGCAAATCTTATGTAAAATAAAAAGAAGAAAACAAGGCTGTGGCCAAATTTAATGCACAGTTCAAAGTACATGACCATATAAAAGCTTACCATGTTCTTTTCCTAAAGGAGATAAATTAAAAAGGAAATTCCATGAACACAAACATCGCAATCACTGTATTGATATAAACTCAGCTCATAGAAATACTTAAACACAGACACCATCTCAGGATCAACTCCATAAAATATTATCTCTATATTCTTCCCAAAGTAACCATCAAGACTTGTGGCCTAGTTGTATCTCCTCTCCTTTCAAAGTGAAAGGTAGAGAGTTCGACTCTTGCCAAATGCATTGTGGGAGTTTTTGCGAGGACGATATAATATATAAATATATATGATCAAATAAAAATTTTCCCCAAAGCACAATGCTCCTCTCGACCCCCAATACATATAAATACATATATATAGAGATATGTATATGTGCGCATGTTTTGTGTCAAACCAGACCATAAACTCAATCACCTGAGTTCTGAAAAGAAATTACAAAAACACGTAAAGAGGGTAAAATCATGAAATTAATTCAGCTCGTGAGTAAGCTCAATTGCGTTTAAGCGATAGCTGCATTGAAGAAAAATTCTAACTCCAAAATTCCCCTAAAATGGAAATTCCCCGCAGTTACAAATCCGAACCAAATTCGTTTCTAAAAGTTAAACAAAATGGCAATTAACACCTGGAACTAACAATATACGTACACATAGATAAAAATGAGAAACGAAAAAAAGGAGGGGAGAGAGAGAAAACCCTAACCAGAGCGAAAGGAGGAGTCGTTCAAGAACTTGTCGGCGTAAGAATCGATGCCGACGATGCAGAGGTTGTGGCGACAGTTCTGGCAGACCCATCTGGGGAGATTCGGGTCCACCGGCAAGGTCCGCTTGTCGGGCATACTGTTGTTCTTCATCGGTTGGTTTTCTCTCTCCTACTTGATGTTAGGAGATGTCGCAATTCATGTGTGTGGAGAGAGAAGAGAGGGTTTGTTGGAGATTCGCATAGTCTAGTCTATCGGTGCAAGGTAAAGAAGTCTCTAATTGCGTTAGTTAAGGAAGAGAGAAGCCGATTGGGATTTTCGTCAGCGGATCCGAACGGAGGTTCGCTAAGCTTCGGATAGTCCAGATCCGTTTTATGACTGGACCGAGACGTTTGGTAATAAAAGACACGTTTGATTCTAAATTGTCTCTTTTTCTAAATCAATTATTTTTTGTTTGACCTTCCCAACATTGCACAAATTCAAATTATATTATTGCAAATGTAGAAATTAGTTAATCTTTCTCCGTCTAATTTATACAATAAAAACAGACCAAAATGTTGCATTTGTGGATTTTCCTTGAATTGTATTTTTTTTGGGTATTTTTTAAATTTTTATTATTATTTTTTTAGTAAGTAAAATAACTGTTTTAGCTTAGATTTTGAAATATGCTCAAATGAAAGTAGAGTCACTGACTAGAGAGTACTAACGTTTGCAGACTGATCCAAATCAGAATATTGATTTTACCAGCAGTCTAACAAGGATCTGAATCAATATTTCTTGAGGAAGATAGTAAAGATTCAAATTTGATTTCTCTTTGCCATTTTGTTTGACATGGCTGCTTCTGCTTTTCGTTTGCTAAATCTACGCACGTTTTAAACAAATTAAATTCAAGCTAGAATTTCAGATTGAGAGAATGTTTGTATTTGTCCAAGGATATTTGAGTACTGTAATTGAGATTTTTTTTTTTTTATTTGACACAATTCTATTTAAGTTGCGCAAAAAAAATAAAATAAATAAATAAAATAAAATAAAATAAAAGATTATAACAACTATTTGTCATTGTGAGCCAATTAGAAAACATTGTATTCACTTTCTACGGTTTATTATGCCTAACTGATTTAAATCAAAACCCCCAATTCACAAGAATTGAATTGTAGAAAAAGAAATTTGATTAGCAAAAAGTAGGATGAAAATTGTATAGAAATTCATAAATGTTGGCTTTCCTAAACTTGAACATGAAGATATATGCCCCTAACCCAAATTACTCAAATTTGGTGCATGAACACATTAAGCATTAACTAACGATAAATGCTCTAATAAAAATTAAACCAAACAGTTCATGATAATCTCCTATTACAGATCTTCAAAAGCCTCTTTAATACATTAAGCATTAACTAACCAATTAACCATAAACACTCCAATAAATTTTTTTTTATTTATAAATCAATAGTTCATGATAATCTCGTATTACAGATCTTCAAAAGCTCTATAAACTTATTCTGATCTCAGTCAAACCATTACATCTCAATCTCACCACAAAGTTTCTCGAACCCTTTGTTGTGTGGAAGCGTTCCTGAACAGATATACCCACAAAGATGGGATATCCAAGTAACAACCAGAATTCAAATGATAGAGAAAATAGCACGCCACAAAACAGGATTTATACGTGGTTCACCCTCTCAATAGGGCTACGTCCACAGCCGATGACGATCCGTACCACTATAAAAAAGAAGATTACAAATTGAAGAACGTTTTGATTTTTTCCCATAATAATCTCTCTTCTCACACCTCACTCATACAGAAAGAAGACTCACACAAACACTCTCAAGAAATACCCCGAATAGTATATGGTTTACACAAAGAGGAAAACTCACCCAAAGACAAGCTTCAAGTTTCACTCGAAGATTACATACACAAAAGGATTTTCTCACACACACAAAACCAATATACTCTCTTGATCCGAATTGATCCTCACTTGGATGCTCTTGGATCATTTTCGGATGCTCTAAACTCATAAGATACAAGGGCTATTTATAGCCCAATTTTGCCTCTTGAAGACATATGCAATGACATAAGTTTACTCAAACATTCTTCTCATGGAGTGTTTGAATTAAACACTAAAACATGAAGCAATCATAGCAGCCTTCTAGAATTGAGCCAATTTTCAACTATTTGCATATTAGGCAAAATTTCTCCACCTTAGCATAAATTGTAAGACAATACCATAACGAGTCTTCCTTCACCGCAATGTGAGTAACAACGCGATCATCATCTCCAATAAAATAAATCAATAAAGAATTTTAGTTAAGTTTGACTCATACTCAAATTTAACCCTCGGGTTTTCATTCTTCAACCCATGCATGTCTTGTGCAGCCACAAGCATACCCCCAGTATTTCTATCAAACTCTAAATGCTTACCAAAAGTAACATCGAAAACTCTAAGTTTGACTTCTCCTTTAGCAACCTTCTCCAACCACCCACGAACCACCGGTTGGTAATGAAAAGTCATCTTCTCACCCTTATGGAGAATATGACTTCCTTGACTTTTCCTTACATCTTTATTGTGACCAACTACTTGCCTCCCACAAATCTTAATGACATTCAAATGGATTATCTCATTACCACCAAGATTATTGCAAGTCAATATCACACATGTCCTCATGAGTCTGCCTCCCTGTAAGGACTACTGCAATTTCGGTTGCCATCTAAAAACGGATTTCATTCTCCCACCACGTTGTGTAGTCCCCTCACAATCTTTTTGAGAACTAGGATCGTAACTCCTCTTTCTAACTTTTTCTTTGTGAAGAGTGTGTAGTCTCTGTTTCAGATAAAGTTTATTGGTAAGTCGTATCTGGTCGTCATCATAAAAAACTTCCAAAAAATTTCTCGGTGAATAGTACCGCATTTGTAAACAATACTAGAATAGTATCTGTGAACAGTACAGTACGCATGAACAGTATCAGTGAAAAATACCATAGACTTGAACAGTATCTGTACACAATATCCGAACCCGAGCTCTGATACCAATTGTTGTGCGGAAGCGTTCCTGAACAGATATACCCACAAAGATGGGATGTCCAAGTAACAACCAGAATTAAAATGATAGAGAAAATAGTATGCCACAAGATAGGTTTTATACGTAGTTCACCCTCCTAATAGGGCTACGTTTATAGCCGATGATGATCCGTATCACTATAAAGAAGAAAATTACAAATTAAAGAACATTTTGGTTCTTCCCCATAATAATCTCTCTCTCACACCTCTCACTCACACACAAAGAAGACTCACACAAACACTCTCAAGAAATACCCGAATAGTATGTTGTTTACACAAAGAGGAAAACCCACCTAAAGAGAAACTTCAAGTTTCACTTAAAGATTGCACACACAAAAGGATTTTCTCTCACACACAAAACCAATATATTCTCTTGATCCGAATTGATCCTCACTTGGATGCTCTTGGATCATTTTCAGATGCTTTGAACTCATGAGATACAAGGGCTATTGATAGCCTAATTCTGCCTCTTGAAGACATATGCAATGACATAAGCTTACTCAAACATTTTCCTCATGGGCTGTAAGATCAATAAAAGTGGGCTGGAGTGTTTGAATTAAATACTAAAACATGAAGCAATCATAGCAGCCTTCTAGAATTGAGCCAATTTCAACACCCTTTGCAATTAGGTATATCCCATGTTAACCAAAGATCATCATAAATGTTAGACAATAACCCATCCTCATGTTGCGAAATCAAACAGAAAACATAACAAATAGATCAAACATACACACAACAAGAACACACAGATTTTATTTGGTTCACCCAAAATCTAGGGCTACGTCCAAGGGTTACAAAGATTTCACTATGATGAAAAAAAATAGCAGCAGATACAGAGAGTTTAGAATAAATAAATACCCTGCAACTAGGGCAACATAACAAGTACGGAGTTGGGACTTGGTGTACAGTATCTATCAGGCTCCACACTACCCATCAATCTCCCACTTGGAGATTGATAAACATCAAACTGTCAACTCCTATATGCCTTCACACATAGCAAAACACCACAACAACTCACTCCTTTGTCCTCAAGCTTGAACACCAACTGAAGCTAAACAAAGCTTCAGTTTCTCAATTGTCATTGCCTTGGTTAGCATATCTGCTGGATTTTTACTCCTATGGATCTTCTCAAGTGATAAAACTTTATCTTTTAAGTGTAAGCGTATGAAATGGTACCTCAAATGTATATGTTTTGTTCTGGAATGGAACGCCGGATTTTTAACAAGATGAATAACACTCTAACTATCACTGTACAAAATACTATTCTTTTGCTTCTTACCCAATTCTTCCAAAAAAAAACCCTGCAACCAAATCATCTCCTTGCTAGCTTCTGTAATTGCAATATATTCAGCTTCTGTGGTCGATAGAGCCACAATCTTCTGCAACTGAGAGACCCAACTCACTACTGTACCACCCAAAGTATACACATACCTTGTAGTACTATTCCTATTATCCATATCACCAGCCAAGTTTGAATCAACATAACCATGCAATACAACTCCTTTCCCAGTAAAACATAGTGATGTTTCTATGGTACTCTTCAAATACCTAAGGATCCATTTTACCTCCTCCCAATGATGCTGCCTGGGATTACTCATGTACCTGCTCACAACTCCCACTGCATGTGCTATGTCCGGTCTGGTACAAACCATGGCATACATTATGCTGCCAATAACTTAGGCATATGGAACTCTTTCCATGTATGCTCGTTCTTCCTCTGTCTTGGGTGATTGTTCCTTAGTTAGTCTGAAATGACTAGCTAATGGGGTGCTCACTGGTTTTGTATCTTGCATGCTGAACCTGCTGAGAACCTTTTTAACATACTCTGTTTGTGACAGCTTCAAAGTACTACCCACCCTGTCTCTGCAAATCCTCATGCCAAGAATCTATTTTGCTTCACCCAAATCTTTCAACGCAAAATGCACAGACAATTATTTCTTTAGATTTTTAATCTTCTCGAAACTTGACCCAATAACCAACATATCATCAACATACAATAGTAAGATAATGTAGCTGTTCTCAAACCTCTTAACATAATAACAATGATCTGTATAGCACCTCGCAAAACCATTACTGCACATGAATCCATCAAAATTCTTATACCACTGTCTGGGGGCCTGCTTCAAACCATACAAGCTCTTTTTCAGCTTGCATACTAAACCCTATTTTTCTGGCACTGTGAATCCCTGTGGCTATCTTATATAGATATCCTCCTCCAAATCACCATGGAGAAAGGCAGTCTTCACATTTAACTACTTTAAATGCAAATTTTCTGCAACCACAATTCCAAGTACCAATCTGATTATAGTCAACTTCACAACTGGGGAGAAAATCTCAGTGTAGTCAACACCATGTTTTTTCTGAAATCCCTTGACAACCAATCTGGCTTTGTAACACTTGTTGCCATCATGTTCTTCCTTGATTCTGTAAACTCATTTGTTATGTAAATCTTTTTTGCCCTTTGGTAGTTCAGTTAGCTCCCATGTCTGATTTGACATGAGTGAGTCAATCTCATCCTACATAGCTGACTCCCACTTGGTTGAATCACCAACCTACACTGCTTCATCATAACTCTTTGGTTTACTACCACCAGACAACAACAAATAGTGTAAAGAAGGCGAGAAACGCTATGTAGGTTTGGAGACTCTGGAGGACCATCTCAATGCAGTAATAGGTGTGCTTTGTTCCACCCGTGGAACTATATTTTCTGGATTGTTTTGAACTCTCCTCTACAAATCTTCCTCAGAGATTTCCTCCAATTCAATAAACTCATCATTTTCAGCATGAGCACGTGCATTAGTAGAATCTGATGTTAACCTATCCTGACACATTACTTTCTCATTGAACACGATATCTCTGCTTCTAATTATTTTTCGGTTTTGATCATCCCAAAATCGATAATCAAACTCATCAGTGCCATACCCAATAAAAGTACAATTTTTTTTTTTTTTTTTTTTTTTTTTTTTTTTTTTTTTTTTTTTTTTACTTTGGATCAAGCTTGCTTCTAGCATCAGAACTTATATGTACATATGAAACACAGCCAAACACTTTCAGATGTGAAAGATTTACCTCTTTTTTGTTCCAAGCCTCCTCTGGTAAGCCTCCATCCAAAGGAACAGAAGGTCCCTGATTGATCAAGTATGCTGCAGTGTTAATTGCATCAGCCCAAAACATTTTAGGCAATCCAGCATGTATCCTCATACTCCGAGCACGCTCATTCAAGGTTCAGTTCATGCGTTCTGCAACCCCATTTTGTTACGGGGTTTTAGGAACAGTCTTCCCCATTCTGATCCCATTAACATCACAGAACTCTTTGAAGCCTGTCTTCATACTCACCACCATTATCAGACCTCAAACAGTTCACCTTTAAGCCTGTCTCATTCTCCACTATGGCCTTCTACTTCTTAAAAGTATCATATACTTCAGATTTATTTTTTTAAAAATAAATCCATACATTTCTCGTAGAATCATTGATAAATGTAACATAATACAATGAGCCACCAAGAGATAAAACTAAAGAAGGCCCCCACACGTCTGTATGAACAAACTCTAATTTCTCTGTCTTAGGTGTCCTACCAACCTTTGAAAAACTGACCCTCTTTTCACTACAACAAATAAGGTTTTCAGCGGCGGTTTAGGTTTATCACCAACTACATTCTTCAAGAGGTAGAGCAACAGACTACAACTCTCTGCAATTGACTCACTCCTCCGGAGCAATACCTGCTTGAATGATCATTAGGGGAAAGCAATTCTCGCAATACATATTTTACAAGAATATTCAGGGAATGAACAAAAAAAATTATAAGAATATAATATTGAAAGGAAGATATGCAAATATTTACAAAATTCTCGACAAATCGACTGTACATTTACATTTTTTTAGTAATTGAAAAAATTACAAATAATGCTATAAAAGAAATCCTAAGCTTGTTATGATGAAAATGTGAGATCCTCATTATTTGGTGCTCCTTGTAGAGAAAAAATTGCTGTCTGTCTCCATCTATATATATACACATATTATATATTTGTAATCTATCTAATTCATGAATTTCCGGCAGTTAGGAGCTCTACATAAGCAGGGGACTTTAGATTCATCACGTTCATCAGGATCAAACAAGTAATCATACCTGTCAGACAGATTCAACATATGCCATCATCAGAAATATTCGTCAATGCCAAAGTCATAATAGCCAATTTATGAACTAAACATAAATGGAACTGTAGGAACAACTGCAGCTAAACCTTTTTCTTTTCTTTTCTTTTCTTTTTTCTTTTCCTAGTTGATACACTGCAGTTAAACTTAATGAACATAGAGAGAGAGATATATACATTAACTCAGAACCAGCAGAAACATTAGTCTTGGCTATAAGAACTATCCGGCTTTCATCACCCACACTCATGATCCTTGCATAGCAGTTTGGCATGCACTGTAGCAGAGTAAAAACGTTTCATATGGCAGACAAGTGAACATAAGAGTACCACACACACAAAAGACAATAACACCAATGAACACACAGTTAATTTAAGTAATGATTAAAGAAAAGTAAAAAGTCTACATCCACAGCCTTTATGACACCATCATAACCCATAAACGGAAAGGGCAAGTTATGCTGGTCAATGGCCAGCCATCGATGCCCGCCAAAAGATTTACCAGTAAATAGAACGGATAGTACTTAGGGGAGTCAAACCTATCAAAGGGGCAGGTATTGATTGATGCTCCCAAAGACAATATTGGGCTTGGCTTAAATATATAGACACACACACACACACAATTCAACAATTGGGTGTTGATGAGGTGTAACAGTCAAAAGCAATGAAGCTCAACCAAAAATTATTAATATCCTATTATTCTAGTATTCACACTTGTGGTCTTGGACTCTTGATTTTGTAAAGAATGAGTACAGTACCTGCCCAATGTAAAATTCAATGTGGTTCTTGCCATACAAGTGTTGTCGGTATAAAGGACAACTATAGTTGGGTAACATGACCAACCGGGTCAAGTTGAATCACAGGCAAGAACTGCGTACCTAGTACCTACATTCTGTACCAAACCAACCCAATCTGCCCAAATCGCAGCCCTTGTAAATTTAGATTTAAAAAAAGAAGATGGTTCATTTTTTGTTTCATTTCAAAATAAGAACTTACAGAATGATTGATTAAGCGTGCTATATTTCCCTTGTTTGTGGCATCAATCACTACTTCCTCGCTGATCTTAAAAAGCTGCAGAAAACATTTCATCCAACTTTTAGAATCACAAGGAGACAATGGAAATCACATTATAATCATCACATACAAATCAAACTAGCAGTAAGAGTTCTTTAGAACGAAGGTCACTTTAAAATAAGCCCAGCAATTTCTAATCGTAGAAGCAAAAAATAAATAAATCTAGTCACGGGGCGCAATGGTAAAGTTGCTCCATTGTGACCTAGAGGTCACGGGTTCGAAACCGGAAACATCTCCACGCGGAAGTAAGACTGCATACATGTGAGCCTCCCCAGACCCCGCAATGGCGGGAGTCTCATGCACTGGATTAGCCCTTTTTAGGGTAACAGGGTAACTTCAAGTATCGTCTAACACAAATATGATCACGGGCACAACACTACTAGTTGAGCCCAATGTATAACAGGGTAACTTCAACTATCGTATAACACAAATATGATCACGGGCAAAACATTACCAGTTGAGCCCAATGTATAACAAGTTCAACTATTTAGTAGGTCCAACTTATGGCGTCATGATTCATGAATATTTAAATTGCCTGAGCTTAAAAATACTTCTTCGACTACTTTCTTCTTATGTGTGTGCGCGCACGCGGGCATGTGTGACAGAGAGAGAGAGGCAAGCGGCAGGATCTTGGGAGGCAAAAGAAACCTACCTGAAACAATTTCCAGTCATAGAGAGGGAATTGCCAAGTCTTGTAATGACAAATTATGAAATTTTTTAATGACTTGAAAAAATGCAAGAGAGAATTGCCAAGTTTTGTAATCTTGATCTACGAGTTACTATTAACAACTTGACCCCATCACAGATCAACAAGATCCAAGTCTCAAGCTCTCAATAAAATCAATCAATTCCCCAGCAATTGGATCAGGAGGGAACACGTACAACAAACACATATGCAAAAATATAGGATGGACTCACATAGCAATCTTTGCCCTCGAACTGGTAGCGTGCTTCCCTCAAATCTGCAATACTGCGCCTCACCTGCTCACCGCGGTACTCAAGAACCTGGAGACAAATGTGCCCAGAATTAAAGACTGCACAATAATCAAGTAATTCAACTCAAAAAGGGAAAGAAGAGGAGGGGGGTGGGGGATAGGGACATATCAAATAGATGTCCAAACAATAAATAATTATGTTGAGTCTACTGATTGTAGATCATATAGATGGAAAAATAATGAAACATTATGTTTATGTCTACCAACTAAATTGATTAATACATGGAAGGTGGCTACAATTCGAAAGATTTAAAATCTAAATTTGAGAAATAGACATATTTAGGAGTTTTTTTTTTTTTTTTTGAAGTCCAATACAAACTATTTAGTATATTAAAAGAGTACCATTTCTCCTTCTTGAATGTTCCGACGTGCAAAGAGACCCCATCCATGTATACCAGATTTACCAAAACAAACCTGATGATTTTCTGTTCTCTGAAGCAAAGAGAAAACACTGACGACATAAGAAAATTTATATTAGAAAAGTGGTAATGATAGAGAGAGGGATATTATTTGCCTGTAAATGATTCAGTCGTTCCTTGAAAGTAGAAAAGCTCTTTGGGTCGTCAATTTCCTGTGGAAAAAGAACATACAAACATGGTTCCAAAATTTATTTATCATACGCAAAACAGTTTAGAAGTATACCAAATTAAAAAATATATGCATCTAAAACAACAAAGAGGGATGTACGCTGTATGAGCTTAAGCAATCTATCGCATCTAAGGAATGATAACGTGGCCCCATCAATCGATGGAATATTGGCTCTCCCCCAGCCATCTACAAAACATGAAAAGAAACACAAAGGAAAAAAGGCCAACAATATAAAATTACTGTTAATACAAGCTTATCTGGAAAAGAAAAATAAAAAGACTTTGCCTTCATAAAGAAAGAACAGCAAGCTTCGCAGGGTAGATAGAAAAAAACGCATAGACGAGAGACAGAAGTACCCTCCAAAAGAAAGAAAAAAGAAACAGGATAAAAATTTTGGACACAAACAAGGTGCATTAGCAGAGTACCTTATTATTTGATCTTTTAAAGATGCGACACCTTGCAGCAGAGAGTGGCTCGCAGTCATCAGTCTGTTGAGTTGAGGAGTCAGGAAGTTCTGTTCCCTTAGATGAAACTAATCTCGAACCCCTAAAGCACCGTTCTTGATTCTGGTTCTGGAGCAAGCTTCTGGTAGAGAAAACCCCTAAAGGAGTCTGGATAACAAGTACATTATCTGGGTTTGGGGTCCTGCAAAGAAACAAGGCACAAAATCTGAGCTGATAGATGGCGCATACAGCAAGAGAACTAGAACTTTTTTTACTAACCATTATTTTCAATCTTTCCCCAGAGTGGGTGACTAGCTACTTACACTAAAGAATCAAAATTTAGAGATTTTGAACTCCAGAAAATTAGAGAAGACCCAGAATACTTATCCAAAAAAAAAAAAAAAAAAAAGACACAGTCTGCTAAGCTTTAAACTTAGCCAAAGAGTTGCTTATTGCATATGAATTAACACAGCTATTAGAAAATATAAAATCTAATGGTAGTTTTGAACCTCAAAAATATTAAACTACTTTATCAAATGTATTTAAGTTCCAAAAGAAATCATCCAACTTTGTCAGGTGCTCATTTAATAGATGCATTCCAAGAGGACTATTGTGCTTAATCCACAACACAAAGCAATGGTGGCAAAGACTTCGTTAGAACGCATCAACTGTTGAACTCCACTATTTTGTAAGAAAGCCAAATGAGTAGCAAGGATATAAAAATCAAACTTCTTTTTTATTCAAAGATATATGTATCAATCATTGGACAAAAAAATGAAGGAAAACCAAAACTAGAAAAGAAACTATATTTTTTGCACTATCTTCCAAGGTCAGGATTCAATTGCACTTTCTCGTCAAATTTGACACAATTTTGTAAAAATCATGTCAATTGGAGCAGACATGAACCAAAATTTTCATGCAATTCTTGTGCCCTTTGTTCTTGTACTGCAGGAAACATTGCAAGAAAATGCAAGTGATTCAACAAGAAACTTAATAAAATGCAACAACATTCATTCCATGACTGGTGTGAATGAGCAATGGACTCGGAGGATTGCTTTGAAGCATTTACATGTCTATTAATAAATTTAATAACTGCATTTACTGTAGTCAATCATGCGACATTGAAAATATTGCGACAACTCACAAGTGAGTCCATTTATATACATCTACTCCAAGCTATATTGTATTCTTCTTCATTTTTTTTTTCTGAACCAGCACCCTTCAATCAATAATGTTTGCATTATCCAAACGGATTGTAAATGGTACCAAGTTCACAAAATATAAAATGAATAACTAAACATTCAATACAGTTGAATTTACTGCATAAAAAAAACATGTGCAAGAAAAAATTGTGAAGAACTCCAAATGCATGCACCCAGAAGCATGCGCGCACACGTCGTGGGTGGGGACTATCAACCTAGTATTTTGGCTGAAAGTAACCATAATGTCACACTGTTACTGTTGTAATTGCATTTACTAATTGACCATTATTAAAAAATATATATTTATCAATTTGTTTCAGTGAACTTACTAAATAACAGAAAGATATGATAGTATGTGGATTGACAGAAGCTATGGCCTTAAATAGAGCGGAGGAAACAATTCATGTAACCAACCCCAAGTAATTGGGAAAAGGCTTGGTTGTTGTTGAATTAACTAAATAATAATAGTTGATTTATGTGTGCTAGAACGCATCATTTGTTCATTTTTATCTTTGCCCCCTCCTCTTATCTTTTTGGGAGGTGTATAAGTTAAAACACATACATCACTGGGGCCTCCTTTCCGGGAAGGATGGATCTACCTGGTATATTTTCTTAAATAACACTAGCATGCTTGTAATATCAAACTTCATAGGTTCCAGGGCTGGTTAAAAAGATAAAGAGCAGAATTTGCGTTTCATGAAGAGCCCATCATAATATGGAAGTAAAGTGCAAAGAAGAAGATGAACGAAAACATGAACACAGGCATAGCTCTTACCTGTGTACAGCACAGTATGATACCCATTTGGTTATCTGTCTCCCATTCTTCTCTGGGCAATGCAACTGGAAGTTAAAAATATCAGAATAGTGAAATCAACTAACGCCAAAAGTGAGAAAACAAATAAAAAGAGAACATAGAATATACACAAATTGAATGAGATGTGGATAATTGCATCTAAAACTAAATCACAACAGCTGAGTCAATCAACATTGAATAAATTGGCATGAGAATATGCCCAATGATCAAGCATCTTATTATTTAGTCTTGTGGAAGTAGCATTTATAATTTCCATAAAATGGGCACTTTGGCTACAGTACAAGTCATTCTAAGTCTTTTAAATGTGCTTTGTTCCAATAAAACCAGTGATTGGGTTTCAGGGAGAGATTTTAGATCTGTTGAGGAGATTGTTGTTTTTTTGGCCTCTTTGAAGGTTTGAGGTTCTTTTGACCTTGTGTTTGTCCTTGGGATTTGCTCCCCTTTTGAGCGCTTTTTTAATGAAATTTACTTATGAAAAAAAAAAGTCAGTTCAAGAAACGTTTTTTCCTGCTTGAGGTCATCACCCGGTCCAGTACATGAAATGCTTTAGAATTTTTCACTTTCCCAAAAGCGAAACTTATTAGGAGACAGAGGGAGTATCAAAGAACCTTGAGATTGGGTAAGGCTTTGACTTTAAGGAGTCTCTAGTGAGTATCCGCCAAACTCTCTCCCGCTATGTATATTTGAATCAATGACGATTATTGCTCATTTAAAGTGTAACTTGCCCTTCATATACAAATACGAACTGACTGAGGTCTCTAAGCTAGGTTATGCTCAACAAGCATACTTCTAAAGATGGAAGATCTACACATCCACATCAAAAGTCATATCAAATCAAATCTCTCACGGTGCTAAGATGACAAGTGGCGTAGATAATGAGCATATAAACAAAATGAGTACAAGAAGATAAACCCATAAGGAAAAAAAATGTAGCCACTGTCAGTAATAATTAAACATCAAGTGAACAAACCCCAGTAACAAGAAATTCAAGTAAAGAAACTTACTTCCATGCAATATCCTGCTCTTGATGCACACATTGCATGAAAATAAGTGGCACACTTGCAACATTGGGTGCAGGAACCATGAATCTGCTTGCAAATTATACACATCTGCACTTCATGCAAATAAAGGCACATTTAGATTACAAAACTTGGAAATTCGTACTACTAAATGGTATTTCTACATTTATCAGCAGACAAAAATATCAGGAGTATATATTAACAGTTAAATCAATAAACTCAACAAAGCCACATCTAATTTATATAGATCTATTTTTTCACTAAATGTAATATAAAATCGCAAAAGAAATTATTATATGCTGCAAACAATCTCCTTCAACTATGTGAAACTTAGAATAAGAAAGAAGATACGCAGATTGACAGATAAATGTGATGTGATTCTAATGGTTGAAGCATCAGTAAAGATATACCCCGGGACAATCAGTTTAGAACAGGACTTGTACCTTCACAAAAGAATTTGATGGAATTCTAAGGAGTCCGGTGGCAGGCTCCATTTTCTCATCACTCAAAAAAGCAACTTCAGGCCGAAACCATGCACATGTGACATGAACCCACAGGGTGTCGACATCAGTTGGCTTCAAAGCACCCCCTACAGAAGCAGTATTTAAATATAGTGACAATCTAAATCTCAGAAAAACCAGAAGTTTTAACAATAAACAAGTACATCGGATCACATGCCTTTTATGGGGCAGAGACAACACTCCCTCTCAATATCAGGAGTCTCACATGCTCTGCAAACCCATGATGTGAAGTCCTGAATGTTTCTTACTCCATAGCATTCTTCATGAACAGCTATCTGACATCTGTAACGGAAAAATAAAAATCAGTCGAATGACTTGACTTGAATGCAAAAAATAAATAAATAAATAAATAAATAACAGATCCAATCTCCTACCAGCATATAGAGTTCAAGCCCAACCATAATGATACACAGATGATGGAAGTACCTGTTGCAGATAATAATTTTGTTATAGTCCCAATCTTCAACCCATCTACAAACAGCACATCGTTCTGTTGTCCATTTTGCATGAACAGGTTCATACTTCTCTGTCATAGTGAAACTAGTAATAGAATCAATTTCTTGTTTGTTTCAAACATACCCACCAAAATACCTTGCTGCCGATGCAGCAAGGAAAACATAGTAACTTCAAAATGTAAAAGTTGAGCGACGATGTACGTGACATACCTTGCAAAAAATCAAATAACTGTTGTTTCTGCAACTTCAGAGAATTAAACCCAAGTGCATTATGTTCTGCAATCTGTAGCATCTTCGAGTTAGTGGGAAATATCAAAGGGTCTATTTATTAATTCAGATCAACAAAAGGAAAAACCTTCTAATTAAAAGATTGCAAAAAATTACAGAGTTGATGAAATAAATACCTAAATAAACCTCTGTAATAGCTTAAACTTTTATATGAGTTGAGCATTAAATGGTATTGAATAAATAAGGTCCTAGACTCGAATTTCAATGTGATTGACACAATCATGAAGGAGTGAAACTCTGAGGGGTCATCTTGATGATATAAAAACCTAACTATTCTCTCTCTAACAGCTTAGTTTGTAAGGAAATTGACAATTAATAAAAGGGCGGTGGTGATTGTTGTTGACAACGATGGGAGGTGGTGATTGATGGTGATTATGAGCTTGAAGGAGCTGTGGATGACGGATGGTTCCCGAGAGAGAGAGCGAGAGAAGACTAAAGAGAGTATAAAGATGATGGTGGTTCAGGATGTTCAGTTAAAAAGATGAAGTAGAGACGAAATGGGGTTTGTAATGGTGAAGGGTAAAGAGTAAGAGAATGTGCTGTGAAAGCTTGGCAGAGGAAGTAAAAAGAGGATGATGTGGCTGCTCTCATGTGGTGGTTTCTGGGGTCTGATGAGGGTATGACGGCAACAGAATGGTTTCAATCTTGTCATTTAAATTCTTAATGTAGTACTAAACACAGACAGTTCTATTTAGGTGTCATGTCCCTGTCAGGCTTGTGTCAGCATAGTCAATCCTATAAACGTCTGACAAATTTTTTTTTTTTGGCTAAGATAATTATATTGATATGAAGAAAAAAATAAAAGTAGAAAAAACGGTCAAAGCCACCCAACCAACACAACTCCAAAATCAACAAAAAAAAAAAAAAAAACTACTAACAGAAAGTCAAGCTATCACCCACATCAGAAAACCACATACCTACCTAGCAGCTACAAAAAAACAAAACAGAACTAATACAATCCCACCAGATAACAAGTGACAGCAATAACAGGTTAACAATAACAATACGACTGACAACAGCATCTAAATGTACATCAGCAAACCAGAGGATATTAAATGGATCAGCAACACAGCTTCAAACATCAGCAGAGGTTCAACAACCACAGCAGAGCATTCAGCTGTCATTTTTAACACCCCATTGGGCTAGGAACTCTTTGTTCAAACCAGATATCTTCAGATTTTTCATACCCATCAGACGACAAGAAACTGCATGCTCAATCTTTTTTTGAATCTGAATCAGAGGAGAGACCAACTTTTTTCAAACAGTCTATCTTAACTCTCCTGCCAGATAAAATACACAATTACCACGTCCACAACTAAAATTAAATATTATTATTTTGGGCACCTAGACAACACATCCCAATCACTCCCAGTACATGACTTATGCAGTGTGCACACATTAATATGAAATTTGACATTGTACATGTGAAAACCATAAGTCGAGCATACAATGGACACCTTTCATATAGTAAGAGAGTAAAATACCAGTACTAGTAGTATATACCTTAAATAATATATTTACAATATATGTTGAGTTTCATATTCCACATTATGAAATTCTAAGTACAAAAGTTAAAAGCATTGATCATAGTTATATATTTTCCGGACATAATGGGTGTATATATTAAAAAAAAGTAACATTTATACACTGCTGGGTCTTCACCGTGTTCTTGTCCTACATTTTAGGATCTACCAAGTCAGTATCCATGTTCTACTTAAGGATAAAACATCTGTGCCCATTCATTTATTAGCCCAGAGAGTATCACCATATGAAAAATAAATTTAAAGAGATGTTTGGAATCAGAAAACACGGCAAATACGTTTGGATCCTCCAATCATGCTTGCCATCCTCTTCATTTACGAAACTTTAGACAAAGAGGGAATTTTATGTCAAGAAATGGCTACACAAACAACCATTTACACAGGACTTTTTGGACAAATTACTCTGTTATGGATTTCCCGAATTCAACAAAAAAAATCCTTGCATTTTTGGATTAATAACTTTTGATATGGACTTTTTAGTATTTTTCCAACAACAATCAAACCTTTTTCGCATCGACTTGGGGTCGGCTACATGAATCATATGTTTCCATGCCAACCATCTCTCAAATGAGATCATTTCTAATTCTATTCTTTCTAGTCTTACCGCACATCCATCTCCACATTCGCATTTCATACCAAGAAAAAAAAAGAAAGCTATTACAAAATGAGAAAGAAGCTCTGGCCAATGTGGAGAAAACAAGATAACACCAAAAAGAATGGCTTCATCCATCCCAAGCACAAACTTCTTAATGTGGCAAAGGAAAATAACATCATACAAAGGTAATTTAAAAACTAATAAAAGAAAATCTATAGACTGGGTTCATACGTATTTCATACATTTCACTAAATATATGGGGTTGGGTAAAATTTCATGTGCTTCAGTAAACAGAATAGAAAAACCATCATTAAATCAATAGACAAACCCAATGCACGAGGCTCCCCCCATTGCAAGGTTGGATGTACGCAGCCTTACCTCCGTATGCGGAGAGGTTGTTTCCTTGTTTCAAACCTGTGACCTCCAAGTCAAAATAGAGCAACCTTGTAGTTGCACCACGGCTCGCCCTCAGCCATTTAATCAATAAAGCACCCGAAACAAATTTAAATGGTGAAATATATAGGTAACGCTTAGAAAACTGGTTGCCCAACAGTATAATAATAATGAAAATAAAAAATAAAAATCCTTTAACAAGGCCAGGGAGAAATAGTTTTGAAATCCTGGGTAGGTAGTATCTAAAGGCAGGATAACATAATATGCAATCATAAGATAACAAAAATGATTAATTCATGATGTCAACTTGATTTTTAGTTCTCACCGGCACTACTAGCATAAGAATATAGACAATCAAGTAGTGAAGTAGATTAAATTCATAAGTTCAGTACAAGTTACAGCAATAGATTGGATCATTGCTTTAGTTTAGATCCATGATAGGCAATGAGATGATGCTCTTAAAGGGTCAGGAAGTCAAAATATAAGATCAAAACCTATGCTGTGAACCATAAATCAAATACATATAACAAGTATTTATCACAAATACAAGAAATAAAATACCTTCATGACAGATAAACTTTCTAAACAAGTTTATATACAAATTTAAGCAGAGAATTTTGTAATGCTTTCAAAGTGACAAGATCTGGTACAAACCCATTTTTCGAGCGTTAGCATTGAACCCTTCACTTTAATGCTAACCTTCCACTTTTTTGCTCTAGAACCTGTATGTCTTTCCCATTCACCAAGCGTTTGTTTCTTTGTCCCACATGCATTGCACTTACATTGAACTCTAAAAGAGGAGATAAACAGAAGTCAATAGAAAGAAAATTCCTTCCCAAATTGAAGAGTAAAAAAAATCAGATCACAACAAATTTCTTTCCCAACAAACTGGAAATAATCAGCCTTTGTTAACACAACAAACAAGCAATACAGATTGATTTACCTATCTCAAGCTAGTGTCTAAACTTTCAAGACACATTCATTTTTATTATTTTGTCATGGCTGATGAGTGAATATTAGGCATTTACCCAAGCACAACCGACTCGAGCATAAACTAGAAGTTTATTAAATGGACTGACATGTCACACGGAACAGAAGAAAAACTGCAAGAGCAGAGAAGTTTAATTCGACATATCTTCCTATTCAACAATCAATCGACATTTAAAAAAATTCATCCTTTCTATGTAAAATATAAAAAAATTGCTTTAGAGACTCATACTCTTCTCTTCTATTTGGAAGAGTTTGGTATCAGTTAGAGACGTTGTGTTGAAAATTTGTAGATATAGAATTGGGGATGGGAATGCAATCAGAATTTTTATTGATCCTTGGCGTGATGGTATGTTCAGACAAATCCTCACTCCTTAGTAGCTTTATTATTGAGTAGTAGCTTTATCATTGAGAAGCAATGGGATATTTCAAAGTTCTGTTCAGAGGCTCAAGAGGTGCTGCAGTACATTTAACAGTTTAAAATCCATGGTGGTGTATATCAGTTATTGTGGCATACTAAGAAGTTGTCTTTCAGGGAAGCTTGGGAGGCTTGTAGGGAGGTGAGGCCTAATGTTTCATGGGCCACATTGTGCTGGAATGGTGGCAGGCCTAGATGGTAAGTCCACGCTGTCTTGGTTCTGCAAAATGCTATACTAACTAAAACAAATTTGCAGAAGAGAGGTGAATCACTAGCTTCAGTTTGTTATTTGTGTCTCAAGCAGGTAGAAGGTCTGGACCATTTATTTATTCATCGCAATTATACAAGGGAGGTGTGGTCTGATATTGTGGAGCTGTTTCAGTGGAACTTAAGGATCCCAGGATCTGTTTTGGAGCTAGCTAATATGTATGTCCATCAAGCTGCTGGCAAAGGTATCCGACACAAACTGCAGAGAGTAATTTTCACAGCAACACTGTACTTCATTTGGAATGAAAGAAATCGTAGAGCTCATGACTCGTCTCATAGAAGCCCTTCTGTCCTTAGGTGTATTGTTTGGGATGTTTTGGGGGTATGCCTCCAAGACGTCATATAGCTTTACACCTTCTTTTTGTTGCAAGGTTTTGCGTTGGGATCTCTGTGTTAGGATCCTGATTTTGGTGAGGGCAGGCCTCACTTTTGTATTTGTACCATATTGTTTTATCTATAAATTTTTTCCAACATTTAGGGGAAAGAAAAAGAAAAAAATGATAATAATTACTTTGATCATAATAACTAACTCGAAACCTTATCCCAATAATTTTGTGGCCCACCTCAGCTTCTCAAAGAAGCCAGTATAAAGAAAAAGCCTCAGCCAGTTTTTTTCTAGACTGTTCTTTGGTTTACAAGCAATTAATAGCTCACTTAAAATTTTCACATGATATACCCCATCTAAATAACATATCAATTTCTTATTTTTGATAAGTGTAAATAACATATCAATTTCTTATGATCAATATCGTCAAAAGTTTAAATAGGCACACATAGCTGCCTAGCTTTAGGGTCACACATTAGATGCCTTGGCCTTATAGGTCTAGGCATTGCTCTAATATTTTCAGCATTAGAATAATGTCCGACCAAGGCTGCAAAACGTATCCTTGCTTGAGATTTACAAGGATAAATAAAATGATTTTTATTGTCTGCGTTATGATGTTTATGAAAAGAAATGAGAGGAAAAGGATATTCTTTCTTAAACCAAAGACAAAATGGGTTTCACAAGGGGGTCCCTCCATTCACCCATTAAACCCCCCACCTGGTGCAACTATATGAGAAAAATAAATAAATTTACCATATACAGTAAGTTTGATATTTATAGGACTCTGATAGTTGGATAGTTACCATCCACTACTACATGTTTATGATATAGATTCAAGAAAATAATCATTAACTCACTTCGCCAACCCCGCCCCCCCCCCCCCCCCCCCCCCCCCCCCTCCCCCAAAAAAAAAAAAAAAAAGTCCTGAGCTATACATAAAGATCAGGTCTTAGGGTAGGTGTTTGATGTAATGGCAAAAGCTCGAACTGCATAAAAAAGGTAAATTCGAGTCTCAGAGCAACCACTTTGTCCAAAATTATGTCAAAGTTTAGTTCTATCACAAATCTTCCCTTCCATTACAATGCATAGGTGGGATATATGGTGGTTAAGGCACTTTTGATCTGCAAAGCATAACTTGTTCCAGATCAAAACCAACTTTCTATAAAAGGCAAAGAACATCGTGACAATATTTTTCATAAAACTTATACAAATGGAAGAATCAGGGCTTACAAATGAAGACTTGGAAAATAAATCCCTTCCATGCCAGTGCAGACAACAGTAATCTTATCAGGCAATGCAGTTTGTCCACCTTTTTCAGTACACCTGCTAGAATGATTGTCAAAACAGTAAGTATACAACTGAAAATGGTTCAATGCCAAAGCAAGCTTTTTTTTTGAAGTCGCATAAGTAGTTGACAGCAAACAAACTGCAGAAAGAAGTGCATGTAGTGCCGACATACCAGATTTTTGACTCTGATTTGTTTGAATGAGACTCTGCTCTGCATTCAGGGCAGTAATAATCCCTGTCCTCAAGAACCTTCAAAACATAATCCAGTTAGTGAACCTTTCCCACGATGAACTCGAGTAACAGAAGTATGCTGAAATGAAAACTAAAGATTAAGAATGATACATGAACAAACCTTTAAAAGTTTGTTAGAAATATTGGCACACTCAGCATGCACCCAAACATTGCAACCATCACAACATACCTAATCCAAAGAGTATGACCGAACAAGAACATACAGCTCATTCAGTTAATTTGTCCGGGAAAAGAATTATAAACCTAACTAAAACTGCAGATAATCTCACCCAATCCCCACCATCTGAATGATGCCAAATTTTCTTGCATACACCACAATATTGTTTTGATTTCCGTAACTGCAACAAAAATCCAGTAAACATCACTCACCAGTAGAATCCGTATTTTAAAATCACAAAAAACAAGATTAAGAAAATGAAGATCATGTTATTAAAATGTTTCTTCAGAACCTTAGCACAATGTTCGCATAGAAACTGGGCTTCACTAGTAGAGCCCTTAACTTTATTTGCTGTTTTGTATGGCAGAAACAAACCACAGCTATGACAGGGCCGGGTGTTCTTCTTACCATATGCATCCTGCAAGGAAACATATCCCAACAAAACCACACCAGGTCAGTCACAATTCACAAATTGAACTATTATTTATTTATATTTTTACGTGTAAACTGAACAAGTATCAAACAACACGACAAATAAACTGAACAAGTATCAAACAACAAGACAAAATAGCAGTACCATGATGAGATACTTTCTCGAATAATGAGCTTGAAATATAATGCTGCATGCAAATAATTATCAATTGGATATGTCCAAAGTTTTATATAATATCAAGCAGCCCCCTCATTTAGGAAAAAAAAAAAAAAAGCAGCCCTCTCCATTGTTGATGTTAACTGAAAATCATTCACTGTAATCAACACAATCCATAATTATCTTGTGTATCTTCATGTAATATTTCATTTCAACTACAATTTGTTGACTCATTTATCTCAGTTAAGTGGTCCAGTTGGTTGAAGACTCCAGGAAGTAACAATCAACGGACTGGGCTAATTTCTCAAGATAATCCATAATTATCTTGTGCATCTTCATGTTATTTTTCATTTCAAGTACAATTGGTTGATTCATTTATCTCAGATAAGTGGTCCAGTTGGTTGACGACTCCAGGAAGTAACAATCAACGGACTGGCTAATTTCTTACAGTAATCTGAACGGAAGCTAAAATCACATAAATTTATTATAATTACAAAAATGTGTTTGTGTATCAATGATAGTTCTAACAGTCATGAAAACAATTAAAGGAAAAGAAAGAGGGGTGGGGTGTGGAGGAATCACAACCAGAAGGTTTCCCCATCATAAGTCATCTTCTTATTTCTGTCACCGCCCACATCTCTTTTCAGTCATTCTTGACTATCAGAATTCTTTCTTACATTGCCAAGTTGCAACTTCTTAGAAAAGGCACGCAAAACAGTCAGAAAGAAGTGTTGGCTTAACGGGATAGGAAAGGCAACTAACTTTCCAGGTTATTGAATATTTATATGATATAAAAGACAAAAGAAGATCACTGGCTTCGAGTTTGAAAACTGCATAATCCACTAGAGGGTCATAGAAAGCATGAAGTCGTCCTTGAATCCACAAACAAACAGGCAAAGCTTAAAAATAGTATACCAAACAGTAACAATTATACCCATTTTTAAATTCTAAGGCTTATCAAAACCACAAGCTTGGATTCAAGTTTCTTTAGGAGCTCTGTCTTAATCCCCTACTCTGCAGGCCAATTCCCCCAAATAATAAGAGAATAAGATAGGGCTACCTATTAAGACTTATGCTATGTTTGGTTGGAGGAAGGATTGAGGAGGGATGGATGAGAGGGGGCTTCGTAATTTTCTCTCTGTCCAAAATTGGGGGGAAAAGATAAAGAATATATAATTACCACAAATATATAATTTCAATTTTTAACCTTCCCAAAATTTTGAAATGAATATTAATTTTTATAATAAGGGTATATTGGTAAAAAGAATATAAAAACTCTCTTTCCCTTATCTTCCATCAGAAAAAAAATAAGAGTCACCTCATCCATCCTTTCTACCATCCATTCCATCCAACCAAATAAAAAGTGAGGGAGACACCTTCCCTTCCATCCATTTTTCCATCCCTCCAACCAAACGGAGCATTATAACTTTAAGAGTACTAATGGGATCCCGACCTTAAAAGTACTAATGGGGTGTGACTTACCCGTATCGTGTCCATTTCAAATACCAACACTCCTTGGATGCTCGTGAATTAATGTCCGATCCTTCCTAAAGTTCTTCATAATTTTAAAATAAATTCTTTCTTATTTCTAACACATATCCAATACTTGTAAGATAACACATATTTAACAAGTTTTGAACATTAAAATGAAGAAAAATATAATATAATTGTCAAGAAAAAATTCAAAATTTCTCCAGGAAAGAAGTACTGAGATATATAACATGACTAATTCAGTCCAAAATTTATCCATGCAATATATGAGTAGCATTCCTCAGAAAAATTCAAAACTTCTTCAGAATAAAAGTATTGAGATATATAACATGACTAATTAGTCTAATTTAGTCAAAATTTAATCCATGCAATATACAACTAGCATTCCTATAACTTTATCCATGCTATGACTAGTTTAGTCCAAAATTTATCCATGCAATATATGTAAAGAAGAGGAGAATGGACTGACATGACTAATTTAGTCCAAAATTTATCCTGGGAAACTTGCCTGGTTATAAGAGTAGCATTCCTGATCCTGATTGGAACCAGTCACCTCTTGGATCCCACTATAGTTAGTTACTGGACAAATGTCCTGGCCGCTATCACCAGTGTCAATATGACCCTGTTCTGCTAAAATTGCCTCTTCTATTGCCATTTGAAAATCACTTCTCTTACTGCCATACAACTGTGTCTGCCCCTGAAATCTGAGCAAGGAAAAAGTTTACAAACCTCAATAGCTCTAGTGAGAATTGTGCTGTTAGTGTAAAAGAATAAAATAACAATAACAATAACAATAATAATAAATTAAATAATTGAAAAATAAAATTAAAAAGAAAAATAAAATGTACAAACCTGTCCATGTACTCTTGGAAGGGAAAAAGCATTCCATCTTTCACCCATGCATAGTCCTGCCCATCATTATTGATTTAATAAATATATATATAAAGGTACTGTTTCCAGAAAATACACTACTGTTGTGTGCGTAGTGTGCATACATACATACATACTCCTTTATTATAATTAATGAATGTGCAGACAGAGGCATCATAGGGCATATCGCTCAGCGGTGTGCCCATGTTAGAGTCGGAATAAAAATAAAAATACTAATCACTATCCCTGGCTTAAGACTATCCTTTTGGACATTACCCATAGTTTTGGGAGAGCGCTAGCGCGCCAAAGTTCCCTCTTCTTGCCAAGACAATAAAAAAAATGTACATACAGACACAAACAGACAAAGACAGAGTCAGAGAGATCACCCTTCTGTTTCTGGAATAACCAAAAAACATCACACATATAGCGCCAGGAACACAAGCCCTAAGAACCGTGTCAGGAGCTTGCCATAGGGGATCAATCACGATGGCTGGCCAAGCTGGGCTTTTCTTCCCTGATTTCGCCCAAACTATATCACCCAGAATAAAGTCCCCTGGCCTGAAGAAATCCTTCCTCTTTCCCGCTTTCTCCTTTTCCAATTTTTCTTCGCCGGTAAAATTATTACACAACCTTGGTGAATAATCATCAATATCTATCAAGGGCAAAAATTTGCCTTCGTCAATCGATGTTACTGAACTATGAGAACTCGAATGCATTTTAGTGTCGAAATCCTTGAACCCTATAAAACCCATTTCACCTCTATCAATGTTTACAGAAATTTGATCTATGTTGTGCTTGGAAACTCTGTCCTCTATGCGTTGTTTCTTGAATACTTGCCCACCGTAATGTGGGTTCTTCTGCATAATTCTCTCCTTACTGAGCATTAGATTTTCATCTTCATCAGAATATGATTGGCAACCATCTAATTTTGAAGTATCCTTCGTCCATGAATCAATCACGGAGTCATTGAATCTTGACGGTAGTACCTGAACACGTCCTCGTGAAGATTTAAAAAGCGGAGGACGATACACCTCTGAGTTCTGATTCATACCTCTCCGACCTCTGTGGTTCTTGGAATTCGACTCCACTTCTCTGGCGTCATAGGATACTCCGGTGCACCAAGAATTCACTGTGCTGATATGATCTTCAACGTTGCCACCATGAATCTGATCGAAGCCGTCGTAAAAACCGCTTGACTTCTGTTTATTGGGATTCACAGAGCATGCGTCGTCGTCTTCGCAATCAAAATCTTCCGCCTCGCACCGCTTGAGGTTCGGCATTTTGAATTTCAGCGTCCGTTTGAAAATCATCTTCTCTATCAATAAAATTCAAGTCACTGGGACCAACAACTTCGCGTTCTGAATTAAGACAAAACCCTAATTTCACATGGAACTTCAAAGAAACAAATCCAGAAAAAATTAAAAATAAAGAATCACCTGAATTTCGGTTAGTTATTTTTCAAATTCGACTAGGGCATTGTCTCCCTCAGGCCTGAATCACGATATCACCTCAATTCACAACAATTTGGTCAGAAACCCTAATTCGAACAATGGAACAGTTAAGAGATGAAACTAAACCGGTATAGACAGAATCTTATTCCACCGCGAATCACAGAAATAAAAATTAAATTAAAGAATTAAAAAAATCGTTGTCCAATTTGATTGCAACGAGAATGAGAAAGAACATTCCGGGAAAACAGTAGATTTTCCGAGAAAAAAAACTATGGAATTCGCAGAGCGGAGACTCCGAGTTGCGGAGTGCTTAGGAAATCTGCACGTCGGAGATCAAATATGACAAAAATTAATTAAATACAGAAAGATATATATATATATATATATATATATCATTTTTTATTAGATAAATACATATATTTATATTTACGACTGTTTAAAATTTTCATTTTTTGAATTTTTGGGTGGGGGTGTATCTTTGCTCCAAAACTGTATACAGCAAAAAAAATTAGAAACATAGAAGGGTGAAATAGAAAAAGGAAGGTAGCACGAAGGTTTCTGTATTACAGTTGGAAGTGATTGAGAAAGAAGACTTGCGTCCAAAGGAATCAGATCTGCGCAGTTGGCAGTGTAATTTGGACCTAAGTCCTATAATTTTTTTAAACCGGTACTGCTCTCAAGTCGCTCTTTCGTTGTCACCCCTTCCCACTTGACTTAAATTTTTCTCACTTTCACGCTCCTATACTCACTTTATGTAACTTAACTTTGTACTAGTAAAGGTGTCCAGGTGGTACTTAAATAAATTTTGGAATTATTTTCTATATTTCACTTCTCAAAATTATATAAATCAGAGAAATTAGACCAACTGTGTCTTAAGTTCTAGTTGCTTTTACTACTAGAAAACTAGCAAAAACCTCATGCTTAAAAGGTTTATGTGATTGTATCATCTCTCTGTGGTAACTTCTTCTTCTTCTTCTTTTTTTTTTTTTTTTTGAGAGCATTCAATTGTGATATTGAACGAGGGTGGGTCATATAAATTTTTATTTCTGCATTTCTATAAAAAAACATATATATGTTTTTAATCACAATTTGTTACATTAACATACAATCAAATGAAGTGATACAATTTCGAATCAAATTGAGTCTTTATTACATATAACCATGGTGCATAGATCTTGTAATTATTGCGGTGTAATATTGGATAAAGATAGATTTGATGGTGTTAATGATCTATATTTATTATTTGATGGAGTCGAACTCACAATTTTGATGTTGACGTGGACATGAAAAAACATTATTTATTTGTTAAAAGTTATCACTTTTAGACACATAGGTACCATTTTTGTGCACATTTATCACTTTTTGTCATCAAGTATCACTTTTTTTGCACGCAGGTAATCACTTTTTGTGCACACATGTACCATATTTTTGTGCAGTACAAAAAGTGGTACATTTGTGCACAAAAAAGTGATTACCTATGTGCTCAAAAGTGGTGCTTTTTGGCAAGTCAATAGTGTTTTTTTTAAGTCCACGTCACATTTTTTCAAAACTATTAGACTTTTACTCTTTCAAATAATAAATATAGGTTATTAACAGTATTTATATGTAATAATCCCTAAATTTATTCATCTAGATTTAGATTTCAGTGATGAATAGTAATAGACAAAATTAGGAGTAAAATTGGTGCTCTATCGCATACTAGTATATTTTATTGTGATTAAGTTTCAGTTGAAAATTTTGATCTGAATTTATATTGATTAAGCTCGAATTAAGGTGTTCAAGAATTCAGACCAATCCAAACTAAAAAAAACAAAAAAAACTGTCCAAAATCTGGGTTTGATTTAATTTTTTCAAAATTATTTTGTAAATACTCAGTTATAAAAAATATTTGTTACAATTTTTTTCAGAGAATTAAATTATAACTTGAGAAAACAAAATATTGACCGGTCTTCAACTTGAGAACCACTTAAAACAAATAATATTTAAATTCTACAGAATCTCTGAAACTTATATAAATTATGTTGCTGTGCAGCATCCCAAGTGAGAGTGAAAAGCTTGTCATTTGTTAACCATATACAGATCAAAAAAAAAAAAAATGGCTAAGAAAGTAAATAAAATCTCTCATAGCAGACTTGAAGAAAGTAAGTAAACTCTCTTACAGTAGATTTCTCTGTTAAAACTGGCGATCATATATTCATTGTTGATGCAAAACATTTGCAGTGTTTGCAGTTGCAATAAGAATTTCAACTAACAGAAATAAAATTATTTGTAGTTTTCCTCCAGTGCTTCAAAATGGATTGCTACGTTCCTACAATGGTAGGTATAATAAAGAAGATACAGCTACAGCAAAGTACCCATGCAGCTGATGCTACAAGTGGGAGAGAATTTAAAGCTTGATGAATTGGAGAAAAAAACATATTTCTTATGGCATTAGTGCATTATGCTATATCATATGTGCATTCTACAGCTATACACACACACACACACACGCACACACACATATATATATATATATTTCAGAATCCATGTCCCTTGGAAATCATGTACTGGTTGAACTATGTGTCGGTTTCAAGAGGTTCTTCAAGAAAAAGAAAAAAAGAAAAAGAAAAACTGATTTTTACAAAGAAAACCTTTTTTCCTAAAACATGGGTACAAGTCTTTTTCTCTGTTCTTTATATTGAAGAGAACTACGTCAAGCAAAGAAGAATCTGCATCACTATTGCTGTAAACACTCAGCAACCACTTTCACATCATACTTTCAGCCAGAAAATGTTTTCCACAAAAACACATAGAGGTTTAAAAGAAAAAAAAAAAAAAAAAAAAAGTACTCTCATGCCAACAAAATGCTTCCACATCCAATCAAAAACCTTCATCACCATGCAGAGCAGGGTGTAGGATTGTACAGGCCTCAGCATGTCCAGAATCTAAATAGGCATGCATTTTATCTGGCTATTCTACATTTTGTAACATCCACATGGAGGGATCTCACTATTTAAAAGGCTTGTAAAGCTTTGTTCAAACTCACAGAACATTGGCAGTAGAATGAACTTCAACATTGTGCAGCCTAGCTAGAAAAAGGGATTCGGTGCAGTGCTGGATCTCTTTCCATCAACGAAAATATTATCTTGAGAGTGCAAAATCTAGCATACATCTTGGTTACCCTGAACAAAGTGTCCAACTTTCAGAATTTTCATTATACTCTTTTACGAATATAAACAAAATGTATATACAAAATTGTATTTTATATGCACGCGCGTACACACAGAGAGAGCAGACCTGTCAGACCAATCATTTTACTGAATAGGATTCATTTGGAAGGCTGGCAGCTCTGTCTTCTCCGACTTTCTCATCATTGACAGTGCTTCTAGAATGATAGTCGTGACTAATACTGTAGCAAGAATAAATCCATAACCTATCTTCCATGCATTTCCTGCACCTCCAATTTGGATCCCTAATACTATATTCACAGCTCCGAAGAAAAGGGCAATCCTTCCAAACCAGTGGTGATACCAGTTCCAATACCTGCGTATCTTGCTGTCCTTGTTGGGTCGTCCAAAGAATGCCAAGATCTGAATGTCAACTTTAATCAATAGTTACCTCCATATTTTAACATATTGAAAATCATGTCATCAAAGAAATAAAATTTAAGTATATGAATAAAAAAGTAGTCTTAAGAGACGCAATACTCAGCAGTGAAAGTTCTTGCCTTTGACAGTTTAGTCTTGATACGAGATTGTTTGAATGGTCTGTTAGCTGGCCACATTATGATAGTTCCAGTTAATTGTAACTTGAAATGGCTTTAGAAGTTCTTGTGGCCTACAACAACCAAAATCTTTTCCCAACTACTCGGAGTCGGCTACATATTCCTATTTTTCCAATCTGCTCTATCTAAAGTCATGGCCTTAGTCAAACCACATTTTATCATAATATCTTTTTTTTCTAACTCTACCCACTTTGGTCTTATGCTTCCCATAATATTACCCCTACCGTGGAATATGTCACCTTTTCTAACTGGTGCACTTAAAGGTCTTTTTATGCACATGTCCAAACCATCTTAACTGATTTTCTCTCGTTTTGTCTCCAATTGTGTGTTACTCCAACCATCTCACGAATGTGATCATTTTTAATCTTACTGCACATCCATCTCAACATTCGCATTTTTGCCACACTCATTTTATCCACGTGGTTTCCTAACTGTCCAACTTTCTATCCCATAACGTACAGATGATCAAATAGCTATTCTATAGAACTTTCCTTTCAATCTTAAATAAATCTTAAGTGTTTGTTTAAATGAACTTCATGTGTTCACATGGCCTTTTCTGGAACTTAGGTCTAACTCATTTTGCTGGAGATGGAATTCATGTCGAACTCTAAAGGAGAGAAAAAAAAAATAATAAATAACCATTATGTCCAAAATGAGAGCATGTCAATGTCACTGTAATACTAGAAGGCTATATTACACGAAGAATTACCAGACACGGGATCAACTAGGATGCTCTCTTGACCTATTTATTGGAAAGTGACTTAACAAAAAGTTTACAAAGACAGCCACTTTCAGTATTTTAGACTAGTGCAAATTTGTCATCAACAAAGTATCTATGTCAGGGAAGGTATCAACACTGTTGTTCTGCAAGCAAAACAGAAGCAAATGTATTCAACACTATTTTCAGTACCTAGTTACTAAAACAGACACAATAAACTTGCAGCTACTGATGTATTGAACTTTTTCCTTCTTATAGTTGGTGCTTTAACCAATCACAGAGATCAATAAGCTTCATGTATTTAGACTGGTAGTACACATACTGTTAATATAAAAACTAAATGAAGGCACAAACCTCACATTAGATAAGTGGATAAGATGATGAGATTAAATCAGATGAGGGACAAACCTGGAGAATACTAAGCACAAGAATAAAGATTCCAATGCCTCTGTGTGATAGATAATTGGCATGCAGCTTATCATAGAGTGATACACCAACTACAACGGCAGCAAGCCCCAATATAAATCCCACAAATTGAATGATTACATGAAGATAATACCAAAGGGGATCCCTATGCTTAAGGTATCTCGCAACAATTGCTCCAGAAGGAAGAATCAGACCCCATCCAAATAGGCCCAGTAATCCATGGGTCTTTTTCATGGGACCAATGGTATCAGGTGCGAGTCGTGCATTAGACACAGAACCTGAAAGGATAAAATACATATCAACTCAATAAAACCCCAATCCCAAGTATTTGGGAGAGAATGAACTATATATTAATCAAGGATTTTTCAGGGGAAAATTTGAAAAAAGAAATAGGTATTGACTGAAGAAATCAACTACATAAATAACTAATTATGAACATGAAAAGCAACTCAAGACTCGAAGGAAAAACATAAATAAATGTAACAGATTAATATTGACCAAGGAAAACAACATTCTTAAATCTGACTGGCCTTTTCGGTTTATTGCCAAAAGTCAGAACCCATCTATGGTGAGGGAAAGAAGAACAGAGGAGGAGGAAGACAAGACGGAGAATGCAGAGAAAATACTTATTATATATTTACTGAACAAGATCCAAAAGAGTTGTATACCTCCTAAAGAATGGGCAATAGTTTACATTGATTGCAGAATGTGGTATCATGTCATGATCTCAAAATTTGGTTTCATTCCCTAGATTTTCATGTGTTGATTAGTAGTATAACATTTACTATTACATCCTATCCAACATCTTGAGTCACTGATGGTGATGGGGCTAGCAGGAGAGGGTACTTGGACCAAGTGCAGTTGTTGTAAAATGAAAGTAATATGAAAGCAGGTAGTGATGGCAGGGGGATCTTTGCTTCAATTGGGCCAGAGTGAATGCCACCAAAAAAATAAAAAATGTGCCAGTGTATATACTGGCTTTAGAGTTTGGTGCTATGTTACAATCTGAAATGACTGAATGGGCTCAAATGAATGCAATATATTGGTCTTGAAACTTTAGACACATTGATTACATCTTTTATTTCGAGAAAGATATAGAAGTAATAATAAAAAATGAGAAAAGAGTGGATGTGCAGTAGTTTGCTGCACCAAATCTCTGCCGAAATCTGATATCTGACAAGGAATGGGTGGAAAAACCAACACAATCGAGGCTATTTGTTCATATTGTTGTTCTATAATGAACAACGGAAGTCTCTCATGAGACTATAAAATGAAATGAAGAGTGTCTGCATAAAGTAGCCTCAATGGAGATGAACGTACCTGCAGAGAAGTCGAATATGAAGCTTGTTTTGTCATCATGTTTGTATAGGTGGTGGTGCTTTGTTGGATATCTACTCCCAAAAGCCAATAAAATTGGTTGGCGAGAAAGACGAGCAGCAAAGTGCAGCTGAAATCCCAAGTAAATTATGGCTCCGCGAAGCACCACAACTGCTGGAATATTAGTGATCGGCAATTCGCCCCTTCCTGGTATAACTTCTGAGGGTTCAAACCCCTGGAGGTAGTACCTTCTGACTCTTGCTTCACCTTCTTTATTAATCCATCCCACTATAGCACTGGAATTAATCATCATCCCATTTTTTGAAAACCCCATTCCAACCCATCCAATGGTATATACAGCAGATAACAGAATAGTCACAACATGATCTTCAGTCTGGGAGTACTGCAACAGTAAATAAGAATATATTCAGGGAAAAAGGTGACTCGGGTAACACAGTGATCTGAAAAACAGAATTGTCATTTTCCTTTTATTTCTACACCTTTTTTTTTTTCTCCTTTGGCCCAAATGACAAAATCATATCAGAGCCAATTTCGATTATAAATTAATATGTGATCCATCAATCATATGATCCACCATTCATCAATAAGATGTTTCTGAGTTAAGTCTATTAACTCCAAAAAATATGGAATTTTTCTCTCTCTATTGCAAAAACAATTATCAATTACAAATACATTCTGAGCTCTAAATTCCAAACTCATTTTCTTTTTCCATATTAAATTTATCAATTTACAAGTTTCATCCATTCTTGTGCCGTTTCAATTAGAGGGCCACTTTAGGTGTTAATTTTTGCATATATACACAATTCACACACATATATACGCATATATAGTGATAGCCAAGAATAATCAAGAAAATTGCAGAACCAGATCAAACCTACCTGTATAACAAAGGTATTCCAAACAGGTTTACAGATCACATTCGACAAATTACTGTACGGAAACGGAAGAAATGTAGTGAGATCGACATTGCAACGGGACACAGTTTCAAGATCACCATCATCCACCGCAGCTGAAACCTTCGGTCCCAGAAGAAAAACCAGAACGGTGAGAAATGATAACACACGGCTCAGTGACGAAACCCTAGGTCTCGAATACTCCATTGGAAGAGAATAGAAGAATTTGGGGTTTGAAAATCAAGATCAAAAAGAACGCGACGGGCATTTTGTTCTTTTTGGGTTGGTGAGAGGTGTGAGGGGTGAGAATTCTTCAGTCTGAAGATTGAGTGATTGACAGGTAGTGGTGTTGGTGATGGCGGTGGTTGAGGCTGGCGGGTAATCATCGTTCGCGCCAATTCCTTCAACAAACAGCAATACTAATAACCGTGTTTGTCTATATCCTAACTAATAGATTATTTTAAATTTATTGAATTTATTTACGATAGTGTCGTTTTTGAAAAAGACATTACAGCTATATAAAAGAAGTAACGTGGATTGTTCTTTTTCCAGTTGATTTCATCAGTTGGACAGGTCACCTTCTTACACCTGGTCAAATTATTTTATTATTATTTTTATTTTTTTTCTTAAAACAATACTGTACTATAAAAAAAACATTTTTGTAATGTTTAACAAAATATGTTAAGGTCAAATTCCGTGTTAATTAAGAATTTATTTTTATTTTTTATTATTATTATTTTTATATAACGGATGGTAGTGTGAGATCTCTAGAGTATCTCATAATTAGCACATGTTTGTGGAATAGCCTCTCAAGGAATTTAAGATGCAAGTAAAAAGTTTACTCATTGGGCTTGAAACTTTGTAAATCAGAATTTTTTTTTTTTTTTTGGTCATGTAAGAAGAAAACGAATAAATAAATAATTGGCAAATACATATATGCAGCCAAATGAAGATACATAAAACTCACTAGAATAATTGGTTGCCTTTGTTGCCAGAAGAAATAATAATAATAATAATAATAATAATAATAATGAGATTTAATAGTTACAAATTCTTAGCAAATGGCAGAAAATAAAGAAAATGAAATGATAGATGAGAGAGAAAAGAAAAGAATAGATAATATTCTTATTTGAATAAAACAGATGGTAGAAAAGAAAAAATAATAATAATAAAATTACTATTTTACCTTTTTGTATCTAACCTAAATAAAATGGCTTGTTTTCAAGCACAATTAATTTGCTGCCTCTAGCAGTTCAATCCTCCGCCACTCTCTGTTTCTTTCTTTCATCCAATCCGATGGTATGCGTCTCCTCCCCTCTCTTGTGGCGTTAGTTTCTCTCTCTAGAACACCCACCCTCTCTCATCTCTCTCTAGAATATATATGTATTGTGAATGAATTGTGATTGATGCCGTGGTGTGATGATGGTTTTGTGGAATATACAGAAGTGGAGCACGGGAAAGCAGACGGAGAAGGCGAACAACATGGGAAAGGCTACTTTTGTCATAATAAAAGTGCCATTTAGCTTAGTTTCCTTTCCCTCCAAATCTTGTCAATTTTGGAAAGATACAATATAAGGGATTTGGAGGGATAGTTATCCCTCCAAATCCTTCCCAAACCTTGTTTTTTCTACTTAATTTCTCTCATTCAAACACAATATACACTACCCTTCCCTTTCTTTTCTCTCCAAAAGCCTAAAGAAGTTGTTTTGGCAAAGCTGCGAGTGAACTTCGCTGAAAAGGAACAAGCTGCTCGCTAACAGTTCGAATTTTGTTCATTACACAAGCCAAGTTTGAATTTTGTTCATTACACAAGCCAAGTTGAAAGATTTCAACTTGGGATTAAATTAGGGTATTACACAGGAACCTAATTGCTAGAGTGCTCAGGTGGTGCCAGTATTAGCTTAGTTTGCCAGGATTAAAAATAAAAAAACAAATAAATAAATAAAACAGTGGCATGGCTTGAGAGTTAAGGATGATAGTCCCTGTAAATTAAAAAAGTCTGCAGTTTCTGATGGGCCATCTCTCGTCAATGAGCGAGAAGCCATCACTAACAAAGGGATTTAAACAAATAAATTATCAACCGGTGGGTCATATTATAGATGGGATGAATTTATGACAGCCCAACTAATAAGAAGCAAAAATGGTTTAAACATAACTTCAAGCATCATGAGTATGCATGAAAATGTATGTTTCAATAATTGGCAGCAAGTACATACAATTTGAAGTGAAAAAGAAAAACAGAAAACAAAGGAATTAGAATAAACATATCATATTTCATATGTCAATCGATTAGAAGAAATAATAGTAGTAATTGGTCTCCAACAAGTTTTCTGTGATCAGAGGGCAAAACCATGCCTTTGAATTGCAGATGTAGCAAAAAGTTTTCTTTCCTTCGTTGCAGTACGAAGTTACCAACTCAGATGAGTCTAAAAGTCGGGCAAGAGCACGAACACGTTGAGCAGAGAAACTGTGTCTAAATTCACCTCCAAAGACCATTACTGCGCCACGGGGGAGGTCTACAAATCTCTATCACTATGGCTGTCTTGAACATGAACCAATTGTACAAGCAAACTTGCCAACCAACTTCTGATTTATAAGGAGTAGCGACCTCCATGCCACACTGATCTCTATCAAATATCTGATAAATGTTTGGTCACAAAGCTCATATTCTGATTATTAAAAGCCGGTCCGAGGTAGCAGATATAATCTTGGGCACGACAAATTTTGTCCGGTGATCAATAACAGTGTACAAGTTTACCGTGAGGTTGGTCCTCCAGGAAAAGTAACACGAACAACAAATTAAACCTTCTCTTCCAGCACAACTTTAGAACCCTCCATGTAGCAAACACAATGCAATGACACTTGATGAAGTAAAAACCTTTAATTGAGGGGTGATGGTACATTTAATCCTTCTGTGGTTTCACAGGACACACTAATTACATCTCCCAGTGACAATGCTGAGCATTATTGACTGCTTTCCAAGATGTAGATTTTTAGAAAAAAAAATCCACTTCTTTCATTCAACAACTAGCATATCAAAAGACGATATTAGTTCTGCTGCTGTGAAACAAGCCTAATGAGATTTAGGCAACCTGAAAATATGTTCCTCGCCACTCTTCTCATCGACCTTGACAACCCATTTGCTTTTATTCCTCTTCACTGAACCACCTTTTTTCTCTGTTCTATGAAGACTTCCGCCTCGATCTCTTTTCCCTAAGTCGGCACTCCTCCCAATCATAGTCACTTCCATGCCTTCCCCTATTGGATGCTTCATCGACCTCACTTCAACCTTATTTTCCATTCCTTCCAAATGGCCTCCCAACCCTTTTCTCCCTTTCATCAAATTGTTTGCCACAACCACTGATCTTCTAGGATTAACATCCAGCAACTTTAACAATCTCGGGTAGTTGTCAGTTTTGCAATCAACAAGCGAGAAATCAATGTTTTCATAATTTGGCAATAGCTCAACAGGATCTCCAGTTATAAATTCTACCACGTCATTTAGACCCAAATCTTCAATTACTTTCTGCGATTTGTCTACCGTTGGTTCTGGGAGAATACACACAAGCTTGCCTCCAGTTTGTCGAGCTGCTGCTGCTAAGGCTATTGTTGATGGGGACACCTCGGATGTAACTTCCACAATGAGTTTTGAGCGCATCCCCGCTGCCAAGGCTGATATGAACTCATTGGTCTCAGGCTCTGGTGTTGGGGATGAGTTGCATTGCTCTTTCTGCTCATTACACTGCATGGATAGTACAGAATAAAGTTAGCAAATCTCCATTGAAGTCATTCCCTGCAGAGGTTGTGTTTGGAGGCAAAAACAAGTCAATAGAAAGAATACTATTATTTTAAGCTTGCAATAGTGTAATAGCACCAAGCAATCAGCTCTAGTTAATTAACATTTTTATCTTTTTTATTTTACCCGATAAATCTCTAGTTAATTAACATATAAAAATCTAAATGTTGGAAATTCCTCCAAAAAGGAAATTTCATTGAGAAGCACAGGACAAAGTCGAGAGACTCGAGCGATGAAAAATCAATGTCACAATTATATATGTAGACTATGAATTGTGTTAATATATGTACATATAAATGTGTGAAATTTTAGATGTAGCTGCTTATGATTGAGTTAGTCCTATGAAGCAAGGATACAGATACAAAACAGTACGCATATAAATAAAAAAATCTTTAAAAAAAAAAAAAAAAGGATATGGAAGCGACAGTACATGTATAAAAAATTAAAACATGTATGTATCTATCAATAATTAAAACAAAAATTGCTTTGACACGTTATATGCACATATATTGTATATGATTTAACAAATGATTTTTTTTTTTTATTTATTTATTATTTAAAAAAAAAACGATTACAGAAAAATTATACCAAACAAGATATTTAACCTTTTTTTTATATACTTAGGATATAAAAATTACACTAAAAAGATGAGTTAAATTAGATACGATGTATTCCCATTATATCTCAATTCTTCTTCTATAAGAAAGGTTTCCATAACAATTGTACTTCGATGCCATACAAAAAATGCTGCATTTTAATGTTCAACATGTGCCAAACATGTATCCTGGAATATGTGAAAAATATTATATACGGTCCAAATTAATTTCTTTTCTCAAAGTATAGTATCAGAGAACAATTCACCACAAAAGGCAGAAACCTTCAATTGTAATAAAGCGAAACAAAAAAACTTGAAATCAATCAATCATCATAATACCTTCAATTATAATAAAGCAAAACAAAAAATCTTGAAAACCCTACAATCAATCTTCGTAATATCTCATTTATAATAAAGCAAAAAAAAAAAAAAAAAAAAAAAAAAACCCGACAACCCTTCAATCAATCATCGAAATACCTTCAATTATAAAAACCAAAACAAAAAAACCCCTGAAAACCCTTGAATAAATCATCGAAATACCTTCAATAAAAAAAAAAAAAAAACCCTATCCTTCAATCCTTCAATCAATCTTGATAATCTTTTGTTTTGTTCGCGTAAACAGACACATATACATAAACAGAATGAAATATGAAACCAACAGATACATACCAATTTGAGAGTATCAAGATAAGCAATTGTAGCAGATTTTTGAGACCATTCCATGCTCATATTGAAGCCCAGATTGTAACTAAGTGATGTGCAGAAAAATTGTAAATAGAAATTGAAAAATATGGTTCGGTAAAGCAGAGAGAGAGAGAGAGAGAGTGTGTGTTGTTAGGTTAATTGTTTTTTCGCAATCTCTATTATATAAATGGAGGTGGTGAGGACTAGTTCAAACCGTGGCCGATTATAACGGATACAGAGTTGCCAGTGAGGAAATTTACTTTTATTTAGGCAATTGTAGGGTAATATACTACTTTCTTTAACCTATTACAGTTCTTTACTCTGCTAATTTAGTTGAAATAAACAATAAAATATAACTGGAATTGCTTTTTACTACTATATTATAAAAACAATAAAAATATGAAGAAAAATAAAAATTGTGAAAATTTTTAATTCTAGAAGATTTGAAGGACAGTCACGCTAATCTCTTACGGAGTAATTTTTATCGGATGAGACCAATTTCGGCCACTTGGAGTCTGCCCTTTTCTGGCAATTGTCAAAATATATCTCTTAAATTAAAAATTATTGTTAAATTTTTTTTTAATGTTTTAATTCTTATCAGATGAGATCAGTTTCCTTTCCTGACCGTGTCTGATGGTATAGTATTTCCATTCTAAAACAGAAAGGGAGAGATTCGAGCTCAATTGTAGGTAAAAAGTGTATGTGAATGAATATGTGTTTCTTGTAATGAAAATAAAAATTTTAATAAAAAATTATATATATATATATTATTTCGATTTTTTTTAAAAAAATTAAAACTATTAATTCGTAGTGGCATTTAGTCTAGTTTGATTTACCAAGGAAAAAAAGAAAAGAAAAGAAAAGAAAAAAAATTAAAGATGAAAGAGAAAGGATTTGAATGAAAGGTTTTTAGGTTGTGTTTGGTTGAATATAATTGGAATTTTAAAATTAAAATTTGTAGAATGGGAGAAAAATAACTCACTAAATTGAACCAATTTTATTTTATTTTATTTTATTTATTTATTATTATTATTTTTTTGCATAATACCCTTCTTACATCCCAAATTCTTACTTACCAAGAAAAAAAAAAAAAAGGAGGGTGGAGGTATTTTCACCTCAGTTTTTCAAGGACTCATAATTGTAGCCTATTGTATATTATCAATAAAATCTCTGCTATTCAAAAAATATATAATATTATATAATCTTAAAATTGGATTTATTAATTTAAATGTAAGTTTTAACAATGGTTAGATTATTTTGTTTTTGTGTCTGGAAGCTCATTTTCGAGCCTTCCACCATCCATTTCCCCTCTAACCTCTACCCTTAACATTCTTACTATATATTTCAAGTAATTAGATGCAAAGCCCTTATTGAAAAATATATGTGAATAAGAATTGAATTGCATAATAAAATGTCTTGTGTAAATCAAACTTAATATCCGTTAGATCTTCGAATTCAACTTCAGTAGCCCAATAGTTTATGTAATTAAAGTCAAATATTTTATTAGCTAGACTGTTATCAGTCATATATACTCCCATGCCTAACTTTCAAGTTTCTTTAGCGTATAAAATTCACTCCCAAATTTCTGTATTGTTTCCTCGTCCCTTACCTCTAGAGGCGGGCCTAATCCGAGCAACTTGAGTTTTGAGATTATGAGATTGAGTTTAAATTTTTTAAAACTCGTATTTATTTCAGACGAAATTTAAACAAAGGTTTTATAATTCTGAATAACCCGAAATACAAGAAAGTATATAATTTATATAATTTTTGTTTTATAGGTATTTTTATGTAAATTAAAGTTATAAGGAGATAATTTTATATTTTAAAAAGACATTTTGGAACTTGTTATTTTTGTCCCATTATATGAGTAGTAGTGTATGTGACTATATACTTCATATTTTTTTTACTTCTTTTTTTTTTTTTTTTTTTTTGTTAATATTTATTTATATTAAAATTTAGAATCACTCGAAAAACCTACGAAACCCTTACAATATAAGCACGGAAAGAGATGTGATGGATTTCGCGGGGCAATTGTTGAGCCCAGAGTGGACCAATTAGTCAAAGCATTCACTAGGCCACTAGGGGTTCATTCCTAAAGCCCAACAAAAACTAAACCCAGAAAGTTATCAATTCCTATGCAAGGATTTCAGGTTGATTCAAGTCGGTTTTAACTTCCCTTGGCAAATTAGCTACAAAAACATTTTTTTTCGTAGTGGAGTACTAGGACAGTTGCGCAAGCGACTATCTATTTATAGTGACATATCTAATTAGTTAAAATATCAATTATAAAAGACATAATTAACGTATCTTTCCTATTTTTATAGAAATTTAAAACATAAACTTTCAGGATAAAATTATCCATTAAAATTCTTTTATTTTTTCACTAGTGCCATCATGCATGTGTTAGGTTAGACACATAAATTTTAACTTGTATCATGTTAATAATAATAATAATAATAATAATAAATTATTATATAGTCTCGAGAATATTGAGCCCAATCAATTACTAACAACAATCATGTTAGCCGCAATTGCTTGTGTGATTGGCAAAAGACCATGTAATAAGTTCCTTGAAAATGCACCATGATCCACCTTCCAAACGTATTAGAGATCTTGGAAGTTGGAATAGTATCGTGTCAATGCCATGCAGGAAATTAATTGATTAGACAAAACACATTGGAGATATATATATATATAGGTAGAGATTTATATGATGAAATGATGTATAATCACAATGAATCATCAATAATACATTTCAGAATATATAACCTATCAAGGAAATCTATGGAAAACAATTCCTGATCTCCTGATACATATATACATCCCAAAATCCTTAAAAAGAAAGAAACAATAAAAAGGTTCCTCTTATTGAGAAACACAACCCACTCCCTCTCAGTCAGGGTTACATTAAGTAATAGAGATATACATATTATATATGTAGATATGAGCATGAATGAAATATCCTAATCACCCCCCGTAATTAATATTTCCTCATGAACGATTCAATGTTGGTAGTGATTAAATGGGATCTCGCCCGGGTAATTTCCCGGTGGACCATAGTTGCAGGTAGTGAAAGTGTCGCCGTTGTCACACTGGACACGGGCGCATCCCAAGTGCTCGGTGTCTCTCCACACAATCTGCGTGTAGTGACCGCACATTTTCCCGGGCTGGCACTGGTTGGTGCCCTTGTTATAGAACCTGTGTTCCCTCACCCACATCTTCACTGCATCACCTGCTGTCCATTGGTTTCCTCCACCCCAGAAGAGGTTCTCGCCAAATGGACCGTTCGAGTGCACCATATTGCAGTCTCCCTTGCGCTTTTCAGCGTAATTACGAGCGTATGTTTCTAATTGCTCGTCCCAGGTAAGTGGGTCTTCGCCCGCGTGTTGTCTCACCTGTCGAAGAATATAAATATTAAAGTTACATCTAGTTTTGTCATCTTAATTATAACAAAAGAGAATGCATGTTAGAGAATATAAATAATAATAAAAGTTTGTGTTACCTGGTTGTGGAGATCTAGGAATTCTTTTTTCTCGGCCTCGGGGTCGACATGGTCGGAAATGGCGATAACAAATAGATGAGATAATACAATGAAAGCGAATATGGTTTGGGATTTGGGGGATTTCATTGTTGCTCTTTATTGGAAATGGGGTTTGTCACAGAGAGTGAGAGAGAGAGGGAGAGGGAAGACAGAGAGAAAGGGAGTGGGGGATGGGGTTGAAGGAGGATTGGGTTGGGGGGGAGTTATGTAGGGGAGTTTGTTATGGCACGAATTTATGGGACTGCCACAAAATTTGATGACTTCTCTCCCCTCCAAAGATAGAAAATGGAAAATACTTGCGTTATTAACTTATTTATTTAATTAGTGAATTAAGCATGTTGAATTTAACTAACTAACTAATTTCCAAATCTGTAAACTTGCTAAAGATAGTAGTTAAACAGACTTTTTCTATATATACGTGTTCTTCATCTACCGAAGTTGTGGGACGGCCACAAAATCTCCCCCTCTAAAATAGTGAATATGCATTATGTTGAATGGTATTTTCTGTTGGTTTTATTTCTTCTTATATTAAATTAATCATTAAGTATCCGTACGGAAAATTGTTAAATTAAATTAGTTCTTATATAATTTAATTAAGCACGAATTATATTTGTAATATCATTAATTTGCAAAACCAAAAAGTAGACTGAATGACAAGTACTGAGCGATAAATATTAATTTTCCTTTCCTTGGCCAAAAAAAATTCACGGACCAAAATGTTTGTAAGGAATATATATATATAAATATTAATTGCTTTACATTTTAGGGGAAAGAGAATATATATATATATATATATTCTCTTTCCCCTAAAATGTAAAGCAATCCTTTCAAATGTTATCAGCTTATAAACTCTATTAAAAAAGGTAATTGAAGAACTCATCTGTCATAACAACTAACAAGAGATGCTGTAAAAATGAAGAGCATACCCGTGCGTGATGTATTGGTTAGATGATTTCTCTCTCGGGTCGAGAGTTGCTTCATTAGTGCCCGCAACACATAATAATAATGTCAACTTGATAAGGGGGTGATACATCCAACCAATTGATACCGTGCAAGTTTATGAATGTATGTATAATTTATATAGATAAAAGTTCTAATTAAGGAGAACATGCATCTAGATATTATCAAAATAAATAATTTTTATTTATTTATTATGAGGCCATTTCATCAAACCACGAAATTCACATGATTCTATTTAATAAAAACAAACTGTGCCCATGTGTTTGAAGTTTGAACCCAAAACATAACCATTTATAATTTATTGATGCTATATTAGATTGACTTGGCCCCTTCAAATTGAAATTGAAGAAAATTCATTTTAAAATTTTAAATAAATTTAATCCAATTTCAAATCCAAGCCTTTCTGTGCGCCCAAATGCGAGATAAGAATAATTACAACCCAACAACAGGAGGCAATGTAAGCTTTTGGATGCCCACAAAAAGAAATTTCGTCCCAGGAATGATTGAATGGTTATTTTTTGCTGATTTTATTTTTTCTTATATTAAATTAATCATTAAGTAATCCGAAGAGAGTAAAACAAAAATTTATTAAATTAAATTAGTCCTTACATAATTTGATGAAGCACGAATTAGATTTGGAATATCATTACTTTGCAAAACCAAAAATTAGGCCAAATGACAAGTACTGAGCAATAATTATTAATTTATTTTTCTTAGTAAAATCCAAAAAAAAAAAAAAAAAATCATCGACCAAAATCTACGAACAAGTACAACGTCGAACATATGACCTTTATGCTTGCAAAGCCATTTTTGTCCCCTGGATTATAAAGCAATCATTTCAAAAGTTATTATGTATATAACTCTATTATGTATATTATGTATATACCGCCACCTCTCGCCTCCCGGATGATCCTCGCTCTAGGGCTTCCCCTGAGCCTTTGTGGGAAACAATTACCAGTTACAACTTACAGGTCGTTGCAATGAAATTTGTTGGGCCAATGAGATATGTTGTCTGGGCCATGGAACCTCTATTGTTTTGTCGGCCCATTCACTATGGGTTAAAGTTTTGGTGGGCTTGCCCACTTCATTCAGCTAAAAGTACTTTGTTCATATTTATACAACTTGTTTAACCTTCCAAAAAGAAAAAAAACTCCATTAAAAAGCTAGTTGTAGAGCATACCAAAGAACTACCTCTATGCTCTCAAATATGTATTTTGTAATAGGCTAATTTTAGTGTCATGCATTCAAATTGTAATTTACTATTTATCTTGAGTTTCGATAATGGAAGCAGTATTGTACGTGTATAAATACTTTGATAACATCATTTATAGAATGGGTTTTGATTCTATACCACTTTGATCCTTAAGATTAAGGATGGCAATTTCTACCAGCTTGGCGGGTTTCTGCCCTGCCCCATCCCTAATAAGACAGATTTGGTAGCCTATTAAATGAGTTTGGGGTGGGTATGATAAAATAATTGAAAATTCGAAATGAATTTGCGGTGGGGACTAATTTAGTGATGAATCCGCCCCATCCCTATTATATGCATACCTTTTAAAATTTTATGTATACATAAAATATATATTTAATATTGTTAAGAACCTTCTTACTTTGTTGGAATTGTTAATTAATATATTGATATTCACTATTTAGTAATTTAAAAGTTGGGTCAAATTGTTTATCAGCCCAATTTGAGCATATCGGGTTGGTTTTTTTGTTACTAAATAATAAAACTGGCAAAACCCGCCCTGTCCCATAATTAAATGGAGTACGCAGAATGAAGTCAGTATTTTGTCTGTCAAAGTAAGAGCAGGGTAGTATACGAATTACAAACTCGTTACGAAGTAAGGGCAAAATTGATATAACAAATTTTCTAACGGAGCAAAGTAGGGATTAGCCAAACCTGCCACAACTGCGTCTGTTGCCATCCCTACTTAAGATATGGCCCGCCCAAATGAGTTTACTAAACTTAATGGCTAATGATCATTACAATAAGGAATCCTAATTGTTCATCTCTCTTTATAACTAAATAAATTATTACAGTATAACATATAAATTTTATTAGAAACAACTTACAAGTAGGGATGGTAATTTATCCTGTCTCGCCCTTAATGACATGAGGATAGTTATTGGGCTTAGGCCGACAATAAAAAAATGCATAAACGGGATGGGCACGTGTTCACTTATCTTCCAATGGTTTTGAAAAATTAACCCGTCCTGAGTATGGAGCAAGTATGGAATTCTCATTTATTAAATATGGCGGGTACGAATTTAAACAAATCCGTGCCATACCCACCTCATTGCCATCCCTACTTACATATTAGTGTGGAGTCCGAACTAGGGAAAAAAAAAAAGGGACCAAACTACTGGGCGGGCTTATGTATGAGCTGGGCCAAAGGCGAACCCTATACCCAGACTCTACCCGTCCTCTTATGGGAGGGCTTTGGGTCATTTTGACGTACTCGTGCATTTTTTCTTCCTCCCTAAATTGTAAAGCAATCATTTCAAAAACTACCATCGTATATTCGTATGACCATGAACAAGCTAATTGTGGAACATGCCAAAAAAAAGATTAGCATGACCCCTGCCCAATTGATTGGTTAGATATTTTTTTGCTCCAGTCGAGTTGCACCTGTTTTATTTTGGACAAAAAATTTCTACGTATTTAAAAAATAATATAACACAGGAATGAAAATTATAATATTATTGCGGAGGAGGGCGAATGAATGGCTAATGCAATCTACAATCTACGCACTTGCTCAACCCTCTTTATTATACACACAATTACACACACATAGCCATGTATACACACTAGCAATTCATAACACCGTCTTGGAGAGTAGCATTCTTGATGAGCTTAAGCGAGTCTTCTAGATCATCACATAACTGGTGTGGATCAGGAATGGTTGCTTCGTCAGCTGATAGTACAAAAGTCATTTTGTCAGCGTAACTCATTGCGTGAATCAATAGTGCCTGCAACACACACACACATATATAATACCGTCAGCTTCACGAAGAGATGATGCATGATACATCCCAAACAAAAACTGTAATACATTGCAAATCTATGAATGTATATATAATTATAAAGGTAATTAATGATCCTAATTAAGGAGAACATGCAGTTTGTAATTCATTAAGAATAATTACATTGGGTTGGCCATAACAACTAGGAGCAATGTATGCTATTGGATACCCACAAAAAGCAATTTCCTCTTTAGGACCAGCCAAATTTGAGAACCACATCGTCGCGCAAGAGAAAAGTTTGCGACTGAGAATGCCGGCCACCTGATTGTCATAGAGGGAAACATTAATTAAAAGTGTGTATGTTTGTTTTACCATTCAAATATATATATATATATATATATATATATATATATATATAAAATAAATTCATAAGTACTTAATTATCATTAAAAAAAAAAAAAAACACTCATAAGCACTTCATAATTGTTGATATCCGTAGGTACAGGTGTGTGTAATATATTGAAAATAAATATATTTATTTTATTATTAACTTTAGTGATATAATCTCTCATTTCAAAACAAAATGAAGGTTTTAACTCTCAACCCCACGAAGGATGATAAGAATGAGTGTTTATTTGCCTGACCAAAAAAATAAAATAAAAAATCGAGGGAATAGAATATAATTAAGAGAATAGAATATAATGGTTAGGTGCCCCATTATATTCCTAAGACCAAAAAAATAAAATAAAAAATGAAGGGAATAGAATATAATTAAGAGAATAGAATATAATGGTTAGGTGCCCCATTATATTCCTAATTCTCTAACCATGTAATATATATATATATATATATATATCATAATTAAGTAAGGTGTGTAAGTGTGTTTATGATATTATGATGATGTGTAATTACGTATACCTTACTGCCAAAGAACTTGATAACTAACTTGGCACTAAAATATGCAAAATTAGCTTCAAGCGAGGCTTTCTTGCGATCCATAACAAGCTTAGCGTCACGAACATAATCTAATGGGCCTTCTTGAAATCCAATTCTTAAAGGGAGGAGGACAATACCAATCTTGTTTCCCCATCTCTCTTCTTTACTCTTTATCATATCAACAAAAGCCTGTATTTTGAAATGTGATAATGAATACAATTCTATATATATATATATATATATATATATATATATATATATATAATATTTGTTGTAAATGTAAATAAATACTTACAGGAATCCCTCCGGCCGGTCTTAAATTGAAGAAAAAAATTGCTCTAAAGCGAATGTCCTTTGGAAGATAATTTTTCTTTTCTGGGATGTTCTTACCCTCACCTGCAATGCCATATAATAAGATTAAACCACCTTATATAAATTAATAAACTATTTATTTAATTATTTTTGGGTAAGAAGTAATGTTTTATTACAAAAAAAAAAAAAGCACATATATACGGATAAATACTTTTTTTAACAGAAAAAAAAAGGTTAAAGCAAACACACCACCAGTATCTCTAATATGTTCCTAGTAAGACTTGAAGTCTCAAACTCTCCCTTTGGAGACGAAAGATATTATCATTGGCCTACATTAGGGTTGCAACTTTGCTGAGTTGACTTGAGTCCAACTCAACATATGAAATGTTTAGCCCTAACTACTTAGCTCGAGCTTTATTCATGCATCCTTCTATTTTTAAACTCGAATTTGCAACTCGGGGAGTGATTACAGGTTAGAAAGTCAAATTACCCATATGATCAATTTTTACACTGAAAATTATATGATTTGGGTTAGTTTCAAATTAAATTACTCCAAAACACAAAATGTTTTAAAAAATAATTGCAATTTTTTTTTTAATAAATTACAAACATTTTTTTAGAGAATTATTTCTCCAATGTGTTAACATACAATAAAGAAAGATTGAGAAAAAGAAAGTTAAAATGAAAACAAGGTGACCATAAATTGAATATTATATATAATGTATTTAAAATAAAAAATATGAACTCAAGTTCAATTCTAATTATAAAAATAATTGTCTAAGTTCATAAAAATTCAGGCTGGGTTAGAGTTGAATTCCAATCTGGCTCGAGTTAGATGCCCTGTGGTTATAAATTAAGAGTAAAGTGCAAAAAGTTCCCCCGCTATATACATAAACAGAGCTGTTAAAAAAACCTCTATATTTTTCAAATTGAACAAATAAAGATAATTATTCAATTTAAAGGCTGAATGCCTAAAATGCCCTTTAGACAAAATAAAATAAAAACAAAATCGAAAAACAAGAAATAAAAATAAATAAATAAACAAATAAAATAAGTATATTTTAATTTTTTTTTTTTATAAATACTTCATTTTTTTATTTATTAAAAAATAGCTACCTAAAAATCTCTAAGGGTATTTTGGAATTTTTAATAAAAAATTGGTCAAATTGACTACCAAATGGCGATTTGCTCTAAATTTTAAAAATACAAAAATTTATAAACATATAATAAATAGTAAGGATTTTTCTTGTATATTTCTTATTTAGTGAGTGATATTTTTTTTTTTGCACTGTACTCTATAGTTAAAAAAATATTATCTGTGCGAAAACATATTAAAAAAAATTAAATTGAAAAACTGAAAAAAAATTAAAATAAAATAAAATTCTCTGTATGGTCATTATCTGTTCGAAAGTAGCTCATAAACTGAAAAATATTGAGTACGATTGTCCAAAAGAAATTAAAAGCTTACGTTCTGTCTCCAGTTTTGTCCTCAAAGTTTGAATTTTCGCATGTCAGGAATTAAAGTAATTTGGAAAAGGACTTGCTTGTAAAAAGCGGAGTTCATATGGTATGGCATGATATTAATCTTTGAAGTATGAAATGTAGCTCACCATATCTTCTGTTTAGATACCGAGTCAGAGCAGCCTGTGTGACTCCAACCACTACATCATTAATAGTCTGTATAAAAAAAAATAAAAAATAAAAAAAATTAGAAAAATAATGATATTAGTTGATATAATATGATTATACAACATCCGTTCCTTATTAGTTGTCTATTTTTAGTTTTATAACTTTTTAAGTGGACATGCAATTAATGCATTGTCTCTTTTTAAAATTATTAAATTATCCTTTTTAATTTAAATATATAAAGTTATAAAGTTTGAAATTTTTAAAAAAGATAAAGGACAATGATGGAAATATAAAGAAAAGATACTTTGACTTTTCAAAGAGAAAAATTAATTTAGGACGGAAAAAAAAAAAAAAAAAACTGCCAATGGTGTTACACATTGATATATATATATATATATATATATTCTTGTTATGACCACCATTAAACATAAACTAGCTTAACCTTTCACAAATTGATACGTATTTTTTTTACACTTACGGTGTTCATACTATTTTTCACCAACTTGATATCGTCCAAGCTAACTGACCGGTGAACGAAACGCCGAGCATTCAATTCGGCGCCCGGTGGAGCTTTCAAAGGTGTATCTGTATCTTTCAAAAACAATGGAGCCAACATAAACGTGACAACACCAATTACAGTGTTCCAAACCATGTTGAAAATGGAAAAAAATGGACAATAGTGAGTCCCTTTGGATCTCTTAGTGACTGAAGAGGTTGGCAAAGCCTTAGGATCAGAGGCTTTGTGAGTAGAAGAGAGTAGCAGAGATATGAGCGACGTGCCGTCACCGATAGAGTGGTGGGCTCGGAGAACACTAACCGCCTTTGCATCGGAAGTTTCGACGTCGAGGTGGTGGAACTCCCACACAGGTTTAGACGTGTCAATGGTGGTGGTACTCAGGTTGGAGACGTAGTCCTCAACGAACTTATCTGATGATTCCATATTTTGGTCTAGGTCTGGGATTATGATATGGTTGTCCAAATCCACATTTGTTGGAATCCATTTAATTTCTCCACCATTTTCCTTGTTCCTTACCTGTACTTTTTATGATTAGTATTTAGAAAAGAATAGAATATATCCAATTTATAGAATTCATTGCGATATATCTGTATTAAAAACCATGCAATGTACGAAATATAAAACGTGTTACACTAGTACATTATCTATATATATATATGCACTCACCTGCATACTAGAGAAACGAGGGTGCTTAACAATAATCTGAATCATATTGGCTTTCAAGACCTCAAGGTTGACTTTTGATTTCCAGCCAATGATAGTTATGATGTGAATATTGGACCCTGGTTCATGAAACACACGAGCTATAGGACTCAATGGCTCACCCATAACCATGGCCGTTTCTTCGCCATCCACTTTCCCGGTTTGAATTGGCTTAAGAACTCCGAGACCTGATGATATTTTATCCATACTGGTTACTAGTAAGATAGATACTTCCACTCCCCCACTAGAGTTTCTAATTTATACATAAGCTTACTCATAATATAAAGTTGGTGTCTCGTACTCTAAATTATTGCTGTCCACCTGTTATCATTTATTGTTTCACCAACCGACCGATTTCTGTTTGGAAGAGATAGATTTGTTTGTCAATTTTTTATAAGAATTAATAGAAAATGGATTCTTTTGTCCCCCTTTTTTTTTTTTTTTTTTTTTTTTTTTTTGGTCCCTATTAGTAGTCAATTTTTCTCTTTTTACTCTTTTCTATATATTTCCATCATTATCTTTTATCTTTTTTAAAAAATTCAAATTTTGTGACTATGTATATTTAAATTAAAAAAGACAATTTGGTAATTTTAAAAAGAGACAATGCATTAATTGTATGTCCCCTTAAAAAGTTATAAAATCAAAGATGGACAAGTAATAAGAGACAGTGATAGTACCAAATATGATACCAAACATATTTGGAATTTTTTGGCTAATTAAATACAGTACCAAATATGTTCAGTATCATATACCAAATATGTTCAGTATGATGGAACTCTAACTCTTCACCAACTTGAGGGTTCACTATTATGAAAGTATAGCTCGTCGCAGTTACACCAAATAGGTTAATGATCTAGTGTTTGCATGAATTTGTTTTGTTGTAACTAACAGTTTATTTTATGGACAATACTCACGGATGGGTGAGGGTGAGTAGGTTCTCTCTTGACCCTTGGTATGGTTAATTCAAAATGAATGCACACTTTGTCTTTAATTACAAAATCAGAAAAGTAATAAATAAGTAAAACACTTAATACAAAAATGTGATTTATCAGAAAAAAGTTAATTTTCAAAATGTGATTTATGGAAAATAACTTATTTTACTGATTTTGTAATTAAATATAATATATATATTTGTGATTGGTCTACGTACATCAACAAGTAGAATAGAGCACATAATCACGTAAGTAATGTCCATAAAATAAGTTGTTGTAGCAAACAAATCTATGCAAGCACTAAATCATCAGCCTAATTGTAAACCTCTTGTTTTTTCCTGTTTCGATTTTTTTTTTTCTTTTTTTCTTTTTTTTTTTTAGTTTTCAGAGTATTGGATGAAGTGAGGCGTCCACTAGACCACAAAATAAACACTCAGTTTCGTGTTTATGATGAAAAGGCAGGGTCAAAAGACTAAGCATCGCCACTGCTTGTAAGTTTGTAACGGTCTAAAATAGTATAGAATTTAGCTGGTAGCAAATGACCTCTAAAAATGATGAAAATTACGTAATAAATCTATTTCAAATCGAATTTCACTATAGTAGAGTTAGGAATTATGTAATATAGCATTTGGGAGCATTGAATCAGCATATTCAATTTGGAATTTGAGAAATTTAGTTCAAATTCTCAACAATGAACATATTCGGTTATATAAAATTGGAGTTTTGAAATTAAAATTGATGAAATTGAAAAAAAATTGATAAAACTTTGAACTAAACTTTTTTCTAATTCCATCAATTCTATATTGCCGAATACAAACTAAATTTTTTTCAATTTCAAATTCAAATAAAAAATAACATAAGGTTGTGTTGGGTTTCTTGGAATTGAAATGGATGGAATTAGAGAATAGAGCGCATAATCACGTAAGTAATGTCCATAAAATAAGTTGTTGTAGCAAACAAATCTATGCAAGCACTAAATCATCAGCCTAATTGTAAACCTCTTGTTTTTTCCTGTTTCGATTTTTTTTTTCTTTTTTTTTTTTTTTTTAGTTTTCAGAGTATTGGATGAAGTGAGGCGTCCACTAGACCACAAAATAAACACTCAGTTTCGTGTTTATGATGAAAAGGCAGGGTCAAAAGACTAAGCATCGCCACTGCTTGTAAGTTTGTAACGGTCTAAAATAGTATAGAATTTAGCTGGTAGCAAATGACCTCTAAAAATGATGAAAATTACGTAATAAATCTAAGTCAAATCGAATTTCACTATAGTAGAGTTAGGAATTATGTAATATAGCATTTGGGAGCATTGAATCAGCATATTCAATTTGGAATTTGAGAAATTTAGTTCAAATTCTCAACAATGAACATATTCGGTTATATAAAATTGGAGTTTTGAAATTAAAATTGATGAAATTGAAAAAAAATTGATAAAACTTTGAACTAAACTTTTTTCTAATTCCATCAATTCTATATTGCCGAATACAAACTAAATTTTTTTCAATTTCAAATTCAAATAAAAAATAACATAAGGTTGTGTTGGGTTTCTTGGAATTGAAATGGATGGAATTAGAGAATTTATTTATTTTTTCAATTCTACAAATTTTAATTTTAAAACTCTAATTCTATATAATGGAACACAAATATATATAACGTGACTTTATACCATTTGGGATAGGAATGGAATGTAAGTGTAACAATCAACAACCCAATATGATTGACAGAACATTTATATATAGTTATCGACTTAATTGCTGTTATCTGTCACATAATATAAGCTAGCCCATTAAGTCTACCCCGTGTTAGTGTTTCGTAATGAGTGTGGCTTCTTTCAGCCACTTCTCAATGTTCTCATCTCAATTTACCTTACCATTTTATCAATCACGAAAGCAACCATAAATATACCTGTAAGTACTAAGTAGTAAATTTGATGGGCCACCCAATCTGCACGGTTTGAATTTAATTATTTGAATGTCTTTCAGAATAAGTGTCGGCAAGTTTACAATTTCTCTCACCCTTTGTGTAATTGGAGTACTCATTTCTGTTTTGTATATAAGTAGTGGAGGCATACCAAACATGAATGTAATATATCTTCAACTAATACAGATTAAACCATACATAATCAAAATACAATACATACTATAAATAAAGAGGTAAAATCTTACATAAAAATAGAAAAATAAAAAAAATTGAGTCGAGTCGAGTTGAGCCTTCATGAAAGAAGTGGCTATAATATATTGTACCATTGTTGTCTTTGGTTCAGCTAACTGTAGGTCATGGTTGAATGAGGCATTAAAATTTTGTCCCTAAGATCGTGACTGTGAGTCAGAGTCACTTTCATTGGACTTAACAGATTTTTAACCCTACAACGTGTTAGGAATATTAACTCCCTTCCATCCAGTCCATTGTTTGTTGTTGCCGAGAATTAAATTTGTTGTTGAGAAGTTTGTTGTTGCTGTGAATTAAATTTTTTCTTCTTACACACAATGAAAACATTCCAATCATACCAATTACACAAGTCATGCATAACATAATATTTTACTAGTTCATCCAACTCTAAAACTACATATATATGGAGAGAAATATTTTATTATTATAAATTAAAAAAGAGAATATACAATCAAATGTCAAAACCCCACTCACTCATTCTTTAAACTCAAAAATTATATATACTCTTCCTTCTCCTCACAACACTCACCAACCTCTTACATCTTTCATATCTATCTTTACCTCTCTCAATCCATCTATAAAACCAAGTTTCTTATTGGACAAGTATTCACCGACTTCCTTACAAGGAGTTATCTTATAGTCTTCTAACTCTAAAATAGCAAGCTAATATGTCACTAACTTCTTTCTCAAATTTTCAGCTTTTTTCCGCAAGTTTTTGGCTTCCAAACCAATTAGAAACCCCAATTGAACTGGTTAAAAAAAACTTGAATTGGTTCCATTTTCATTCACCCCGATTGAACTGATTCCAAATAACTCGAATATGTTCACTTTTATCAGAAAAGTACTTGCACACCAAACTCGAGCCACAAAACCCAACACAATTTTTACTTAGCATGCACAAATGACGACTTAAAAATAAGAATGAGAGGACAATTTATTTATTTATTTTATGTAAATGAAATTTATATATGAACAAAGGAAAAAATAAAAGACAAAGGACCAAGCCCACCAAACAGGCTAGGGGGGAGGCAACCCCACTAACACAACAAATATAAAAAATCAACAAATATGGCCCTTGTTCATTAGAACTTGCCCTTCAAGTTCTTTAACTTCTGGGCATTTTATCCTAATTTTTTAGCCATTGTTGCCAATGTTTGGCAAATGAAAATTCATGGTTCAAGGATGTTTTCACTGGTTCAAAAGCTTACAGCTCTTAAGCAGTCTCTCAAAATGCTAAATAGAAAGGAATTCAGTGTAGTCTCTGAGAGGGTGGCATCATGTAGAGAAGAGCTTTTCCTTTGTCAAAGAAACCTTGATTCCAACTCAGCCAATGACAAGATCAGAGTTAATGAGAAGGTAAGTACTATCAAGAAAGTTTAATGACCTTGTATTAGCTGAAGAAATGTTCTACAAACAAAAGTCACAAGTGCACTGGCTAAGAGAAAGGGATCAAAAAACTTATTTCTTCATGAAAAGTTTCAGCTCCAAGACAAATAAAAGGAAGGTTCACTCTATTACTGATCCAAATGGAAATCAACTTGATGGTCAAGACTTGCAGAGAGAATTGCTTAATCATTTCCAATCAATACTTGGTTAATCCAGCAACAACTACCTAGGTATCAATTCCTTCTCCTCCATCATCAATAAATCTATACCAGCTCACCTTCTCCCATCTTTCACATCCATACCTACAGATTTAGAAATACAAACCTGCATACTCTCCTTTCACCCATATAAAAGCCTTGGGCCAGATGGTTACAATTCAAGTTTCTTTAAGCACTCTTGGTCAATAGTGGGGAATGATGTAATTGCAGCTGTTAGAGACTACTTCATTTCAGGGAAAATCCTAATTGAGATCAACTGCTCCTATATTGCCTTGGTGCCCAAAACCCCAAACCCCTAATCAACTAATGATTTTAGACCTATATCCTGCTGCAACCTAATCTACAAGACTATCTCCAAGCTCATATCAAATAAACTCAGTCCTATTCTCCCTATACTCATTAGCCCTACGTAGAATGCTTTCATCAGAGGGAGACACATCTCTGACAACATACTACTTGCACATGAATTATTGAATGGGTACCATAAAGCAAATCATCCTCTAAATTGTACTTTGAAGATCGACCTAAGAAAAGCATTTGATT